TACTGAGTATCTTATTAACAGTGTGTAGTAGGTGATGTATTTTATCATTTGATAGCAGATTGTGATGCTGGAGCATTGAGGTGAGTACCATTTGTGAATAAAATCTTGAACAACTACTTGTTATTGAACGTGAGGGAGGCCCAGGACTCCTGCTTCAATATTTGCTAGATGTACAGAGCATCTGTCCATCCTGTGCCTGCCACAGCTCAAGGGGTATTCCTTGCATTGTATAGGAACAGAGACATGGATCAGATCAGATGGGCAGGCAGGAGGCCTTCCACCTAGAAAAGTCTCAGTTGCTGGAGTAAAAGACTGTGTGGCCCTGGTGGAGGGGCTCCCAAACCTGTTTTGTGTGAGTGCCCTTACTCTGGAAGGAGAAGCATGTGGTGTAGGCAGTGCTCAGCTCTCTCTGGGCAACAGAAAGGAAGACACGTTTGATAACTCAGTGGAACAAGAGATCTACACTTTCTTTTCCAGAAAGAAGGTGGAAAATGGTTTTTTGGGTGGGGGTGAGGTTTGAGGGGAGGGTTTGTTGCATTTTTTCCCCCAGAGGAAGTAAAAGTTTTGCAGCTGCTACCAAAGCAGTCACATCCCAGAGCTTAAAGAGACCTGAGCCAAGGGATGATGTGATACCTTGACAGTACCTTTTTCCTTCCCCAGTCTTGTCCAGCGACTGCACCCTACACCATTTTGTTCACTTCCACCCTGTCTTGTTTAAGTTATTAAGTTATTTAAGTTATTAAGTTTAAGCATAACCTGTGCCTGCTATGTATTTAATTGCACTTACATGGCTCTGTAAATATGATATGCTGCTTGAACATTATGCAAAGGCAATAACTTTCTTTGCGGTGACTGGTCTGCATTTCTTTTCTGTTTTGAAATTGGATTCTCAGATGCATGAGTGCTGTGCCACTCTGCTGGTTCCAGCTAAATGTGGCCCAAGGATTAAACATCTGACTGTCTTTATGGAATCTGATCTAGATAAACTATGGTCTGCCTCTGCCTAAATTCATGCAGCAACAGCAGCAAGCCTGGTAGTTTTAGGAGTCATTCATCCTTGTTTCTGAACACATAGTTGTGCTGGTTTTGAGCAGGGCTGGCAAGAAAAGCTGTGAATGAGGCTTTTGAAGAACCTTGGTTAAAATGTTTTCATGCTGAGTTTAAAAGCCCTTAAAAAACCAGAGTTTTCCTAGGCTTCTACCTGACGGGCCCATAGGAGAAAGGGTATGACAAGAACAAGATGAATGTGCCTTTACAAACAAGCTGTGTGCATCTGCTTGCAGATGCAAGGCAGTGCCTAGTTGTGAGTAAAGAAATGGTTGTTGGTGGGAAAGGAAATAATTGTTCGTAGACAAGAAAGTGGCTATTTTTAGATAAAGAAGTAGCTGCTTGTAGGTAAGAAAGTGGCTGGAAGAATCAATTAACTTGTAGAATAGTGAGAAAGGAAATAGCTGCTTAAGAATAGTAAGAAAAGAACTGACTCTTTATATGTAATAGGTGTTTTCAGGAAGTCTGTGCCTTCCAAGTACTTTAGCCAGTGAGGAAAGGAAGAGGTCATTATAGAGCTAGGAAAAATTAGGATAAAAAGGAGGCTACCTCCTCCAGTAATTCAAGAGATTTTCACTTGGTATGCTCAGGAAGCTCTCCCTTTATTCATGAATAAAGTTACTCTGGCAGAGCTCTGTCTCCTTTGTGGACACTAAACCCTGGTGATGAGAATTTTCCATACAGGTAGAATGAGCGGCATCTGTCAGTGCTGTCAGTGCTGACCTTCTGTGACTGGTTGTTCCAAGAGAGAAAGGGTCTTCCTTCATAATGGGTCTGTTCAGCCAGGACAGAAGCCTGCTGGCAGCTTATGGAAGACTAAGTTCCTGGCGGTGTGCCAAACAGTTGTCTTTGCTAGGATCTGCAGCTAGGAGCTGTTTGCAGCTTTGCTCTTGGAAAGGCTGCTGCACAACAGAATGACTTGAGATACTTCTGGATTCTGCACAGAGAATAACAGATGAATAAGGTCTGAATACTTAGAAGCGTGTGTGGCAGGGATTGATTGAGGCTGAGAAATTGGAGAGCATATGCCTGGAAACAAGTGCAAGGCAGTGAGGTTTGAGCAGTTCCCTGCTCTGGGCACCCTTGTGTAGAGTGGGGGCTTCGTGTTCAAGTTCTGCTCAGTGTCCCCACTCTGACACGCTGCCAGCCTTGACTGTTTCCAGATCAAGACTGAATCCTGCTATGATGGATGTATAAACACAACTGTCTGGTGAATAAATCGGTGATCAAGCAGAATCATGTGATTTGGGGAGATGTCAGGCTGATGCTGTCTGTAGTAAGAGAGGAAATGGGATGAGAGTGTCATGGACGTCTTTTGTGCCTGAGCAGTTGGGTGGGCTTGGAATTGCTGGAGCAGTGCAGAGCAGTCTCCACTTTCCCCACGCCTGGTTCCCGAAAGCAGTGACTTCTTGCATTAGTCTTGATCTTTTTGCAGGCAGACAGACCTATGTTTCTGTGCCAGCCCAAGATGCCAGTGTAGCACAGGTGAATTTTCAGGACACCTTGCTGTTTTCCTACTATAATGACCTCCCTGAAGAGTTTACTTGCTTCCTCTTTATCCCTACTGCAAGGGAAAGCAGGGACTGATTTGGAGAACTTTCTCTTTGCAGCATCCACTGCAATGTAAGTATTTAGGTACAGTCAAATGCTGACTGCAAATCCAAAAGCCTCTGCTGCCAGCAGAAGTTCAATATAGAGATAAATAGAATCTTCCAGGTTTTGTGTGCTCTTTTTGTGTGTGTGGCAGGGGTTGTCTCCAAAACAAGGCAAGAGCAAAACTGGTCTCTAGCTGCTGCTAAATTTAATATAGACCACCTTTGCCACCTCCTGGTTTTAGTGATGGTTGTGGCCTGGCTGGATTGGAGAATCTGCACCACTGTGCCTGCAGTTTTCTTGTGACAGTGCTAGCTGTTAATAATATTACCTTTGCTCTCTGATTTGTTTTGCACTGGAAATTCTGTAACTTCAAACCACTGTACAAACAGAGAGATTTACGTGTCTTTTATGACTGCATGTTGTTAGAGAGCAATACTCTGCACTCAAAATGGCAAGCTTGACTAGAACTGCAATTTGCAGTTATGTTTTTGGCTACTACAAAGTATTTGAAAACAAAAATACATAGTAATTTAACATAGCAGCGATGCAGTTTCCTCTCATTGCCTGTTGGGCTACCTGAGCTCCACTCACTAACACCCTGTGACAGGGCAAGGTGCTGGCTGTGCAGAAAGAAGGAGTAAGGAAAATAATCCTGTACTTCAAGGCCATTTGTTTTCCCCAAAGAGTCCTTCAGAGATGTAACAGAAAGCCAGGTAGAGGTATTGGTATATTGTCCTTCTGCTTTCTGAGTGACAGTTAACACTGACAGTTGTGAAGCGAGCGTGCAGTTGCCTTGTTTGTTCTCTTCTCCTACTCCTCTTCAGACTGTAGAGAGGCCACTTGGGTTCCCCTTTGGAGGCTCAGTGAAGTGCTGCTAGTGAGCTTCTCTGCCCTCCAGAACTGCCTCTGTTCAGGGCAACGATGATGTTTACCTGCATGGGTTTGAAACCAATGAAAGCTGTTGTTTTCCAAATAAATTTGGTTTGGTTTGGTTGGTTTGTGGAGCTTTGTATTCACACTTGCATTCCTGTCTACCGCTGAGCAGCTGCTGACCACACCAAGTGCCACTGGTGTTCCTGTAAATCAGGAGAATTCACAGGAGATTTCAGCTGTACTCTGGAGCAAGCTGCAGTGCTCTCTTTTACATGAGTTTCATGCTGTGTGGCAGAGCGTGGGAATAATAAGCTTAGGCTTAGAAGCACAAACTGGAAACTATTGTGACTGCTTCTTGAATGCAGGAATAAGGAGAAATACCCATTAAAAAAAGAACCAAACCAAAAACCAACAAACAAACCAAACAAAATCCAAACCAAACAGATTTGAAGTGCGCTTACCAGTTACTGAGAGAGTGCAAGCGTCTTGAACTCGAGGTAGTTAAATATTATCACTGACTAAAATGGCACCAGTTTTGAGGGTGAGACTATACAACACTTAACATTCACATAAACCATCCCTGGCCTGCAACAACCCTTCCACTGATGTTTTATAGGGATGTGGAGTAGGGAAACTTCTCTAATACATACGTTGCATTTAGAAGTAATTTGTTTTAAGCATCTTCTCTTTGTAGTTAGCTCTCATAATATTTTAGAAATCATGATTATTTTGTTCCTATCTGATCTCACTTAACTGAAGGAAAGAAAATGGTAATTAAAAGCTTTCCTGTCTGAGCAAGCTCATCCTGTGAATAAAAGGGCCTTACTTCTGTGCACCAGCAGTAAAAGTTACTGCTAGCAAAGAACCCAACCAAACAAGACAAACAAAGCCAACTGGTTCAGCACTTCAGCACTCAAATATATCCTTGTATTAGCCAAGTCAAGTCTGGTGTTTAACTGGAGGCACAAGTAAATCTGCTTTCGTAGTCCCCATCCTCTCCACCTCTGTCTCAGCTCTTCTGTGTAAGAAAAACCTATGGAAAAACTATCCCAAACTTCCCTTGCTCCTACAGCCAGCCTTCGATTTCAAAGAGGGTTTATGACTTGCTTTCCTTTTTCCCCCACTTTTGAGGTAAACGAGTGTCTCCCTGTTTATTAACAGGCTGTATCGGACGCTTCGAGGACCTTTGTGAATCCGAGGAGCGGACCTCGGGGGAGAGAGGGAGGGAAGGACGGCGGGCGCCTCTCAGCCAGCTCTGGAACGCTGGATGCACTGCGCATCCCTCTCGCTGCGGGCCGGCGGGGCCTCCCGACTTGGCGGCGGGGAGGAGGCGGCGGGAGCCTGTTGCAGCTCCTGCTGCCCGGCGCGCTGCGGGAAGTTTGGCGGGCGGTGCCTCCGCCGCCCCGCGCCGCCGCCCGCTGCCCGTCACCGCCCCGGCTCCGGGCGCTGGGCGCGGGGAGCTGTCCACAGAGGGAGGTGCTGAAGGCAGGGAGGAAGCCGAGGGACGCGGACATCTTCGCTCCCCTAATTTCCTCCCTGCCTTCTGCAGCCATTTTGCACCGGCAGAGCTGGAGGGAGCGGGTGGGCTGCGGGGGATGAAGGGAAGAGGGTAAAGAGTTGCGGGGAGCGGAGAGGCAGCCATGGGAGATCCCGACTGGTGTGTCTGCTGAGGCTGGCTCACTGCAGCAGCTGTCATCAGCATCATGGTGAAAAGGAAAAGCTCAGAGGGCCAGGAGCAGGAGAGTGGCCGTGGCATCCCTCTGCCCATCCAGACCTTCCTATGGAGACAAACCAGGTGAGAGCAGCAAAGCCCTGGGTACTTGGGATATCGCTGCAACAGGGCAGTGGAAGTGGGGAGGGGGGTGCGGGCCGGCTGCTGCCCGGAGGCGGGGAGGAAGCGGTGATTGCAGCTGCAACATGCAGGCGTGAAACAAGCTGTTCTCTTTGCACTCAATATAGAGCAATTTGTGTGGATTCGGGAAGGTCTGGAGGCAGCTTGACCTAGTGGCAGTCCCAAGCAGCTTCTTGCTTTGACTTTAAAATATCCCTGTCTATGTGTCTGTATGCACCTTTCCCTTCCTCCCTGTCCCGTCTCCCCCCATCCCATCCCATCCATCCCGCCTCCCCTCCTCCCCCCTTTTAAGAGGACTCGTGGAGCTCTGGCAGCAGAAGCAGCACCCATCAGTGCTGCACCAGACCTGCAGCTTTGCTTGTATCTGTATTTGCAGCTGTCCTGGAAGTGTCATCTATGCCTTGTCAGCATGCAAACAGATACGTCAAAGTCTCACCTTATTTCATTGGATTGGAGAGTAATGATGTGTGAGGGGCTGGATGGATGTATGGCTGCGGTTTCATGTTCCTTGTGAGTCGTGTCTGTCTCCTGTCTCAGCAGAATTCTAAAGTGAAAACATTGTGAGAGTGGGGGGAGGTTGGAAGATTTGAAGGTTGTGGCTCTAATTTAAAGCCTCCATCGCCAAATCCCTTTATACCACAGTCAGTGTCCTCCAAAAAAATAAAATAAGGTGACCTGATTAGTTTTTTTAATATTTAACTCTGTTCCCATTCTGGAGAATGACAGCAGAGGGTGGGTATTTTCTACCTACAAGGCCTGCATTTCATCATAAGCCTTCTACATCAGCTGCTGTGGAGAAAAATACTTAATACAGAGCTGGCAAATGGATCTCTGGCTTAAAATAGAGGAAAAGCAAAGTTCAGTAGTATATAACACATTTTAAATGGAGTATATTGAAAATCTTTCACTGAGATAAAATGGCTAAAAATTATCTGATGGAAGATATTATCCCTGGGGAACAGGATTTCTCCTGAGGGTTGAATTAACAGCTTCTTGGCATATCAGTGTGGGTACTTTGTCTTCTAGAAAAGGTAACAGCATTTTGTCAGATGTTATCAACAGGTATCTGAACATAGTTTTGGCCTTTTGTCTTCCTTTACATTAAATTTCTCTGTGTTTTGCCAACTTTTTGACATGAGAAAAATCCTAAAAATAACTAAGCAAAGTCCACATTGATGTACTGGGTCTCTAACACCTTTTCTCCCTTCCTTCAGTGCATTTTTAAGACCTAAACTGGGGAAACAATATGAAGCTTCCTGTGTGGTACGTACCTGTTTCTCCTTTTCAACTCTTGTTAGTGACTAACTTTTTGTGCAACTTGATCTGACCATGGTGGCCGATAAGCTTCTCAGCTTATCCCAGAAGTGGATTTAGTCCATTCAGCTTAAATCTGTACTTCTATGACTCCTGTTTCTAACTGTATTTCACATAAAACCTCAAGTTACTGTCCAAATGGAGGAGAAAGGGAAGGCATGCAGCAAGTTCAAGTAAGATGTGTATCTAGAGAATTTCAGAATTCCTTGAATGGTTGCTGGTCTTTGGATTATTTAAAGTACATTAAGCGGTTGCAGCCGAACTTGACAGAGTGGAAAAATTTGGTCTGGACACATATCTTAGTAGTTTAAAGTACTTAGATCTCTCTGCAGCAATTTTCTGACTTCCTTCTCACAAGATATTAAGCTGGAGAAGCCTTAGCTATTGCTGACTCACTTTCTTCTTAGAAATCCATAAATTTTTCAGGGTTTTTGCTAGATACCAGATAGTGATAGAGGACTGCTGGCTTAGTGTGTCAGTGAGTAAAATGTACTGCAATTGTAGCACATGGAGCAAAAGGCATCGTCACTGCCTGATGCCATTGACAGTGTCTGGTTGCTGAGAGGCTGGAAAATGGAGCTTGTTGCCTTGTGTCCTTTACCAGGAGCCTTGGCAGTGTGCAGGAGCCATGCCTTGGAGCACCTCTTCTCTGAGGCTGTGGCCCCACCTATGAACTCATACCTGTTACTGTTGGGTAGAGGGACAGTTTCCTTCTCTGTGCCTTCTCCATGATGTATCTGTCTGTCTGTGACTTCCCTGTGCTTCCTGCTGTGCTGTTGGCATTAGGTCTTCCTCTGTGTCCTCCAGGCTGATTCTAAAGCACCTTTCTTCTAAGAGCACCTACCAGGATTCACTAAGCGTAAAAAATAACACCAAAAAAACCCACAAGACAACATAAATCACATGTGTCAGCCAAGGGAAAGGAAGGTCTTAAAAAATCCAATTAATTTCCACCCCTTGAATGAAGAACTTTATTCTTCTCCGGTCCTTAACATAATCATTAAATTGTGGTAGAAAGGTTTCAAAGGTGAGGCTTAGTTTTGAGCAACTGATACAACCTGATATGCTGCATCTGCCACCTTCTCATTATCTTTGCTCCTCAGTTTCCTATCCCTGCTGGAGCACAGGAATGTCTGCCCACATCAACGTGTTCTGTGTTATCCAGTGGGGTAGCAGGGTGCTGAGTGCATGAGTGAGGCAGGGTTTCTGGAACTTGACAGGTACCTGACTTATCTTCTGAAACATCCAGCTGACTGTCTAACACCCCTGTATTGACTAATGTGCCTGAAAATATTGTGCACCTGTTAAATGATCTGTCCTTTTAAAATTAGCTAGCCAGGATTATTGTAGGCATGTCTATAGGCTGCTGACTCTCTGGCAATGCAAATGACACAATGTCATGCAGTATTCTGTTATTATTCTTAGCTCTAAACTTGCTGCAGTAGAATTTGCTGCATATTGTGCATTGAGGAAGCAGATGCTGGAGGCTTAGATTCAGTGAGTACAGCATCTGGTGTGCAGGAGCAGATTGCATTGCTTCTTTGAGCTTTGCTTTATACCATAATACTTGAAGAAAAACCCAGCCCTTTCATAGCCTTGTTTTCCTTACATGAACAATCACACTGACTTCAATTAGTCTATGAATAATAGCTTTTAAGCTGGAGATAAATACCCTCCCCCATACATTGTCTTAAACTGTTTAAATGCTTTTGTGCCTCAGTATGGATTTAATGTTCTTCCTTCTCTCCATTCTGAAATTGTTCTGTCCTGACACAATGTCATTCCTAATGTGCATGAGTCAGAGCTGTAAATGGCCTCATAGGAGTACAAGTGAGTGCTGTACAAAGCTAATGTATTTTTGGGGTGATGGTAAGGAACTTAAGGGTATGTTAAATTCTTTTACCCTGGATTGCATTGGGCATGGAAGAACACAAATGTTTTGTGGAGGATCTTGCAAATGCAAAGTTTATCTCTTTTCTGTTTTTTTTTTACTTGTTTTTGAAAATGTAGTTATGTGTTTTATTGTTATGAATAATTAAAGTATAGATATGGAAAGTTCAGAAGGAGGTCACCTTTATTTATCCAAACAACGGGCCTGGTTGCAGAAAACTGAGTTTTTAAGCACAACAGTTTTCTGTAAATAAAGTGCTTGGCATCTGTATTTCATTACTTGCTAATGTTTATACTATTGCTGTGTTTAGTAAAAAATGGAACCTTACAATCCCATGTGCTATGAACTCCTAGGTTAATGTTTTAGATGTTTCTAGGAACTCCTCCTTGCTCAGTGGACCTGCTCCAAACTGACAGTACTGTCTGCCTGCATTTCAAGCTCTTTCTAGTCAGACAGAAGTTACTTTAGTGATGGTCTTGGCTTTTCACTTGAGCTTTGGAAGAACAGGACTGTAAGGTCCCCTCCAAGGACACAAGTCCAACTCAAAAAGCACTAACCATTTCTCCATGTCTCTGCCAGAGTCCTTCTGTACAAAGCTAAGTACTGGGCCCTGCTCTTTAGTTATTTTTTTCTCCACGTGCAGTCCCATAGGGCTACTCCCCGGGAGGACACCTGCAGTTCCTCTGGCGCTCCTGAGAGGGTGGGAGGGGGGGTGCTGAGCTTCTGAAGGTCCTGTATGTCTAGTGAGGGCTGGGGGCCTGGCTGAGCCCTTGCTGCCTTATGCAATTCATGCAGGTAGATCTTCCCTGGGCTTTGAGCCAGGGAATTTCACGTGACTCAGGCAAAGCTGTTTATGAAACCATGGCAAAGCCCAGCCAGAATCTGCTCTGTCCTATACTCCTTGTCTAGGCATCTTCAGGCAGCTACCTGTTCCCATTCCAGCAGCAAAGGAACACACAGACTGATCCTGGTCACAAGGTATTTGACAGTCCCTTTGGTTCTTGGTGGAGAAGAAGGTAAAAGGAGTGGGAAGGCAGCCAGAAAAGGTTGACTGCCACTCCCTGTGAAAACAGATGTCACCACCAGGCTAAAAGGAAAAATGCTTGTGTAAGTGGGCCTGAGGGAGCTGAAAACAGAAACAGAGCATTGCTGAAAGGGGCTGCCCTTTCTCCAGCCAAGATATAAACACTGACTTCCCTCACTACCACCTTGGCACATATTCTTTATTGGCCTTTGGTGTGTGGGGTGTCTGAGGCACGAACAAGCTTGCTATAAGTAGGTAACTGCTTTCTCAGCCAAGCTGCAGCCCTGAGGCTGCAGCTCCAGACATACCCATAGCATGACAATATCTGTCTTCTGACTGACTTGCAGGGAGCTTTTTCAGACGTTCTCATTCAGCCTTCTCATTGAAGCATGTAAGTCTTCCCAGCTGTAGCAGCAGTTGCTCAGTTCATGTGGGGTGAAAATTAGGTCTTCTGTCTCAATGTCTGTATATTTTTTGTAGCAGGTCCTGAAAGTTAGAGTAGAACTGCAGCAATCCAAAAGGAAGGCTCTATAGGAGCAAATGCTAACCCAGGGCCTTGCATCTTCAGTGTCTGGTGTAGACAGAAGCTGCTGTGAGCTGAACCTTTATGGAGAACCCCAGGCAAATTCCACAGGAACACTTGTCCAAAGAACTGCATGTTCTTGTTGGTCTGCTTGGGACAGTTCTCAATGTGGGGACTGATGCCAATTAGTTCCTGTGCTGGCAGTACATCCACAGTAGTAGTTACTGTACCAGGCAGTGCCTGTAGCAGGCAGGAACACTCAGTGGTTTCCATACAGCAGCTTCTGTGTTTGCATTTTTCTGGTAGCATGCAGTACTTCTGTGTCAGATACTTGTGATCACATAAGCTGCTCCAGAAGCTAATCTTTCATTAGGGTACAGAAATATGTTAGGCTTTCTGCTCAGGCCAGGGAAGAACAGCGGAATCTGGCAGATAAGCATGTAGGGAAATCTTCATGTGTGCCCAGAGGCCCAAAATGTGGTAAATGCAAGACGAATTTAAAGATATAATTGCAAACTCCTTGGCTTCCTTTTGAGTTTCTGAAGCATGCAGAATGTGGACCACAGCTTCCAGAAGGCAGTTTTGGGGGAATTTCTCCCTGATGCCATTGAAGTACCCGGGAATGAGACCTTGAATGGAAAACCAAGGAGCAACAACGTGTTTTTGTCGCACTGGTGAAAGAGCTTGTGACCAAATAGGTAGTCATGAGGCTAAGCTGGTATATGGCAAGGACATGCATTGTCATTATCTTTCCTTTAGGAACTTTGGAGAAGGAATATAGCTGCATTTGTGACCTATAATGAGATCTTTGTATCTGATCAGAGCAGCAACTTATTGAAATTTTTGGAACAACTAGCAATAAGGAGCTTCCATAGAGATGTCAGAGGCAGATAGTCTTACTTTTTGTTGCTTGAGGTAAAAATAATGAACTTGCTGCAGCCATCAGCTCTCTTAAGTGTTCATAAAACCATTACATCATGGCTAGACAAAAAATTTTGTACAGTGATTATTTTTTGTGACAGGATGTGAAAACATTTCCTAAGGCTCATATACCTTTAATGGGTTGCCCTTTGTGTTACACTAAACTGAAAGAGCATGTGTGTTTGAGAAGAATATCCAGCACTCAGCTCCACAAATACAGGCTTCCTTAGCTCCTGTGACTTTCAACAGGATTACTTGCATGCCAGATTAATACCCAACATTTGGCTTGATGTCAGAACTTACTAATATACGGGTTATACTTGCTTTAACTCTCTATATTACAGAAAATATATTGTGTGGCCCTTTCGCTTCTTAGTCAAGTATGTCCAAATGTCTGGTGAACTTTAGTTACAGTCTGTGTTTTTCAGGAAAAATATTACAAGATGTGCTTTAGTTATACAATTAAATATCACAGGTTTTTAAAAGAGAATGTTCTATGTGCTGGAAGGAATATGCAGAAACAGATACACAGTGTCTTTCTTTCCTTGTTCTTGCTTTTAGTCTTTTGAAAGAGTTTTAGTAGAAAACAAACTGCATGGCCTTTCTCCAGCTCTCTCTGAAGCCATCCAGAGCATCTCTCGCTGGGAACTCGTCCAGGCTGCGCTCCCGCACGTGCTGCACTGCACCGCGACGCTGCTCTCCAACCGGAACAAGCTGGGTTAGTGCTCCTCTGAGGGGGCTGTCAGGCAAAATGTGACATTCTGATGCTCAGGGTGCCAACATATTCTAAATCCTTAGAACCCCAGTTAGTTCATTCTGTGGCTTGTCTTTCCTGTGGCTTGTCTTTCTTATTTGTAGCAGGGTAACCTGTGGGAGCTTCCCCAGTGAAGGTAATGGCTCGATGAGCTGAAGAGCAGTTCAATAACATTTTGCTGGTTATTTTCCAGAGGTAATAGAACTTATTTTAGAACAACCACCCAGCAGACATGGGTTCCTTGAAGGAATACGTATTTCTTTCAGTTGTCAGTTGCAACAGATACTTTTAGTATCTTCAGTTCTTCTTTTTGTTTCTTTTTTTTTTCTTTTTATTCAGATCAATGCATGGGATTCTCAGCAGATAAGTCAATCAGACAGTAAGGACAGAGGTCCAAATAGAACTTACTTTTAGTAAGTCTTTTACTGATTGATTTCAGCCAGGAATTTGCTTCCCGAGACATGCCAGTTGGAGGCCTTAACAGGACACAGCTTGAGCACCTTACAGTGCTCACTTCCATTTTATTTTATTCAACAAAGTCAAACAGACAAGACTGTCAAGTTGGCTGCTTTTGGGAGCACTCTATGTCCATGCTGCTGTCTGTGCCCTGCAGCTGACATTGCAGGAACTGGACTGCAAATGCTGTGAAGTAAATGGAGACTTGTGATTTAGGAGATTTCAGGAGGTTTCAAACATAATGAGACAGAATGCTGATGCTTTTAATGGTAGATTTTTAATTTTCAAATGCTTATCAGGAAGTTGGATGTCCAGTTTCCCGTGCAGCTCTGAAAGTCTCAACAGTACCATTAATGGTAACCCTGTGAGATACAGTGATGCATTTTTCCACACAGGGCATCAGGATAAGCTTGGAGTAGCTGAAACAAAGCTTCTTCACACTCTTCACTGGATGCTGCTGGAGGCTCCTCAGGACTGCAGCAATGACCGATTTGGAGGGGACAGAGGCTCTAGCTGGGGAGGGAGCAGTAGCGCCTTTATCCATCAGGCGGAAAACCAAGGATCACCAGGACATCCCCAGCCCAGTGCCACAACTGAGGAGGAGGAGAATAGCAGAAGGAAGTTCTTCCAGAACTCCATGGCCACCGTGGAGCTGTTTGTCTTCCTCTTTGCTCCCCTTGTCCACAGAATTAAAGTAAGTGGAACGCTGATGGGGTGCTTGTGTGGAGTGAGCTCTGAGCAGGAAAGGAATTACTCTGCCTTTGTGATTGTTATTTAATTCAGCCTACAGTGCACATTGGGGGACCACTGGAAATGTTTTAACAAGCTGGCAGGATACCACTGCCATCAGGAAGAAATCCTTCCAGTGACATGAACAATCACCTCAGCATCAGGCAGGCACAAAGGAAAATAAATCTGAAGTGAGCCATTTTTAGCCTTTGGGAATGTGAAAGATCTGTGGCCCCTGTGAAGTCTCTGGGATCCAGGAACCTGCAGAAAGGGTTGTGAGCTTTGGCTTGTGCCAGTGATTCTCAACCATTGCTCTGAAGGGCCTTGCTAGTTTTTCAACTGTGGGGCTGCCACTGGGATTTGTTGTTGTCATTACTAATCATCTTGATGCTAATTACCAGGAATGTGTGATGGTGCTATAAGCATGGCAGTAGCAAAGGCAATGGAGCATTCCTTTGTTCTGAAGTTGGAAGCAGGCTGCAGGCTTCCTGTCTGCCGGGGTGGCTCTATTGATTTTATGCTGAGTGCATCAGCTTTGCAGAGTGGTGATGAGAAGGCATTTTCTGCATGTTCTCCTGCCTCTCTGGGGGGCTGCAGTTTTTAGCCTTTACGTTTCCAGCTAGGCCTTGGGAAAGAGTAGGTACTTGGAAAAGGTCTGTAAAGTCATGAAGTGATGGGGCTGTTATCTGTTCTAATCCTGCCTCCTATGCTGCAGCAGTTGAAGAAGATAAGAAAGAACAGGAAATAAAGGATAATCTTTTGATTCAGGCAGGTGAAAGCAAGACTGGAGAAGTAGATTCTTTCCCTACTTCTGCTACTGAGTTCCAGTACAGTATAGCTCAATTTATTTAGCCCAAATTTGTCATAATTTTTTCTGTAAGCTACTGGGACAGGACAGGAAGAAGTGTTGAATTCTTCCCAGTGCTACACACACAAATGTGGGTTGCCCTTTGAATGAATTAAATGAAACTGGAGGTAGACCCTGGCTATTAGAGAGAAGATTTCCAATCTTCAACATTAATCTTTCTGGGATGTTGTTTCCCATTTATAAGGTGGGGTTAATATCAGTATCTCAGGTTTATCTTGAAAATCTCTGAGATCTCTGAAATACTGTGGTGATAAATATTGAAAAGCCCAAATTTGCATGATTTAGGCCAGTTGCATACGTAAAGCACTGTAAGTAGTGTCAGTGTTTCTGTACTGTCATAGCTCAGGTACCAACAGTGCTAATGATATCAGTGATGTATTATACCACTGCTTCATAGTAATCTGTTACGTTTCCTCAATTTCTAAGTAATGTTTTAATATTTAGTATTCTTATTCTTTTGGGGAAGAAGTTCAAGTCTTGGAGTGTAAATCCTAAGGTTGAGATTGAATACCAAACATGAAGTGACTTTATATGGTTAAAAGAGATGCTTTCTGACAGGAATGGCCTTTTCTTTTACAGCTTAATGTCCTAGGAAAAACAGGGTTCCTTACCTAGTATAGAAATTTCATTTGGAAAAACCTTCCTGTGTGTTTTTGTATTGAGATTTCTCTGTGATTTTTCATCAGCCACATGTGACATGCATTAAGTCTGCCGAGCGTTGTCAGTGGTCCCCGAGTTAGCATATACCCACTGCAGAACTGCACATGGTGTCACTCATCTCTTGTAGGATCTGTGCATCAGAGAAATTGCAGCCCTCACAAACTGGAAACCACATTGTTTCGTGTGAGCTGGTGTGCCACCACCTCTGTTTCTCTTCCTAGGAGTCGGATCTGACATTCCGCTTGGCCAGTGGCCTCGTTATTTGGCAGCCCATGTGGGAACACAGGCAGCCTGAAGTTTCTGCCTTCAATGCTCTTGTAAAGCCCATCAGGAACATCGTTACAGGTCTGTGACTTTGCTGTGGTAATGGAGCTCCTGAGAGCTGGGAATGCCTAATGCTGCCTTACATTCTGTAGTCATTGTATTTGAAGGAATTTACTGATACTGCAGGAATTAGTGAAACCTTAGAGTAGTTTAAGGTTGTTTCCCCTCGGGAGTCAGCTGACATTTGCCTGATAGTTGAATAGGAGAGAGCCATCACAAATAGGAAATGAGAAACTCCTCAGTAGAGTTATCATTACCTGTCAGCCTCCTATCTCTGTTTCACCTCATCTCCCTCAGTTGCTAAGAAGGGGAAAGGCAGTATCTCTTAGCAGTCTGATGTGGGTGAATTGAGCTTTCCCAAACTGGCACTGAACAAAAGTGAACAGTGAAGAACACACAGTTGATTGTCCTCCTATCTAAAATTTGAATTTCCCCATGTTATGAAATTAAAAAAGGTAATTTCAAGACTCTCCAAAGAAAGGCCTAGGTTGTGAATTCACTTCTGCATGCTGGAAAGGGTTGCTCTTCCTTTGTGTTTCAGCCATAATGAGACTGGAATTGGGTACTTAGGCTTCAGAGACTTTGGCTTCCAAGGCCTAGTCCCAAAAAACTTTACTTTTATGTTTTTAGACAATAGTTTTGCATAATTTCTACAAGGTGGTGCATTGAAAGTGAGCTGGATATATTGCTGTAGCATTGCTTGCCAGCTCTCAAGAGCATGGAGCTGTAATTTTCGTCAGAGTGAAAATGTAGTTTGCCAAATCAGATTTTTCTTAAAACAAGTAATTTTGTTCTGAAGGTTTTGTACACCTTTGGAACATCCCAGAATTGAAAAGATTCGAGTATTTCAGATTATTTAAAACAGTCTTTGACATCTAACAATTCATCCCTCTGCTTCAACTTCTGGAATTAAAATATAGGATTTCAGCCCTGGAACTAACAAAAGGAATTAGTCCTAAATTTTCTTCAACCATTGGAATTTTTCCTGTAGGTCTGTCTGAAGTCAGAAAATTCCTAAAAAATAACTTAAGGAGTAAAGTATGAAAGGAAAATGCTCTGTTATGTTTCGAAAGCATTTTCAGCAGGACAGAAATAGTAATTGGAATGAGGTCCTTTATATCAAGGAATATGCTGCTATCTTAGCATTATCTCAAACTGGGACCAAAAAAAAAGTCAAATTTACTTAAATTTTCCTTCACACAACAAACTATAATGAAGAAGCTTTGCAATGTTTTGTTTGCAGTCAGTCTAAATCACATCTGCACAGCTTTCAATGTGACAGGATTTCAAGAATAGTCTTCCTAGTCAGTGTTATGCCCTTGTTCTGCTACAATATCACTGACCAAACTTTCTCTATGATATGTGTGTTTCCTGTGATGAAAGCATTTGGCAAATTGGAAATCCCAATACACCCTTTGAGATGTAGCCTGGAAAAGGACCCGAATATATGTGCAAATAGGAGGGAAAACTCCAAAATGAAAGGGACTAGTATGTACAGGAAAACAAAATTTGATGGCAGATGGATTTAGGATAAAATTTATATTCAAATTAAATTTTAAAGAAATAGAGGTTTCCACTAGACAGTGTAGATGACAACGCAATGGAAATAACTGTGCAAAAAATTCAAACAGTCCTTTTTTTCTTTTTCCTTTTTATGGCTGTGGCTGATGCCCAGAAAGTCTGCAGCAGAGAGAGGCTGCTTTGGGTTTGGTTTTGTTTTCTGGTTTATCCTTTCAGTGGTACATTATAATATAAGAGGTGTTTCCTGAAATGTTCTGCTTTGACTTCTTTTCTCAGCCAAGAGAAGTTCTCCCACCAACAATCAGAGTGCGACTTGTGAATCCCCTAATCTGGACAGTGGCCATACTGAGGTGAGTTCTGTGCTAAGGTTTGACAAGCTTGAATAAGGGGCTGAGAGAGGGGGGAAAACAGAACTTGCTTTTACCACCCTAAAGTATTCCATCTCCAGAAATTACAGTTATTCACAGTTCTTCCAAAGGCTCCCAACCTAATTTGCAGTGGAACCAAAGGGTATTAGGTGTAGTTGTCTGGATCTTCTTGTCCTTATCCTGTCTTGTAGGATGGAAATCTGATCTTGCTTATGATGGGGAGTTGGAACTAGATCTTAAAGGCCCATTGCAACCCAAACCACTCTATGATTCAATGATCTTACGTATTTTCCTTGGCAAAAGCCCTGTCTTACCCTTTGCCTGTGCAATGCCTAGTACTAAGAAGCCCCAGGCTTGCTCAGTTTCTCCATATTACCATGGCATTGTGGTGGAAGTAATGGTCATGTCTTAGCACAAATCGCAGTTATAAAGCTAATATGGGAGAGATAAGTATGTTTATATACCTCTTTTCTTTTATTACAACCATCCAAAGGGACTGCAGGTGGTCTGTGAGACAACACGGCCAGATTCTGTACCTCCAAAGGCTGCTGTTTCAGCATGTCATCGTGGAAATTCCTTGGATGGAAGCATATCCTCCCAAACCTCTCAGGAGAGAGGTACTGCACATCCCAGGTACAACCCCCCCTCAGGAGAAAGTTAGGCTGGTGTGAGGCCATACAAGTCCTGTATCTTGAATCTGCTGTTGTCTGTGCATGATGAGCGTGCTCGATGTTTATCTCACACTCTTAATGCCACGAATCTCAGTTCTGGGTTTTGAACAGGGTGGTGACACAATGCCACTTCCATTGAAGAAGTCTCTAGCTGACCTGTCGGGACAGTTTCTTTAGTCTTTTCTAGTGTGTTGGTTTCTTAAAATTAAAGACACAAAAAATAAATTGCAGGTTCAACCTTCCTAGGCTGGATTCAGCCTCAGGCAACTGGTATATTTTCTGGCATCTTTCTGATTGGATTTTTTTCCCTCTAGCAAAGGGTTTTTGCAAGCCTGTCTCCATTGCCTTCATTATTTCTTCTCTGCATCCTGCTGCTTAGCTTCCTTTAGACTGCTGTCCCAAAGGAACAAGCTAACAAAGAAGAATAGCCATGCAAACATCCTTTAAGCTTGCCCTGCAGCACACAAGCCATGGTTTTCCAGCATGGCACTGATAAATTCATCTAGATTTTAGGGTGCATAAAGGTAGAACCAGATTTTTCAGTAGTGCTGGACACTTGGTGGTGCCGTAAAGTAAATGAAGCTGATAAGTGTTTTCAGGGGGCGGAGAGGGAGGGAAGCCTATAATTTTAATATATATAACTATAATTTTAGGTCTCTATGGATTTAGGAGTGTCACTGAAACTCCTTCTGAAAATTTTGGTTCTGTTTTGGGAAATGTCATGTCCAGAACGTTGCAGATTTAAGAAATGGCTTCATTACAGTGACAGAAGAAATGTAGGATGGAGTGGGTTTCTGGATACCATCTAGGAACAGCTCTGATTTCTGGTCCAAAGGGCAAAGCTATTCTCTAAGGCTCTCATCCCATCAGGAGGCTTCCCTTGGGGTTTTGTTGTCAGTTCTGGGTCTTTATTTAATTTGTATTAATGTGAGCCAGTAAAACTGAAGTTGGGGACAGAACAGCCTTTCTGTATGTGAACACTGTTCCTCAGAGAGTGCACAGCTGTTAAAAAAAAAAAAAAAGCAGCCTTTTAAGAAGACAGAATCAGGTGATCAATTTGTCAAGCTGGGTCTAGTGGTTGCCATGGGGATGAAGCTTTAGACAGGCTTTGAAGAGAGCATCATTATGCCTCCTCATTTGCAGAACTCATTGATCAGTTAAAACTGTACAGGGAGCTTTGGTTGCCGAGCAACAGACAACTGGGGAACAAATGTTGTTTACTCTGCTTACCAACAGCCGCAGTATTCCTTTGTCCTTGGCCAGCGGTTGGAGGCAGGCTGCCTTTCCACATTCCCTGCAGTCACAGGCAACCAGGAGCTGATTATACAAGCACTAGATTTCCCTTTAAATGAAGTAAAGAGTTTAATTTCTGCTTCCTCAGACACTGCTTGAGCAAATGGCTTGTTCCTCTGATCCTGGCCGATTATCCCTCCTCCACTCAGTGAAATTCTCTGTGTACAGGTGATACAGTTTAACACAGAAGCAAATAAAGCCACAGCCCTTTATCCAGCTTCTGCCTTGAACAGGCTGCCTGGGAAATAGGCTTTGTAGGAAGGACTTCAGTGACAAATATTTCATAAGGAGAACATGCCTTGCTCCAGGCTGTGTCATGCCTCAGGTTTGCCTGTGCCACGTGCAGGAGAGCATGAAAGACTGTTCAGACTCTCAGACACGGATCAAGGTCCTGCAAAGTGACCAGGGAGCAATGCATCACCTTTCACAATTGCTACTGAGATGACAGGCTTTATTTCCTTTGCTGGGATACTTTGAGTATCCCAGCTACCCTTGAGGTTTTTTACAGGCTGCATCTGTGTGACACAACCCAGACTGTGACAAAACCAGCCTTTGTATCAGGTTTACGGGGAAAAATTTATAGCATATTCCCATTTCTCCTTGTTTTCTCCTTCCTAATTCAGTTTTTCTGGTTTTTATAATATGTCATTTTAAAGTCATCAAACTTTAAGCATTTTTACCTGGAATGCAGCACTAGAAAAGAGACTTTCAATTTATGTATTGCATATAGGGTGACATATGCTGACACAGATGGGCTGGTCTGCAGTCACCAAGTGCCTTTGACATTGGCCTGTGGGGCTGGCAGCAAACCAGCTCCTGCAGGTTTGAGCTCTAGATCTATGCATTGCTTCAAGCCCAGCCATGCCACCTGCTCCCTGTTTCCAAGGGTAATATGGAACAGGGTTCATATGATTCCAAGTGGTGTCAATGTTCACTGCACACTTCCTTCTCCTCTGCCAGTTCTGTACCTGCCTTGGATGCACAGGGCAGTGATCCAGCAAAGCACTTAAAACATGCTCTTCACTTGAGCACTTAAAGGTCCCACTGGTCAGTACTGCTGCTATTCCCTGATGCTTTTCTGGACTGTGTCCTCGGATCCCTCTGTTTAGAATGTGATGGTACCCAGCTAGAGATGGGGGTGTCCTGCCCACTCTGTTTTCATGCTGTTTAGCAGAGTTGAAAATATAAAAGGCTTATAACAGCAACAACTAGCCCACAAAAAAACCCAACCAAAAAACCAAACCAAAAAACCCCTGATGTTCTTGTGATGATTCTCAAATGCCCGAGAATACAATGGATGAAAGAGATGTTGATTCTTATAGAATCCAAAAATCCCAGAAGTACTCAGGTCACAGAGGTGTGTTTCTAACACACAGAGTAGAAATATTTAAAATGTGTACTTCAGCAGGCAAAAAAAAAAAAAAAGATGTCCAGAGTTCCTGCCCCACCCCCAGATTTCCCACCTTCTTTTGCCGTGTGATTCTCATTCCTCCGACTCCCTTTCACTTACTTCTTTTCTGACAGATTGTCTCCTCACAGTAAGTGACTGTTCAGAGGGTAGATCAGGCCAGTTGTACTCTGCTGGGTGGGAAGTGGTAAAAAAATTAAGAATAAAAAGGCGGGGGCATTGTTGTTTTTTTTTTTTACAATAAGGTGGGCTCTGAAAGTACCTATGATGCCTTTGAAATCTGAAATCTCTGGATTCTCATTACTTAGGCTTGTTACAGACATCTTGCTTTTATGCACACTAACTTCTACAATATGTAAGAAATTCAATATGTTGAAACATATGAGGAAGTTACACCACCTGATGGGCAGAAGAAGTATAATGAGGGCTTAAAATGGTCTTTTTCTCTGGAACACGTCAGCAAAGAATGTCTATAACAGTAACTTTAACACGTATAGGAATCGATTTAATTGGCTTAAAGTGTTAACTAACTTAGCTGCCCTGCCTGCTTCTTTTTAAGCGAGGCCTGATATGAGGAAATGTAAACGATTCCTAAATATACATTACTTGTATCTGAACAGCAGGTGCTCAAAGGTTGTCTGTTTCCCACTGAACAAATTATTCAGTTAGAACGAGTGCTGGAGGCTTATCTTCAGATCACAGTTTAAGAAAGCAACCCTATCCAAGAAAACACTTAACAAAGCATGTACTGGAGTCCTCTGGGGAATTGAAAGCTAAATATCCACTTATGTGTCTTCAGTAACGCTTTCCTCAGTCAGAGCCTTGGTCCCAAAGAGTCGGTTCTTTATTCAGGGAGCCGAGTATCTAAGAAGGCCTAAGGAGCCTGATGACTAACATTCCTGCTCCTGCTTTTTGGAACAGAGTGTCCTTGGTGATCCCACCGTGCCAGAGGTCTCGCTACGCCACCTACTTCGACGTGGCCGTGCTGCGCTGCCTGCTGCAGCCACACTGGTCTGAGGAGGGCACACAGTGGTCACTGATGTACTACCTGCAGAGGCTGAGGCACATGCTGCAGGAAAAACCAGAGAAGCCACCCGAGCCAGAGATCACCCCTTTGCTGAGGCCTCGGAGCAGCTCCATGGTGGCCGCTGCACCCTCTCTGGTGAACACCCACAAAACTCAGGTAAGCAGGTGCTGCCAACAAGGAAATAGCTGCTGCTGTGGCGATGCTGGGAAGTGATGGCTGGACAAGTAGTGAAAGGCACAGCTTTGGTGTTGGTTCAGCTGCCCGGGAGTCAGATATGTGCATCATTCAGAAAGAGACCCTGAGAATGATGAGGGTTTTGGGGGCAGAATCTGGTGCAGTGAGTCAGAGCTGGTGCCTGCTGAAAGCTTGAGGATTTATTTGGGATAATTAATCCAGGGTGAACTGGGATAATGTTAGTTTGTAATGTGAGAATATACTTATGTAGTTGTCAGAAAAAATGGAACTGCCTTTGCATTACAGTGTAATGGGCAGGACTCACTGAGCTTCTCTGGTGTAACCCCACAAAAGAGAGAAAAGGAACTACACTTGGTACAGCACTGCACACTCCAGGCAAACACTTGGGTTAAATATTAGACTAGGCTTCACAAACAGTGGCCATGAGCAAAAGCCTTCCATCTTGTTACCTCTTCTCCTGCTGTTATTCTTATTGCATAACTTTTATATTTGCCAACAAAACCTCAGTAGACAAACTGTCCTAATAGGTGTCAAGACTTGCTCCCTATTTGCTGGAAAATGAACCCCAGACTCCTGACCTTGGTGCAGAAAAGATCTTTGTGTTTTTTCTTTTGGATAGTCCCTTGTTCCAGGGATAAAAAGGGGATGCTGTTGCAGTTTCAGTTAATCTCCTTGTTGATTTGTGCCACTTTTAGGTTGTGCCCTCTTTTCCTGTCATGTGGGCTTTTAACAGCAAATTCTGATTTACTGAGTTGATGGAACTGCTTAATAAAATTTAATAGAGGTTCTATTTTTGCCATCCAATTTTATGACACACCTCAAGTAAAAGGCTCTCTCTTTTGCTAATGTTGCTATCAAATGTCTTTCTGTGAGTCAGAAATCTCAGAATTCTTAATGTTTTTCTTAAAATCATTGCTTTCAGTATTGTAGGGCTCTGATGGTTTTTGACTTGTCATTTTATAAGGAAGAAGGCTGAGGTATCTTCTCTCCTGTGGAGCCCAGATGCTCGTAATCCAGAAGAAAAGCATAAACAATGTCAATATTAGTACTGTTGTTTTTAAATCTCAGGACTTTATAGTCATTCTTATATTTTTTATGAGAGCTGGTTTTAAGGGCTCAGCAGCAGTGTTGTTTAAACTGTATTATAGTTCAGTGTCATTTCTATAAAATGTTTTCCTGTTTCATACCTGTAAAAGCTTGACATAGCTCCATAAAGGCCAGGTGATATGAATTACTATTCCATCTTAATCTGCCTTTGCAGGGGGATTGTATGGGATTGCTGTGCAGAAAATCCTCCTTAATATCATCTCCTGGAGGGAAAATTGAAAGATATTGCTGTTGATGTGGTTCACTGTTTCCATGCATGTATTGTCCCTTTGTCCTTGCTCATAGCAGCCTGGTTCTTTTGCACATTAGCCAGTTTATCTCCTAGTGCAACAGGGAGTGCAGTCAGTGGTTTACAGAGGCAGTATGAATGGGGTTGTCTTCCTCGTTCTTCTCTGTATGCTGTGAAACACTTCTCTCCTTTCACACACTTGGCTATTTCTTGCTTTTCCAGGCTGTTTCTCTTGCAAGATTCCTTTGCTCTGTCATTTTTCTCTACTGTTTTTCTGTTAAATCCATTTGGCAGTTCCACTGGGTACATTATAGCTGTTAATGTGAGGACTCTGTCCAGGGCATTCTTCCCTCCAAGGCTAAGTTTGATTGCTTTTGGTAACCTTTGTGTCAGTCCTGTGTATTCCTGCTGTACTTCATCCAGTTGGAATCCTGTTCAAAAAGGTTTCTGATTTGTTACGCAGAACAGATGTGATGGAGGAGGTGAAGCAGTCTTACAGGCAGCAACACTTTCAACTCGTGCCCCCCTACCTTTACAACTGTGAGGACTGAAATCTGTGCAACATAGTGAGGCACCTGGGCTCTGGTTCATCCCAGCCAACTGTAGGGACTTTACTGCTGTTTGTAAATTGAGAGTCTCATCACTCATGGCTCTCTGCTCGTTCACAGCAGAGAATGCCCCCTCCCAAGGGGTAGGATTTGTCCTTTCTTTCTAGCAACGCAAGGGGTTGTATGCTGGGCCTTCACGAGCTCATCCGACACAGGGATATGCTTAAAGCCTGATTTTTCAGTCTCAATCTTAAATTCCTAACACAGTGTCATAATTTCTGCTCAAAGGTCAATCAATTACTTCTCAAAAATACTGGCACTCTGTGTTTCTTTAGGGTAGATTTGAAGCGGCAGCCAAAAAGCGAGTAAGGACAAACACAACTTTCTGAAAATCATATCAGGCACCAGTAGATTCTTCTGTGGTAAATCTACATTCTTTCTATTGTTCTGCAGTTCATCAGGGTAATTTCCTGCATGTCTCTGAGTCTCAGCAAAACTCTCGCTTCCTGTGTGTCTGAAATCACATTTCAGATAAGCTTGGGCTAAAGCAGTGGGGTTTGAGAGGATGAAAGAAACATTCTCCATATATCACCTAGTAATCTGAACAGTAAAGTAGGAAAAGATTCAGTGCAGCATTCCAACATGCCTTGTTGCACAGGAAAAGGGGCACTGGATGAAGTGTGAATAAAATGAATACCAGCTTCTTCTAGAAAGTGACTTGAGTCTAAACATATTTCAGTCCTGGCAACATGTGATGAAGGAAACCTGCATTGCATCTGTATGCAGTAAATTCACTCTAAGGGCAGGTGTAGGACATGAAACCTTCAGAGGCTCACGAACTGCTACAGTCTTGCACTGACATTGCAGGGGAAAGAGCCAAAACTTAAATGAAGCATAGGACCAGTGCAGCTGTAGTTCTTGCTGCAATGCTGATAGAAAGCCAAGAGCCTCAAGTGTAATATCTTGAGAGCTGAGAGAAGTACTAATGAGCTGATACATGTAGAGTTGTGCAACAGGAAGGTGATAAAAATAGAAGCAACAAAATCTAGAGGAGCAGCCCCCAAAATATTTTGCTTTCTTATCCATCCTGTGCGTATCATAGTTGCTACACACAGTCTACTGCACAGAACACCCCTGGTTTTAATCAGTCTTCATCAGAGTGCTAGCTTGGTTCATTAAAATCTGTCATCTACCATACTGTAAATTTAAGGTGATTCTGTAATTTCATTTTCTGGTGTTGTTTTCTGGATACTTACCCTGAGCAGATTTCAGAGCTGGGCCTGTGTTGTCTGTGCTTGTATGGCTTGTGACTCAGTAGGCCCTGATCCTTACTTTGTCTTTTGGTGACTATAAGCCACCTAATAAAACACTGATTTAGTCAGTAGTGGACGAAGATAATGAATGCGAAATAAATTTGTACGAAGGCCAGAAGAGACCAGAGAGCTGTAAAAACTAAGAACCAAGCTATATGGAGTACTTGGCCTTGCCACTGAGAGCACCTAGGTTTGAATCCTGATTTGCTGTGTGTTGGATTTTACGTGTGACTCCTCCATGGCACCTTCAGTTATATAAACAAAGTGGTTTATAAGCATACCTGGACTACAAACAGTGGTGAAGAGGAGTCTTACTGTTGTGTATCTCCTTCACTCTTGTGCTGATAAAATAATTAGGAAGAATTTAAGGCTAGTCTCTGATTACTCTGAAAAGTCTCTGAAAAAATGTATCCCAGTACTGCAAACACTGTAACTGGTACTTAAGATTTCAGCTGCAAAGGCTGTCACTGGCTTCTGCTGGACATTTTTGTGCATAAAACTGCACACTTTTATATTGCAGAGCTGGCTGGCTCTGCAATGGGCAATCTGGCAAGGCAGAATCTAAACCTCCTGTACTATCGGAGTCGCTTCATCTGTCCTTGCCTTATGGCTGTCTCTGGATTGAAAGCAAAAGGTATTTGTACATAACCCAGTTGTTCAACACAACGTTTCCGGTGGGACAGTGAAGAAAAACATCATCTCCATCGGAAACAAGTTGATATTTAGGCGGAATAAAATCATCCTGTGGGAATTTGGTCAGGTCAGCTGCACAAACATCTCATGGATGGTGGCATTGGATCTTTAATGGGAGCAGATGGCCAGGAGCTGAGCTTGTGCCATTTTTGTGGCAAAGCCTTCCTCTGCAGCAGGCAGGTGTAACGTGTGTTGCTTAGTGCAGAGGGTGCTTGAGCGCTCTCTACTGAAACTGGGGTGAGTGAGCCTCATGGTTTTCACTCTCATGAGACATTCTGGGATATAGGAAGGGGGGAATTACACAAACGTGAACTATGATGGTCTGGGAGCACTGTTATTATGAGTGGAGGATGCTTAGTGATGTAGAACTCTTAGGTTTCTTCCGTGAGTAAATAAATTTTTTTTGAAAATCAAGTCTCTTGAAGGGACAGTGCTGCTTATTGCCAGTCAGTTCCAAAATGTGTATTTAAAGATACATATTATTAAGGGCATATTCTCTTAGATCTCAAATAAAACCATTTCAAAAAGGGTAGCCATTGTGATTGCTCATCAGTGTATGATCAGAAGATCGTCAGCTACCCAGAGTCATACCTGGGTTCAGAATCAGACAGGAGAAGAACATGCCACGAGACCACACTGACAGCAAAGCCTGTGACGGAAATGTTAGACAAGGTAAATAATTCTGAGAGTTTCTACATTTTGTTTGCTCAGTTGTTTTTCTTTAAATGTGTGTACCATTTTGTTTAATGAATTGGAGGTTCTTTTCCTCTGCAGTGCTCCTATGACAGCTCCTGGAAGTAGCTTTTTTTTTTTTTTTAAAAGCTGATTGTCCTCTATTTCTCCTTGTGCTTACTGTCTTCTTTTGGGAGCTGCAGGATCTTACAATGAAATGTAACGAGGAAGAAAAATCACTAAGTGCAGAGGCATTTTCCAAGGTTTCATTGACCAACTTGCGTAGACCAGCAGTTCCAGATCTCTCCACAGACCTGGGGATGAACATCTTCAAAAAGGTAGGTGAAAGAAAACTTTGATTTACTTATGATCTAGCACTTCACTGTCCTGCTAAATAGTGGCTGAAGGTCTGCTTGGAATTTATGTTCATGCCATATGTGAGATTGATGTCCCTTTTCATTAGAGTTGGGTGTTATTACATAGGTTTTCATGTGCACATTGCAGACATGATACTCAAATCTTTATTCAAATAGCTGTTCTGCTGAAACTGCATGAGTGGAGGGCACTCAAACAGTGCTGATTTTTAAATGCTGGTGCTCACTTGTACTTCCAGCTAAGTCAGTGAGTTTTTCTGATATTTTTACCTCATCCTAGCTCTAGGTTGCAACCATTCAAGATACTAGGCAGACTTTTGTGGATTCTGTGCATCTAGCTCAAGGTCCCAGAACGTCGTAAAATTATCCAAGGGCATCCCTCCCAGCTGAGGGCAATTCTAAGTTCCTTTAAACACTCATGTGGTCCCAGCGTGCAGATGGTTGCTAGCAGGGTAAATGCCCAAGGTAAGAAGCTCAGAGTGGAAGGTTATGCTTGGGACACACATCTGTGTTATCTTTTCCCCTCAAATGGTAGTCCTCCATGGCTCAAAGCTTCTACTTGCTCCCATATCTTTCCCTCTTCTTCCTGCAGTTTAAGAGCCGCAAAGAGGACAGGGAACGCGAGCGCAAAGGGTCAATTCCTTTCCACCACACTGGGAAGAAGCGGCAGAGAAGGATGGGGGTACCTTTCCTCCTCCATGAGGATCATTTGGATGTCTCACCCACTCGCAGCACTTTCTCCTTCGGCAGTTTCTCTGGAATCGGAGAGGACCGACGTGGCATTGAGAGAGGAGGATGGCAAACCACCATATTAGGTGAGATGTTGTTATGTCTGCCCCAGATTCTGTGTCATTCCTGTTGTAAACATCCAGAGAACAACAAAGGCTCTTTGTTTCATTGTCCATCCTGTTGTCACCTTGGCTCTGTTTGCAGCATGACACACCTGTTGGTAGAAGTGGCAACTGCTCTCAGCAGACCTTGAATGACTTATGCCTTAGTTCACTTTTTCTCTGAAAACTACCATCTTCACTAGAATAACAGCTCCTGTGGCAACCTGTAGGGATCACTGTACCACTTGAGTATGCCTTCCCTGAGTGGTAGCAAGCATTGCATGACTGCAGCTTAAAATAGATTCAAGGAATATTTGCATCCTCTTCTTTATAAGAAAAATATCTAAAGAGGCAGCAATATGGTCACTAGGAGCATGGCAAAATATATTCTATTCACAGTCTTCCTCAATTGAATGTTGGATACAATATAAATAGGATATTGTCTCAGCGAGACTTATGCTGTCTTGATATTGCAAAGATACAGTTGTTTAAATGTAAAAATTGACTCCTTCAAGCTTCCAAGTTCACTGAACAACGTCTAGGCATTTTTTCTGTTTCACAGATTTACTCCCAATGTCGTAGATTTTTATCATAGCACCCTTTCTTAAAGATGATAGGCAACAAAATGATCTGCCGTGCCAGAGCCTTCTCATTTTCACCATCTTAGATGGCACCATTTTGAAGAGCTCTCCGTTGGAAACATGTCCCTCTCTAGGATAGAGGAGAGTGGGTTTAGCCAAGTGAATTCTAAAAGATTCATATGTGTTTTGTCAATAGTTAATATACAAACACTTATAGATTTGTACAAGGATTACAAACTTTGTATCTAAATCCTCCTTTCCATATATTCACTACCTCAAGAAGTTAGTTAAAATTTAATCCCAGGGACTCCAGATTCTTGTTGTGACTAAACCTACAGTTTTTTGCTTTCTGATGTCTTAGTGAAATCATGTATTTCAGGTTCAAGTCCACTGGTCAACAGATCCTACCAACTTCAGAGACAGTCCTCCTCTTTTAGTAGAGGGGATTTTGTATTGTATTGCATTCTTGAAAAATTTCCTTTGCCTTAGCACTCTCCATCCTGAAATACCTATTTCTTTTGGACCAGAGGAGAAGAAACCAAATTCCTATACTCTGCCTCAAAGGGTGGAGTCATGCAGTGCTGACCAGTCTCACTTTCTTGAAGGTGCTGGTGGTTAAGAATGTGGGGGTGTGTGCTGAGGGGAAGAACCTTGCAGAGAGTTATTACCTTTGGTCTTTATATCAATAAACCCCCGTGAGAGATCCCACTATAATGTTTGGTTCTGCTTCACAGTGTCCTGGAATGCGTTGACTTTTGCAGACTCCACTCCTCCAATTTTTAACCTCAGCTCCTGTCTCTTACCTCCAAGCACTTCTCAGATAAGTAAACCCGATATCCTTTCTTGCCCTCGCCCTAGGGAAGTTTACCAGGCGGGGGAGCTCTGACACAGCAACGGAGATGGAGAGCCTGAGCGCCAGGCACTCGCACTCCCATCACACGCTGGTCTCCGACCTGCCAGACCACTCAAACAGCCACGGAGAGAACACAGTCAAAGAAGGTAAATTTAACACACCAGGAAAGACTTTTCCCTGAAATATCAACTCCAAGAAGCTGAGGAAGTGTCACTGTTTCCATATATGAGTATGTGACTAATTGTTTTTTTCCTTTTTTATTTCCATATCTTTTGAGTGCTTTTTGTTCTGTGTAGAAAAATGTTCCAAACCTTTCACATTTATCTGGTGCAGTTGGTGGCCATCGGCAGGGAGAACGCAGGGTTTGGTGTTTTCTGCCTTACCACAACACAGCACAGAATTTTGGGCAGAAACTTGGTATTGTTATCTTCAGTGGTTTCATGGGGTATTTTATGGTATTTAATGCCCCTTTACAATCCACAGCTCCTGGACTGTGCTGAGGATCACAGGCTTTTTTCCTAATTCCCTTCTTTCCAGTTAGAAGCCTGGCTTTGAAATTTACTCAATCTCAAGAGAGGCTTCAGGGCCTTGGGATGACTGATTAAGGGAAGAGGAGCACAAATAGTGTTCTCTATCCTTCCAGTTTTGCAAGGGAATGATGAGGGAAGAAACAGGAAGAGCCAGCAGATCAACACCTGGCTCTGAGTCTGGTATCACCAGCAGAATTTTGGGGGTTTTGATCATGGGTTTGTTTACATGACACCAGCCTGCTGGTGACAGATGGGCTACACCTGACCCAAAGAAGGAAAAGGATCTTTACACAGGAGTTAGCAGGGCTCACTGAAAGAGCTTTAACTGCATTTGAAGGGGGAAATGGTTGGAACAAGAATTCCTGCTGCCATCTTTATTGTTATCTTCACCATACAAATTTCAATGAATGCCATTAAAAAATCACAGTTGCCAGCAAGAAATCCTCTGATACAAGCAGCTGATTTCTGCCCTGATCATTGACCAAATTGTAGCCTAGTTCAAGGTACTGCTGTTGGCCTTAGAATATTTCTCCTAATAAATAGTGCTAGTTCAGTGCTGGAAGGGTTGCACAGGCTTTGAGAAAATCTGGTCACCAGTCTGGCAAGTTTCTGACAAGTTGGTATTTGCATAATATATAACATAATCAGTTCACCACTGAGTCATTGCTTATTAGATGTATGCTGTATTATCAATTAGAATACATTAAATAGCCTTAGGAAGAAGTTCTTTGTTATTCCATAGCCCTGTTACTGTCTGGCAGGTGACAGTCCAACCAACCCTCTGGGACACATAGGATCTTTCTACACTACAGGGTGTATAAACCTACTTAAAAAGCACTAAGTGTGGGAAATTACTAACATTGTGGCCTGGAGTTCAGCATGAGTTGTAAAAACACAGTGAATCCTTGATAAAAATTGACCTGTGTAGCCAACATGCTCATCTGAGCAATTTAAAGTTAAACTTGACTATGTAATGAGTTCCCTTCTCTGAACACTGTGAACTGAGATGCCATGGTGCCTTTCTGATCAGACAGCTTTGCATTTTGCAGGTGGTTTAGACTGTCATAGGTATTGTTAAGAACACACTGCTCCACGTTTTTCAATTGGTGTGATGAAATATTTCATATTGGTGTGACTTAGAAAGCTGTTCCGAATTGGTGCTGCTGTTCCCCTGCCTTCATTCCTGCATCCAGCTGCAGAGTCTTTTTTGTTTGCCTTGCAGGGGCAGTGCTGCTTTAAAGACCAGGCACTGGACCAGTACAGGGAGCAAAGTTAGCCAAATTCTAATCCCCTCTTTGGATTAGACTTAGGCTGGCTGAGTTCCCTGATCTAATTAACTGCCTGCTTGACTGAGATTAACTTAAGCTGCCATGGAACTGTACTGCTAGAGCAAACTCAGTGTTGTTCTAATTTACTCTGGCTTAAAGGAAGAAATACATCTATCTTTCATCCCAGTACCCATTATAGTAATTAGGAACCTGTCTTGTCTTTCAACATTACAAGTTGCATTAAGAGGTGCTCCCTTTAAACACGCTCAGCTTCACTCTTCCATTCCATAACTGTAGAGGTGGAGATTTACAGGTAGCCATTTTCCCCCCTGCAGTGCGGTCCCAGATCTCCACCATCACTGTGGCCACCTTCAACACCACCCTGGCCTCGTTCAACGTGGGCTATGCCGACTTCTTCAGCGAGCACATGAGGAAGCTTTGCAACCAGGTGCCCATCCCTGAGATGCCCCACGAGCCACTTGCATGTGCCAACCTCCCACGGAGCCTGACAGATTCCTGCATCAATTACAGTTGCTTGGAGGACACAGATCACATCGATGGAACCAACAACTTTGTCCACAAGAACGGCATGCTGGATCTCTCGGTAATTGGCAAGGAACGAGGAGAGCCAGGTCCCTCTTCTGTCAATGTAGCTGTACCATTGAGATCAGGGTTTGGATGGGCTTTTCCTCCACCTCTTTATATGACTTCTCTCAGCAGTACATAAAGGTCAGTCAGATACATTTGTGCATATCCTAAGAGTCTCCTCTGAGATACTGCAACTCCTGTTACTCCTTGCAAGGAGTGCACGTGCATGTGGAATGCACACATCAAATCTTAAGTGGTATAATGTAACGACTGTGTTCCTGGGGCATGCACCAAATTCCCTATAAGTATAGTATAAGACTGAGTAGCACCTTTCTTCTAATGGCACCTTAAAATTCACCTTTCCTGCTTTCTTCTTAATGACTTGACAGCTCCTGGTGCACCGAAGCAGTATTCTCAGGCTCACAGATGTCATCTCATGGTTTCCTTTGCTGCCTGACTGTGCCCAGCCTGTGGTTTCTTGTCTTACACCTAGATTGTAGGCTCTTGGGATTTAGGGTTGTATGTCCTTCATTCAGAATTTGTACTGTGCCTGCTATAATGAGTCTCTGGTCTGTGACTACAGTTTCCAGGCACAAAATCGTACTAGAAAAGAAAGTAAACCTGACTTTAAATATGATGTTTGGATCTCCCAGGTGGTCCTGAAGGCTGTTTACTTGGTCCTAAACCATGACATCAGCTCCCGGATTTGTGATGTGGCACTGAACATTGTGGAGTGCTTACTGCAGCTTGGTGTGGTGCCCTGTGTGGAGAAGGTTCGGAGGAAGAGCGAGAACAAAGAAAATGAGGCTCCTGAGAAGAGACCAAGTGAAGGATCCTTCCAGCTCAAAGGGGCTGCTTCTGCTGGTTCAACTTGTGGATTTGGGCCACCTCCAGTTAGTGGAGCTGGAGATGGAGGAGAAGAAGGAGGTGGTGGAAGTGGAGGAGGAGGTGGAGGTGGAAGTGATGGAGGTGGTGGAGGAGGAGGAGGGCCATATGAGAAGAATGACAAAAAACAAGAAAAGGTTTGTATTGCTTCCCTTTATACAATTCCTGAAAGTACTGTAAGGTCTGTTAAGATTGAATATGCATATGTATGCAACTGCCCTTTTGTTTGCTCTCTTTTAAGTTGTACCACAATGACAAATTAATTTGTTTTGCTCTGGTGCTCACGGGGGGGGGTTCCACTGAGGAAACGTGATTGGGAACTCAAGCACTGTAACTACTCCAGAGAAGCAGCTGCCAAAAGCAAAATTTGTAAGCCTCATGTGGACATTTTCAATATCTTGTCAATTGTTTGAAATCCTCAATCACAATGATTTTTTGAGAGGTTTATTATTTATAACTTCTAAGGAAAAATCGAATCCAGCACGTGAGCACATCTTCTTTTCTATGGCCAGAAATCATAAATTTCTGTGTTGCTATGAGAATTGGCCACAAGATGCTGTTGCTGACATCCAGAATTGTAATTCATAGTAGCATAACACCTAAGACATTTTAAAAAGATGCCTGTTTTTCTACTCAAGCAGAAATTTTCAGGCAAAATCTTTTGAAAGGCAGGCTGAATGGTATGCATAGCAGCACATAGAGGCTTCACATTTATTGCAGAACTTTCTGATGGGAGCTGAAAGGGAAGGGGCTGGTCCCTAAACCTGAAAAATAATTGGAGTAAATGCTTCAAGAATAACAACTCAGTAATGGAGTGTCTGAGAGGAAAAATGGACAGCAATTTGTCAAAAGTAGAATGTTAACAAAATGCTGGTGGTTGTGCCAGGATTCCACACTGTCTTTCCCTCTGCGACCCTCAGGATGAAGGCCCATCTGTCAGCACCCATAGGCTGGCACTCACAATGCTGATAAAAATTGTGAAGTCCCTGGGCTGTGCCTATGGTTGTGGAGAAGGACACCGAGGGCTCTCTGGAGATCGCCTGAGACACCAGGTATTCCGGGAGAATGTAAGAGAATTAAAGCTCATTACAGCGTCCCCCCCTTGTACTTTTGACATCATCTGCTGAGATTGCTGTCTGCCCCCTCTGTAGCTTTCTCTGTATTGACAATAAATGTGTTGCTCTTTGCCCCAGCTCAAAGATTGTGTCGCAGCCCAGCCGTAGCAGATTTTCAGCTGTTGTGTTATCTTGCAGCCCTTGGGGGGGTGCCAAGAGCAGACTTGAAGTCCAGGGTGCTTCTGACCACCCCAATGGATGGGTTGGGTCAAATACATGGGAGAAAATCCCCTGTGTGAGCTGTTATAAGTAACTTTTCTCATGATGTTACCCCAGTAGAGTATGCCACTTACAAGAGATGCAGCTGTCTTGGGTTGCATATCTAAATCCAGAAGTGTAAGGTGTAGGTCTGTGCACCTTTCCTAATGGTCACTGTGGCTGGTTGCTGCTGGGCTGCTTTGTCAGCTCCTGATAGTTGGAATACACTCTACTTGCAGGCATGTTGGTGTGCTGCAAGGAAGTGAAAGACTCACTCGTGCCCTCCTGAAGGGCAGGGTGGATCATCACTGTCAATTCCTTACAGTTTTGGTTCTGCCCAAGCTGAAGCAGTGGAAAGTGCCCAGGATGTAGCCCAGACATCAGACTTCATCCAGAAGAATTTACCTCCCTGCAGTCAGTCCAATGCCCTGTCAGATGGGAGCCTTTCAAAGACCTTCTCCAGCACGTGCCTCCCCCGCACCTTGTGTACTTGCAGAAGGGAGCATTTTTCGTGACTGTAATGAGAATTTACTAATCCCACGGTATGGGTGTGATCCAGATGCTACACCATGGCTTTGGTTAGCCTGAACCACGCCAACAGAGCTATAATTTAGTTCTGGGATCTGAGCTCAGAGATGGACTGGTTGCTCTGTATCCTGCAGTGTTCTGTTAGCTAGGCTCCCAGGTACTGAGGAGACTGCAGCAGTGGTGTTAGTTCTGGACAGTGGGACAAGATGGGGTGAGAGAGTGGCAGTGGTAACAGTATTCTGCTGCACAGAGCACTGGTTGAACAGGTACCATATTCATCACAATGTTAGTTAGACTTTTAAGATTGTGTTGGAACTGAGCCAGCAAACCATTTAGGCCTATGCATAACATTAAGTATAAATGAATAGGTCTCTTGGAGCCAAGGTTCTTGTCAGACCCATTGAACCGAGGTGTTTATGGGAAGAGATTTTCCTAAGTGTCTAAGTCTGCTGCATTTTCTCTGCATTTGTCTGGCCAAACTGCTTTGCATGCACCATTTGTGTTGACTGCATGGACAATCACTTGTCTGAGTTTATGGGGAAGTTAAGCATCCTATTGTATGTAGCTGGAGAGTTCATGTTTCCCACAGAGCTGACATTTTAGATTCTCTTAACTCCAGCCTGCATGGGGTCCCTGTAGGATGGATAGTTTTGTGATAAGAAGTTGGCAATTAATAGTTTTTAAATAAAAAGTTAGTATTTTGCATTATATAAGTGGATCACTGGGTATAGGTGCCTCAAATGGATTGTTCTGAGCCAGAGGCTGCAAATCAGATGCCTGAGGCTAAGAACCTGTTCCACCAAGGCATTGAGCCTTGACAGAGGTGGTACATTCCTACTTCATTCACATCCAGTGAGAATCCACTTTGGGCTTGGGGAGAGGAAGAGAGACCTTGAGACATGGCTGGCAGGGACTTCACCACCACCTCCAAACAGTGGCACCTATGCTGGTACACTGTTTCCTTGTGCTGAATTTATTGTTGCCTCCAGAGGTGAATCTATCTTGTTAGGGAATCTGAACCTTCTGGCTCCTCCAGAAGACTCCTTCAGAGACAGCACAGCAGAGCACTGGCTAAGCAAGAGCAAAATTCCCCTGCTTCTATGTACTTTGATGAGGTGTTTTTTGATGGATATCATTGCAGGCTCAGAACTGCCTCACAAAGCTGTACAAACTGGATAAGATTCAATTCCGGCAGACCATGAGGGATTATGTGAACAGGGATTCTCTCAATAATGTGGTGGATTTCCTTCATGCTTTACTGGGATTCTGCATGGAGCCAGTCACTGACAGTAAGTATAGCTAGCCTCAGAAACTCTCATTTGAGTATTCCTAAACTATGCCATCAGAAAGAAACCATACCCTGTTCCTTTAGAAAAAGAAAAAAAGTGAGTTGCTATCCTCAGAAAATAGTGTGTATCTTTATCCAGTGTGGGTCAGGGGAGCTGGACCTCTTCAGATCCAAAAACCCAGTGATCTCGCCTAGAGATCTTGGGGCATCCAGTGCACCTAAAATTGAAGGTCTCTCTCTTGATTCATCCTGTCTTGTTCATGGCTCTTTCATCCAGCGATGCCTCGGGCAGGAAATTCTCTGCTTCATGACATGGCACCAGCTGGAATGGCCTGTTTAATCCAGGTCTGAATGGAGATATAATTGAGCGTTAAAACCCTCTGTGGTGCCTCAGATGAGGCAGTAAACAGCAAGAACAGGCTGAATGAACAAAACCAGGAACACACAGAAGCACGTGACTGCAGTTATGAGTGTGTGTGCATGTGTGTATGTAGGGGGTTTTGAGGGGTTTTGTAAGTTAGAAAAATTATTCCAGGTGCTGTTAGAACAACTAAACATTTATGGTTGGTCACTGCATGCATTAGCAGTTAACAATGACTGTTTACAGGGTAGGAATAGCTCCTCTGAAACAGTCAGGGAGTCTGACTAGTTTATTAGCCTGTCTCTGATCCCAGGCATTTCAGAGAAAGCATCAAAGAATATTTGTATATAGCCAACTTTTGTGAAGAATATACCCACAGGAAGTTTCCCTGAGTATTCATCAATTATTGACTGGCTTATGCTTTGAAGCGTGGCAGCTCATGCAGCTCTTGAAAGTCTTTTCTCTCAGCTCATGAAACTGAGATGTTTCTTGTAATTAATGTGAATGTGTAATTCTTTTTTGACTCTTTCTGAGAGTTTGGTCTCCCTGTGCACCTTGCAAGAACAGCATTCCTGTAGTTCAGAAGATTTAATTTTCATGGGTGTTGTCACTTTGCAGCTTAATCAAACATCTTTTGTCCTTTAGAATGGTAACCAGAAAAGCTGGGGGCATTGTTCAAATTTTATGTAAATGAGAGATGTGGATAAAAGGAAGCCAAAGTGGTCCTGATCTTTTCAATCCCTTTTTCATAATACAAATATTTTTGGGAGGATTTCATCCTTGTCATTTTTTTTACCCCTCACTTTTGTGGGGTGGGATTATGAGAACTGAGCATAGGATATTAGGTGAGGACACGTCTCTGTCTCATGTATAATAATAATAATAATTCCTTTACATGTGTCTTTAAGCCATCTCTTTTAAACCATTCCTAACAAGAGGGCTTGCTTATACTTGAATTTCACAGACAAGGCTGGATTTGGGAATAACTTCACCACAGTGGACAACAAGTCTACAGCCCAGAGTGTAGAAGGTATTATTGTGAGTGCCATGTTCAAGTCACTGATCACTCGCTGTGCTTCCACTACACATGAGCTCCACAGCCCGGAAAACCTGGTAAGCACTTGATTTCACGTTAACAAAGTTACTTTTTCACTGGGGTGTCACCAGTGAGACTTTACAGTGAAGAATTAGTTCAGTTTAATCAAATCCCTTGAGTGTAGCAAGCTATGCAGTCACAGTTGAAGTATTATGTAAATGTGATGCCCTTCTTGCATGCCTGTTTTGGACCCTGGGGACTTAACCAGAATAAAAGTTGTGCAGTATGAATTGCAATTTCCTCTCTGTTCAAGCAGCTTTTGTGTTGTTCCAAGTGGATTAGTAGCATAGGCTGGAGCAAGGGATTAATGAACAAGAAGGGCAATGGCATCCTGGTTTGTATCAGAAAGTGTGTGACAAGCAGGACCAGGGCAGTAGTGGTCTCCCTGTGCCAGTCACTGGTGAGGCTGCATCTCAAATTCTGGAGTCAGTTTTGAGCTGTTCACTAAAGAAGGACATTGAGGTGCTGGAGCGTGTCCAGAGAAGGGCAGTGGGGCTGGGAAAGGGTCTGGATCACAGATCTGATGGGGACCAGCAGAGGGAACTGGAGTTGTTTAGCCTGGAGAAAAGGAGGCTCAGGGGACACCCTCTTGCTCTCTACGACTACCTGAAAGGAGGGTGTAGTCAGGTGGTGTTCAGTTTCTTGTCACAGGTAACAAGAGGCAGGACAAGAGGAAATGGCCTCGAGTTGCACCAATGGAGGTTTAAATTAGATATTGGGAAAAATTTCTTCACTGAAAGGGTTGTCAGGTATTGCCCAGGGAAGTGGTGAAATCATCATCTCTGGAGGGGTTTAAAAGGTATGTGGATGTGGCACTTGGGGACATGGTTTAGTGGTGGACTTGGCAGTGCTGGGTTAACAATTGGGCTCAATGATCTCAAGAAGTCTTTTCCAACCTCCATGATTCCATGATTCTAAGACCACCACCAGCACAAATCAACTTTCAGCAAAGTCAAAGCCAGTTCACTTGGTTAAGCACCTGTCCTGCCTGTGGCAGAGTGAGGGAGTTGCTGAAAAGCAATTCGGTGGATCTTTCCAAAGTTTAGACAAGCATTCAATTTACCAAACACCTGGAGGAAAGTAAGGTTCTGCTGGCTGCTGCCTATGCACTGTCTTCCCAGAGCAGTCAGTAAAATGGATGCCACGAGCTCTCTTCTTCCAAACTGGTGCAGAATCTAGCAGCTAATCTCAAACCACCTCCTTTATTATCAGAAATTGGGATTTTTTGTGGAAGCAGCCAAGAAGCATTCATGTACTCCATCCTTATGGCAGAGCTGTGGAGGCACTGAGGTCCAGCTAAAGGGACAGTAATGCTACGTGAGGGGAAGGAAGGGAAGAATTAAAAAACACAGTAACATCTTAAACGAGCAGAGTAGTCTGCCTATGTCCAAATCCTCTTGTTCTTGTGGATACTCCTCCTTTGGAATGTTTCTCAGCAGAGATTAGGTGGTGGTATTCAGGAAAAAATATGGAAAAGAAAGAACCTTAATCAGTATACAGAACCAGTTGGTTTTTTTTGTTGGTTTTCTGGTTGAGTTTTTTGTGGGGTTTTTTTGTTTGCTTGTTTTGTTTTGTTTTGTTTTGTTGTTTTATTTTGTTTCATTTTGTTTTGTTGAAAGCTGACTGTGCAGTTCCTTGCTGGGAATTTTCAGAATAATCCAAGGTCTTTCAGGAAAGCTCACAGGGCAAAAATCAGGTCCTGTAAAACTGTTCCCTCCATCCCCTTGGGGTTCAGATATAGAGGTGATAGAGGTGATTTGCACATCACAGATGTGTATGAATGTTCAGAACTAAAAAGAGTCTTGAATGTAGGAGTAGGTTGGGGAATGAGTGAGTCATTCCTCTCTCTTCCTATGATGTGAAGCTCTAAAATAATGAAGAAAAATCCCAAGACACCCACTGGTTTTGAAACAAAACATGCAACTTTTTGCACTCTACTTCCACTCACATACACCTTAGATTTTTCATACCTTTAAGCTTATGGCTCAGATGGATGGGATTAAATAGGCTTTAAGTCATTTTTGCAGGTCCCTCATTTCACAGCTGTTTTAGCCTCTGATAACTCTCCATCTGCTATATCCCATTGCAGACCATGTTCCATAATACTAATAATGCTCCTCACTGTCTGCTTCTTCTGAGTGCACTAAATGAATTTCCAGCCAAAAAACACAAACCCTGTACGTGGAGAGTATATCACACAACAGCCAGAGCAAGTAATGGCCTGCTGCAGTACCTCAGAAAGTATTGATTCTCACTGCTTCTTCACAAGATGCAGACTGAATTCTTTCTTTTTCATGATGTCTTGCTCCTAAGGGCTTGTACTGCGATATCCGACAGCTGGTCCAGTTTATCAAGGAGGCTCATGGGAATGTGTTTCGGAGGGTGGCACTCAGTGCCCTCTTGGACAGCGCTGAAAAGTTAATACCAGGAAAAAAAACAGAGGAAACAGAGCAAGAGCCAAAACCTTCTGGAAGCAAAAGGTGGGTGTCTAGGAGAGATAAGGTAAATAAATGATTTGCATATGGCTGTGTGGCAGCCTGTACTAAACACAAATGTGGGAAGTCCAAGGGCTTGTGTGTTTTATCTTGATATTCTGTGTCAGTTCTTGATGTACAGACTTATGCTGTGGCAGCAGCCTCCTTTAAAATTTAATGAACTGGGACAGTAATAGGTTTGCAGCAAAAAGCATTGACACTCTCATACCGGAGGCCTAAGCGAACAGTGCAATGGAAACACTGGGAGAAGGAGAGGTTAGGAGAACTAAGAAGCACAGTATCAGTTCCAAAACACTGTATGGACATAGTTTTAAATGTGCATCACATCCTTTGTGTTGCTTATCTGACAGGTAAACTTGGTATGCAAAACAGGTTCCAGAAGAAATCTAATCCTGACACGCTTCTTTATCAAAAAGAAATTTCCTCTGGTGCTTTGAGATTTTTCATATTAAAATGTTGGGGAGGAGGATTAAGGAAGTTGAAAAACTGAAAACTTTGGCTTTGCTTCTAAGAGCTGATGCCTTTTTCAGGAAAAAGAGAGAGAGAGAGACAGCAGGTTGCTAAAGAGAAAGTGCTTCTCTAAAGCTGCTTTGCTGCTCAGCAGTGCTGGTTTCCATGTCATGCAGCTTTGTAATAATGGCCATGGGATGGGGCATCCATTTGCTTTGGCTGATGATTTCTCTTGTCTTTATAGATCCGAGGTGGGAAGTGTCATCATTGACAAAGGCCAGACCTCAGCTGCCCCCGATGAATGCCGGAGTTACGTCTCAAGCCGCCCAATGCAGACTCCAGAACAGTGAGTAACTGTTGGGTTGTTCAATGTGCTATTGCCAGCATCTTCCTTCTGGGGGTTAGTACAAGTAGGCAAGGCGGCAAAGAATTCTCTTTGGATGGTACAACACGTGGTTGAGTGTCTCCACAGGAGCTGCTGCAGACATCTAGGTAATGCCTTTTTTTTCAGTGCTGCCAACTGGATGCACTCTGATTTTGATGGGGAAATACCAGAGATTTTCAAATTACAGTGCAGTAGATTTGTCAGTATTGCATGCTACCATAGCTGTGAATAGAGTGTTAATTCCTCAGAGATGTCACCACAGCTGTTCTCCGTGCTTTGTTTGTACTTCTGGGGGATGATTCTATTAATTTTCAACTTCCAAGTTGTTGCTGAGGGTCATTACTGCTTTATGAGAGCCAGCCCATTCCTGAGCTGCATGGAGTCTCCAAAGATTGCTGCATTTCTCTTTGTCAGCCCAGGTGCAATCAACCTGCTGTTAGACATTGCACGACTGAAATCTCTTATGTCCAAAGAATTCTGCCATTTAATATTGAAGTAAATTCAAACAATACTCTTAAGAATTTTAGAAAATTCTATAAATGGCCACTGGTCCCTAAATAACTTTGGACAAGTCATTTAACTTCTCCATGCCTCTGAATACATGTCCGTCTTGTTAAAGTAGATGCAATGTGCATGAAGACATTGCTTGCACAAGGACCCAGAGCTCTACATCGTGTATTCTCCTGCCTTAACTGAGCCTTGAAAGTCTCACTGTTGCTGAGACAACAAGGATAACACAAAACCCTTTACTGCTCTGTGGAATTGGAGCAAGCTGTTCCACTCTGAGCCTTGCCATAGCCTGGGAGATCTCAAGAGTACAGTAAAATATTCTGTCCCCATTCCAGTACTTAATGAGAACTGTGACTCCATCAGGTTCACAAATGGCTGTCATGATGCCCTAAACCTCTCTGGTACAAATTCTTGTAGAAAGTACCAGCGTGATCTTATCAGTGTGGGTCATTTTGACCTAAAGAAGGTGATTTGCTTTTCACACGTAGAAACTAAAAACTGGAACGGCCTGTTCAGTGGACAAGCTTCTCAAGGTAGAAAGGATGGTTATGTTGTGCCTTGAACAATATTGAGCATGTTGTCAAACTTGATTATATCGCACTGAGAAGAATATTTTTAGAATTCAAGATGAAACAAACCTCAAGGAATAGAGAGGTTAGAGGGGGCTTGTAGGAGGGAGTTCTCATTCCCCTGACCATTCAGATTTCACTGAAATGCATTTCATGCTCTGCATCCCTTTTCTTCCAGTGATGAGCAAAGCCAGGGGGCCAATCTGGGACGGAAGGACTTCTGGCGAAAGATGTTCAAATCACAAAGTGCGGCGAGTGATACCAGTAGTCAGTCTGAACAGGACACATCCGAGTGCACCACTGCTCACTCTGGAACCACCACAGACAGGCGCTCCCGCTCCCGTTCCCGGCGAATCTCCCTTCGAAAGAAACTCAAACTCCCTATAGGTAAATGTATGTCTCTCTCTCTTCTATATACATATTGCATGTGCAGAGAAACACAGATAGATGTATCTGTCTTAAGAAATATTGCAACAGAGTTCCTTATTATCCAGGTATATTGTGTATTCTCCCAAGAGAAGCTGTGAAATGCTGCTCTCTCAGTTTTACAGAGGGGGATCTGAGGCAAAGGGAAATGTAAGCAATTTGCTAAAAATAACAGAGGATATCTGTGTCAAAATACATTATTGAATCTGTGACCCAAAGTAGTAGGCTAGTACCTTAATCTCACAGGAATTGTTCCTCTCTGTACAAGAGAAATATTCCAAATAGCATTTGATAGACAGAGAATATATCCTTTACAAGTCCCAAGACCTGCCTTTGCATGGTAGTTTATACATGAAACAAGCCTTTCCTCCCATTTTCCCATGCCCTAGCATGGCCACTGTGGAGCAATATGCTGCAATTGCTAATAAATAGATTCTGCTTGGAAGCATTTTTAGATTTGTCCTGAGTGGCTTAATCTGCAACAGGGAACTGGCTGAAGCGCTCCTCCCTCTCTGGCCTGGCCGACGGAGTGGAAGATCTCCTCGATATCAGCTCTGTCGACCGTCTCTCTTTCATCAGGCAGAGTTCCAAGGTAAATGTGTCAGGCTGGATTGCAGAGAGTTTGGACGGGCAGGATCTGGCTGGTTTTAGCTGTCCAAGGAAGCATTCTGTTTAACATGGACATTGAAGCCAATAAGACTCAATCACTGAAGTGATTTGAGACTGGGCTTTTGCGGCTCATGGTGAAGACTAGGTTAAGCCTACACAGTACTGGTCAGTCTGCCTTGGTTCAATGAGAAGGAAATGCGGGCTCTGTCAACAAACCTAAGGTTTAATTGTTGGTCACGCTTCTCCTTCCTTCGTGTGCTTGCGAAAGATCAATCCTTTAAGCAGAAAGGTTACAAGATGAAGTGCCTCAGTGTATGTGCAGACCCGCTGGTGCTACTGTGGCCATCCTTACAGCCCCTCTGTCGGTGCTTTATGACTAACCAAGGAGACCAGGAGTTCATGGTCTGGCACAGCCTGACCAGCCCCTCTGTCTGTGCACAGGTGAAGTTTACCAGCGCAGTGAAGCTGTCAGAAGGAGGGGGGCCGGGAGGAGGCCTGGACAACGGGAGAGATGAAGAGGAGAATTTCTTCAAGCGTCTTGGTAAATGGCGCACCTGCCGAAGACACCCATCCAAGCTTCATCACACAGAAGAAAAAGATGGTTAGAAATCAGGGTTCTCATGTCCTTTTTTATTTTTTTTTAATCTTTTTTTAAGATATCTTTCTTTCTGTATTTTACCGCTTTCCCTTTTTTCCTGCTTTCTCCATAGTTTTTGTATCCATTCTGGCCTTATCCAACTTTTTAGTCTTTGTAACTGTTTTCTTTCCCTTCCTTCTTTCTTTTATTTTGATTTAGAAAAAAGCTCTAGTAATTTTTTTTTAAATCAAGAATATCCAAATAAATTATGCAATACAACATTTGGGCTTTTTAAATCAAATTGAATTTGATCAATACACTTGAAAAATTAATGCTTGCTTCAAAGCACTTAGTTCAAAATTAGGTGTGTAAATCTTCTGTTGCCTAATACAACAATGGGTGTTCCATCAGGTTTTTTTGTTTTGGTTTGTTTTTTTCCAATTTGTGACTATTTGACAGTTTTAGCAAAGATCTGCACAGAAATGGAAAACCCTGCACAAACCTTGTTATAATTATCTCTTTTCTTCTGTGTTTGCATGTCTAGTGTCTGCATACCATTTGTTAGGGATGCTGTCCCTTTTTCTTCGCACACAACCTAATAGTAACATTCCTTTTCCTTTCCACAGAAGTATATTTAATTGCAATGTATTTTCAAAATTAGCTATGTTTGAAAAATGCCTTTATGAATAATACAAGATCATGATATATTCTGTTTTAAAATATCATGCAGTCATTCACATGCTCATGTCCTCAGCTTAGAACACATTCCTGTTGTCAGGGAGACAACTTTGTATCTTGAAGTTCTGTTGTGTTTTCTTCAAGACAAGCCAACCCAACCCGACTCCCAAAAACACACAAAAAGGAGTAGATTTTCTTTTTCACCATGATTTCAGTAGCTTTACAGTATGTTGCATTCACTGGCATTATGTTCTTTATTTTCTGACATTACACTTTGACACTGCATTGTGTGTGCTCCACCATCATCTGTCTCAGACCTGCAGTGTAATGTGTGTAAGTCACTGTTCAGGCAAGTGATACCAGCAAAGTATGAGCATATTTTGCCACTGTACCCTGACCACCATCTGCCACTGCAGAATGGTGGTGGTTTTCAACTAGTTCCTGGGCGAAAAGTGTTGTTCCTTTAGGAGAATGCATTGGTCCAGAACCTTCTTGTAGTCTGGTAGCATTCCCCTGCAATGGAAGGAGTTGGTTTCTTCATCCACTACTTCATGCTGAAGTAGGTGTGAAATACTTCCACCATGGAACCAACAGCTGAGGGGCAATGAGAGCTTTATGGGCTGCCACAGCTGTTTCTGCTGTGCTTCTATGAGATTTCCTTTGTATTTTCTTGTAGGAAATAATTTTTTTCCATCTCGCTAATGCAGGGATGTTTAAAGTTTATAAGGCAAAGTGTAACAGTTAAAGAAGTCGTATCACTGTGTCAACAAGGATCTCTGCTGTGCAGTGAAAGCCACGTACCATTAGCAAAAATTAATATTAGAGTGGTCGTACATGCCTGTGTGTGTCTGTGCTTGCATGTGCACAGTGATATCAGTGTGAGGCCTTTTCAGGGTAAGACAGTTTATAACCCAGTAGAACAGCAACAGTACAGTGCCTTCAAATTTCCAGTACTTCTGTGCCTTCCATACAGATCAACAGGTTTTCTGTGCTTATGGAGAAGAGAATAAAAGCCTGTTGATGGTGGATGGACATACTGTTAAATCCCTCCAAGGTCTGATCCTAAAGCATTAAATTGAACCTCTTTCTGCCTTTCCATTCTTGTCATTCATGGTGCTGTGCCATTACTTTGCTCATGTTTTTCCATGTGGTGTTTCCTCTTGTGTTTTTGGGTTTTTGAACGTAACAGGCCAAATTTAAAAGAAAATGGAGAGAAGTGAGCTACAATACAGTAAAAAATAATAATAAATGTAGAATAATTTGTCACATCATTTACGAATTGTAACCTTCATTGTGAGAAATCATCTGGACCACTGGGAATTCTGTGTTGGACGTGTATGTAAGCGTGCAAATGTGTGTGTGTATCTGTATGTGTGCATATGTATACATATATATACACATAAATGTATACACATTCATGCATAAAAATGTTTGTTTTAATGATCTTTTTACCTATACTAGGAACAAAGCATATATGCAGAAGTGAGTTACAGTATATTTACACGAGACCCTTAACATTCCTTTGGGCGCTTGCTGAAGATGTTGTGAGTGACCACAGAAGTTGTCAGGGTATTCAAGGGACACCCTTTTGGGGGCAGAGCTTGTGTATCCTATGTTAGGAAATCATCTCTGCTCTCTGGGTGAGGTCTCCTGCAGGGCTGAGTCACTGGAACGTTGGGTCAGTGAGGGCTGCCCTGCTCACAGTAAGGCTACTCCAGGATGGGCGTAGCAAGGGACAATCATGAGTTGCCTCCAAGGGACTCTTTTGCAAAGCTTCAACAAAATGCAAGGCTGGGGCTGCAAAGGGCTGTAGTGATAGTACTACCAAGCTCAGATGGACAAAACCTCTCCTAGATCTTTCTAGTGGGGGTTAGGGATGTGTTAGGGACATTCCTTAGGCAAGTTTCTGTTCTTTGTCTCATACAGGCACAGCCCTAACAGGGCCCTGGATAGGAAACATTTGTTTGTACCTCAAATGAGTTAGTGTTAAAAGAGTCATAGCAGGAAGGCTCAGATAACATGCTACGGGCAGGAAAACAGGAGGAGATGGAAGAAAAGGGTGTTTGTGACAGCTCATATATGTAAGTGTTCTATCTGTTCTTTCTACTTTGTTTGTTTGTTCCATTTCAATGGAATATTTTCCAACATGGAACATTTTGTTTACTGGAAAACTATGTAAAAGCTTCACTGGAGAGAGAAAAGCCACAGAATTTGTAAATAAGTCTCTTGAAATTTGATATACCTCTGCCTTCGGGGGAAAATTAAGATCTGTATTGTAATTTTCTGTTGTGACTTTTGTTTGTGGTGATTAAGTGCTTTCCAGGTAATTCTGGAGCGTGCGATCTCAAAGGGACTTTGAGTTTCAGCCATTCTTCTTTCCTGAAGAAGTCACAAAGTCCTGTAGACCTGATGGTTTGACTCTTGTCTTTCAAATCCATGTTTAAAAGTAATCTTGAATTCTTCACTCGATATTCTCTTCTTCAGTGCTTTATCCTTTAGTATTCTGTAAACTTTTGGGCTTTCACGTGTAAACAGGGAGAGTATTATGGATAAAGACAAAAAGCCTGGAAGCTGACTACTCTGGTTTTGACCAGCCACTTTGAAACTACTTTCCAGATTTCTCATCTGTGTCTTTCTACCATTCTCTCAGCTCTGGGTACCAACTGCATAATGATCTTCTGCATTAGAAGTGTTTATTGGGATTAGTTGTTTTATCATGTGAACTCTATACATGGAGTTTTAAATCATGCTTGAAAGAAGCCCTGGAGTGGGATGCCAGCTTCCTTTTCCAATGGAACTCGTATTAGGGAGCTTTCCATCCCAAAGAGTGCAAGACACTTCAAGTGAGAGAAGCTGGAGTGATGATGATGATACCTAGAAGTTGAGTCCAGTATCACTTTGGGTGTTCTGGTAATTGCAGAAGATGTATGCCTAAAAAAAAGGACAGTACTTGATTGTAACAAAGAGCATCTCCAAAATTTACTACTGATTTCTCTGTCCTAGTAGATGATATATTACTAAATTGATACATGAGGAATAAGGTTTATGCATGCTCCACTTCAAGGTAAACTTAGAGGCAATAGAGAAGTAAGGTAGGACATTATGCAGGAAAAACAGGCAGTAAGCAAATGGTCTGTGTTAAAGAGGTGGGGAGGAAGGGCCACATCCTGGTTTACCTATGTTGAAGTAGGTTTCCACACTGAGGATGGTGGAATTGTTCTGGGCAGACATCAGTATGACCAATATCGGAATCTGACTTGCTGTATGTCTGTTTTGTGGAATTCATGAGTATTCTAAAAACGCCCCTGTTATCTTCAAGATAGCACATCAAGGTGAGAAAGGGATTTAAACCAAAACTGTATTCATCAGGATTTTTGTCCAACTTTTTTTTTGGTGAGAGACTGTGTTCCCTTCTCCGTACCCCTCCCTGCATCCCCTCTGTACTCTCTACCTCCTTAGGTTGCCATAGCTTTGATGATCACTTGACCTCCAACCAAGAAGGAGGAAAATCCAAGAACGTTGTGAACCTGGGAGCAATCCGCCAAGGCATGAAGCGCTTCCAGTTTCTCCTGAACTGCTGTGAACCAGGCACTATCCCTGATGCCTCCATTTTGGCAGCAGCCCTAGATCTTGTAAGTCATTCACTGGTCTGTTGTTACCTGCTGAGTGAGAGCATGTGCATACGCTGTGGTCCACTATCAGTCACTAATGCTCTTCGTGCCCGCCCAGAAAGCAGGAAAAGCATCACAGCAATGCCAGCTGGTGGTGCTGGCATTAGCTGGAGCTTTAGCATCTATGACTGGATGAGTTTGCAGACAAAATGGATCCTTTCTTATTACACGGCTCCCTGTAACTAGATTATTGCTAGTGCAAAGCTTTTATTGTTGACTTCATACTTTGCTCGCAGCCATTCTGTTTCTCCTGTTAGTGTCAATCTGCAGAATAAGGATTGAAGACTAGATAACTGCTTGGAGAAGCACAGGAATTACACTCAGGAGTTCTGACAGAGTTCTTAATACATTAGGCAACTGAACTATTAGCCAGTCAATGGAAAAAAATTAAAATGTCAGTGTGCATGCTTTTATGCATTTATGCAGATATTTCTAATTTGCAGATCCAAATTACAGAAGTGACACAATTCAGTCCCTTCTTCCTGATACTGAGTGTCTCTTCTGTATCTCCTTCCTTCTTTTCCTTGCAGCTGCTGTTTTAAAACAGTCCCTTCCATTTGTAAAGCAGTGGCCTTCAGCCTGTGGTTCATCAGCCAGTGAGGTTCTGTGACTGTGAGGTGCTTATGTGACAAGCACAAGACTGTGACAGATGCAGCTGTGAAAAGCCAGCCAATTATTAGCAATTTTTCTCTGCATGCTGCTCTTCTACTTCCTTCTATATTTGGATGCCTGCAAGCTGAGAAAAGATTGAAAGCCACTGCTCGCAGAGCATCCACATGCTCTCTATCCCTCAATTCCCACCTCTCACCTTTTTGACTGTTGTGCTATTTGTGCTCATATTCAGTGTTTTTGCTCACTGCTGGAGATGTCAGGCTCATGGACTCTCCCTTCCTGCTACTGCTGTGCCCTGAGCTGTGCTGCCTTGCCTGCCCCATAGTTGTAGGGATGTTACATTCTGTGCACCACTGCTTTGTACCTTCTTCTTAACCTGGCGTCCTTAGGCTGCATATTTCAGCACATCTCATTAACTTTGGTCCCAGGTTGCTGTTGCTATCAGTTCCCATCTAGCTCTACTGTTTGGACTAGTCCTCTCTGTCTTCCAGTAGACAGATGTTTTCTTCACTAGTGCCCACTCTTCCTGTTGGAGATTGTTGTCCCTCTGGCTGGAAGCCATGGAAGCAGTGGCTGATAGAGAAGCCTGTCTCATGCTCTCACAGTCAGAAGTGGTTCTTACCAGTCAGGGTTGCAGGGAGCTCAGAGGGTGGTTTGGGGGGATAGTCACACCTGCTGGGTGTGCTTCACCCAATTTCATTCTGCAAGGCTGCCAGGCTGCCACCCTGCAAATGCTAAAATAACACAGGGAACGTAAGGTGCACGGGCAGGAAGGAGCTCATTCCTAAAAACTGTCACCAAGACCCTTCTGGGGATGTGCTACTCTGTATGCTAATAAGTCAGATGACAAAAGAGGGATTGGACAGTTCTGTCCCTATTGCCTGTAAATGTCTTACTTCTTTTTTATATTTGCCAAATGCTTAAGTGACAGACCAGCTTACTCTGTGCCCATGTATGAAGTCAGATGGAAACTACCAGTGAGAATGAACTGTTTGAAGATGTCTGTCTGACTTCCAGAGCTGGCTTTTACAAACTAGAATTTAACTCTCTCTCCATTCCACTGAATGATGCAGAAGAGTTTGGTATCAGAATTTCTGAAAGGTCTGCAGCTAAAGATGAAGGACACCGTGTTGTAGTTACAGACAGAACACTCCAAGTACCTCTTCAGCTGGTGTTTTGCCTACAAAGTATTGGAGATAAATAGAACTTCGGAAGTCACGTGCAGTGCAGGTTTTAAAAGATGACAGCCTGTCATCTCACTGTATTGCTTAATGGCAATGTATGGCTTAATGGCTGTTATGAAAAATTCCCCCATTTTATGTCAGTAAAACACACCAAACAGAAAATATTCTGTTTTTTTAACTTCTGTTTTCAGGCTTTTGAAGTAGTAGTTTGAATCAGGTCTGATGCAAATGAAAAGCTTCCTAAGTCATTATTATCCAGCCTAGCTGCTAAGGCAACCTTTAAAAAAGAAAGGTGAACAGATCCAATTTCAGTTCTTCCATAAATTTTTAAGCGTGCTTTTTTATTTTCAAAATTCCACTCCTATACCAGCTTCAAGATCTTTGGTCAGCCTGGGTGCTTGTACGGGTTTGCCACAGTGAATTAGACTAGTATAAATGACTCAGGTGGGGAGATACCAGCTTTCCTCTGACCAGTTTAATGGTGTGTGACATCTGTCACCACTACATTTCTCCAGTAAGATGTGTAAATTAATCTGTTCTAACATGTAAATATTTTATCCTTGCTGAAATGCAATAATTTTACTGCTTTCTGGCAGGGTTGTGTTTGAGAGGACCTACTAAGTATTGGGACAGCCGAAACAAAGTCTAAACTGCAAAAATACTTGCCAGTATCCTGACTTCATGTCACTCTGGGTCTTAGGCAGGCCCAGTTGTTCCCATATCCCTGTTTCCATGGCAGAAATATTTGTCCACAGGACGGCATATGACCTGAAAGGAAATCAGACATTGCTACAAACAGGTCCCCAGAGTAAATGACTGGGAACAGAAACAAAGAGCTGTGTCATGGATTGTACTTGACCATTTTTAGATATAACCAGACAGATTTGAACTAATGTTTTTGAGGCAATTCTCCAAGGCACTGGTTACCAATTTACTCACAACCTGTCTTCGGTATACACGCTGAGCTAATTTTCCTGCTGCTTTTCCTGCTAGACTTAACTTGCAGTTAGGCAAAGCAGAGCTATCCAGTCAGCACCTTTTGACAGTACTTGAATTTACTTTGCGATTTTGTGCCTTTCTTTTTCAACTTGAAGAGAGCCGTGGAAAAAAATTTTTGCTCAAAATGCCATGCGGAGTTTGAGAAAGGACTCGAGAAAAAACACCACTGTTTGATTACTCTTTTATAAAATTCATTGTTCTTGAAAACAAATCTGGACCTAAATGCTCTGCAGCCATGAAACTGCAGAACTGGCTTTATGTGAACATTAATGTGATGCTGTAAAATTCCAAATCCATTCTGTATTTGGTCCCTCCCACCCAGGTCATTTGTTGTTTGGAACAAATCAGGCTCTGTGTTGAAGTGCTCCAACGTGAGGACTTAAAATGTTAGATTTCTTAAATTCATGTCAATTTATACAGTAAAGAACCATTTACAGGGGGAAAGCAGTATAGTAGATCTGATATTAAAAGTGGACTTGTGAACAGTTGCATGGGCAGGCTTGTGAGAGTATTGCTGCTGTGTCAAGTTTTGACAGTGACCATGGTAACTTGTGTTCTTTTCAGCTATGCATCACCTGCCTGATTCATTTCTCTCCATTTGTGATATGTTTCTCTGTGGTGTGAATCCATCCCTGTCCATTCTGTCACATCTTCATCTTTCTCTTGCTGCTGCTGCTTCAGGTTTCTCAGAGCCTCAGGTAAGCAATCACAGGGAGCTCATGCCCCATGATATTCAGAAAGTCCTCCTTCAAGCAGGAGGTCTTTTCAGTGACTTTTAATTTGGAACTCCTGCTCCTCCCTTTTACCCCCCATCCTACATATCCCTCCTTTAATTATAGTAATCAACTGCTTTCATAACATTTATAACACATACCTTTAAGATTCCCATATGCTAAGAAGTTGTGACTTTACCACTGGTAAACTAAAACCAGGAGGAGACTTAATGCTGGGGCTTCATCTGTTCATGCATGTCTCTGTAGTTAAGGTTTTACTCTGTGAGAATAAAATAATAAAATCCTTACCTATTCTGTGTTCCATATTGCATGTGAGTAACAAGTAATTTGTAATGGTTTTTTTCCAGATGCTAGATATTAGTTTTGTTTCTGGCTGTCAGTACCTGGCTTCAGATTTCTGCCTTCCTCATCAGAGCAATGGGACAGCTTTTTTCTTCCAACATTTGTGTAAAATCTGAACAAAAAGCTGCAAAAGGATGTTGTGTCAATAATTTCTTAAATCAGTTCCAAAACTTTAGGAGCATTGGTCTAAAATTTCTTGCTTTCAGCTTTTGATTAAAGCACTTTTGGAAGCACTATTTAATAATGTTCCATGATCTCAGGGCCTGTCTATTATTGATAGACCACAGATGATGAACCCTCCGTTATAAGTAGATCCTGATCTGTTTAAATTATCTCATTAAAGCTGCCAATATCAAAATGCATGGAATACATGTTTGTACTCTGTGAAATTCCTGTTAGGGAAACTTTCAAAGCCAGCTTGTAAACTGTGGGCATTATTGTATTCTTACTTTACAATCTTCTAGCTAGGGCTGGTTTTGGTTGTGAAAATTGCAGGAGGAGAGTGGGAAATTAAATGGAAATTTAAGGAGAACCATTTGCTTTTTAGTAATTACCCATGTCTGTAAAGATGTTATTTTTGCAATTGTAGACTGGCTGGGAAGAAAACTCCTTCCAGAGTCTAAGCTACTCTTCAGGAAACAAATTACAGTGTTCATTTTTGAACATATTTGAGAGTTGCAGAAGCACTCGTTATTGGTCTAACATTTCTCCCATTAAAGAAAAGTGGTCTTCCAAGCCAAGGACAGGAGGATTTTCTTCTGGAAAATAGTCAACCCTTCAAAACTCAGCTGCCTGTTGTTATTTCAGTACTAAATTGACTGATGCTTGCTAAGACCATTGAAGTTCAGCCAGTGAAATTTTGTTGACTTGTGCCAGTAATGTATTTCCCTCTCCATATCTGCTTGTTATAAGTGCCAAACAGTGCTTTTCCTAGTTTCAACAAGCCTCCATTAATGCTTTCATGCCCAGGATCCATAAGCAGAACTTAATGTGGCAAATGCTAGGATTCATGTGGCCATGCTGCCATTTTGCACTTGCAGTATTTGCAGCCTCACTAGCAAAGGTGGAAATACAGTTTGACTTGTTCCTGCAGCAGCAGTGCCAGATGCATGCTTCTGCTTTTGACAGATCGTTTCTGAAGGAAAGCATTACAGAAGAGTACAAGGTTGTTTTTGAGTTTATAATGTGTCTTTCTGCCTCTCTAGTGGTTGAACTGAGCAAGAAGACTGTTCAGTGTTTATGAGCCTTGCTTTTAGTAGCTCAAGTGGTGAGACCTACACAGTGAGATCCTGATGTCAGGTTTTTTATGGAGAGACTGCTCATGCTGTGTGATTCCATGGCGAGCTTGCGAAGCAATTGATTAAAGCCCAGAGTGCTCTAACATTCAAGGAGCTTTTCCAATGCATTTGTATTTAAGGTGATTTTCTGCAAACGTTTCAGGAAGCTCCTGTAGTGGCGCGAGCGGCCCTGTTCCTCGAGTGCGCGCGCTTTGTCCACCGCTGCAATCGTGGCAACTGGCCCGAGTGGATGAAGGGCCACCATGTGAACATCACTAAGAAAGGCCTGTCCCGTGGCCGGTCACCTGTCGTGGGCAACAAAAGGAACCAGAAGCTGCAGTGGAATGCAGCTAAGCTCTTCTACCAGTGGGGAGATGTAAGTGGTTTGTTTTTTTCTCTTCTACTTACATTAAAAATATATCAGACTGTAAAGGTAGTTGGATCTTATACAAAACTCCAGTTCAGTAAAATGGGGACTCATAAGCCACCCTTCCAACTTGCACTTCAGTCTGTCAGGACCAGCTCTTCTCCTAATGGAAGTGACTTTGACATGTTCCCTCGGAGGATCCATTAGGTCCACTCTCCTTTTTCCACCACTTATCAAATGTGAATGGCTAGGAAAGAGTAGGAGCAGAGGGTGTGGTACTAATTCTCTTTTTTTCTAGATTCCAAACCTTTTTAGCCCAGTGCTGCTTGAGCTTGATGTGGTGCTGTATGTTTACTGATGGATTTCTCGTTGATGTACTTACTCAGTTTCTCTTTACCCATAAAAACTGTTAGCAGTCATCATTCTTTGGCAAGGAATTCTGCAGGGCTACTACATGTCTTCTGATGAACTGACTCTTTTTGTTTGGAGCTTGACTCCTTTAAGTTTTATTTGATTATGGTCTCCTACCATACAGGGACTAAGCAATTACCTTATCTGGTCCTATCAATACCAGTTGCAGTTTCCTTGGAAACCCCACAGAATATACCTGCTGAAGGTCTGACACTTACTATGGGTCATTTCACACAACTCAAAATGGTAACCTCTGTGGTGCCTGTTACATATGTTTATCTGGAAGTGAGCTTTGTGCTTTTCCCCTCTTTTTGCAAAACCACAGATTTTTACAGTGAACATCATGATCCTCCTCGCCCTTCCCACAAAAAGAAGAAAAAAAGAAAAAAAAAGAAAAAGGCATAAAATCCAAGGCTCGGGGGAGTTAAAAACCCATGTATTCTGCCTTGCTGACCTGTATTCTCCTAGGTTAAACCAACACATGCTTCTCAGTGGAGCACATTGTGGGGAACCTTGAGCTGATGCTGAACATATCAGTACGTTCCCACCACAAAACAGCACCCAAGCTTAGTATCTTGGCAACTCTCCTCCTTCCATTTCTAAAGCTAACTCAGAAAATCCTAGCTGAGCAGCCTTACTCTCTGTTATGTCTCAAACACAGATTATCCTAATAAAATCAAAAATACCAAAGTTCCATGAAAAAGTATGTAGTGTGAATGTATCTGCTTCTGTACTCCGTGAGGTCACTGCCTTAGCCTGACTCCTTTGAGAACTCCTTCCAAATAGAGAACATAGGATTACATAATCCTTGTGTTTTTGCATGTGTTGCAGACAGTCAGAACTATTGATCTCTGTTTGTGGACTCTGCTTCTAGACATTCCTTCTTGGATTCTGACAAAGAACGGGCACAAGCATACATATACACATATAGGGTTCTTTAATACCTTGAAATAGTGTTAAGAGAGTGAGACACAGACTTGTTCTCAAGAGATACCTTTATTAATTTAGGGGAGAAAATAAGGGAACTTGGCAAAGGTTCAAACAGGGCACTACACAAGCTAGACAAAATGTTCTTCTACACTACCAACTCAGCACATATTAATCCACAACACTTAAGTCAAGATCCAGTCTACCCACAACACTTAAGTCAAAATCCAATCCCTCTAGCTCCAAGCCACCTAAACATCAAGAAAGGAGCAGAGAAAGAGAAGCAGAGGGAGCAAGAGGAGAGAAGGAGAAAGAGGGAGATGCAGATCATACAGCCATGATAAATGATCAATGCATTTCTGGAGAATGTGACAGTGCTCAGTGGAAATCTGTCTGTGTTCTTTATAGGGGTTACCCCATACAGCATTACCTATGCACCTTCCCAGCTTTTATAAGCATATCATCAGTTCCTTTTTGGAAAGCACATCAGGGAGTCTCTCCTGTAAAGGCAGAAGCAGGCTTTCCTGTGGGCAGTCAACAGTTTTGTGGAGGAAATAGGGACTCTTACTGGGTTCCTAAGTCACAGGATAGTTTCTTAAACAGAAGACATACAGTGGAAAGACTTAGCAAAAATCAGGAACGCATGTATTAAGGGAAGAAAGAAAAGTGAAAGAAATTAATACAAAATAATGACCTGATCACCTTCTACCTGTCATGTGCCAGTTTGGGGGGGGGGGTGGTGGTGTTTGTTATTAAACTAAATCTGCAAAAATTTTTCATCCTGAAATTTGACACTGTTTGCAAATTTTAGTTGAAAAAAAGGGGGAACTAAATTATGCTTCTGATAGCAATTAGTCTTCTGTCATGCTTTCCTCCACTCCAGACAATAAAAATAAAGCCAGGACATTCTGTTCTGGCTGAACCACCTCTATGGCATGCATGGGGCAGAGCCCTTGACTGCCAGAGTGCTGAGCTGAAATTCTCTCCTCCTTGTGCTTCTCTCTCCCCATCTGCAGGCGATTGGTGTCCGCCTCAACGAGCTGTGCCATGCTGAGAGCGAGAGCCCTGCCAACCTGCTGGGCCTCATTTATGATGAGGAGACCAAGAGGCGCCTGAGAAAGGAGGATGAGGAAGAAGACTTTTTAGATGACAGTAAGGAGACTCCCTTTACTACAAGAACCCCCGCTTGTAAGAACCTCTGCTTTAGGAGCACTTAATTTTTTTTTCTCTTTTCATCTTCTTGCCACCCAGCTGTATTTCCCAGTCCCTCACCTTCACCCCAACTTCTTCCCCTGCTCTTTCTGTGCCTGGATGTACCACATGACAAACGGGTAGCAGAGCTGAGAGACTTTGGTGGAAAAGGGAGGGGGAAACTAGGCAGTGAGTTGCAATTGCTGTTCACAGAAATTGCAGTTATAAGGAGGGTAATAATTTATTTCTTGAGTCTCACTGTCACCTGAGTGCCAAAAGTGCTCAGGCTCCATTCCTCCCAGTTATCTCTGTCAAAATATTTGTGTAAGATCAGCTTGTTTTCTATTTCTGACCATTGAAGAGTCATCTCCTCACCTGACATGAATTGGCAGTGCTCTACTAAAGGCCTTTAAATCCTGACTTCAGTATATTTGCCTGATTTTCAGGCAGAGGTATAGTACAGTGGTAGATAAGAAAAGGATCACTAAAAATCTGTATAACAACAGGATGACTAAGTCACACACATTTGTGCCTATGTGTGCATACGGGTGGGAGGAGGTGCCAGATCACTGATTCTGCAAGTCTAGATAAGCATGCAAGTTCCAGCAAGCCCCGTGAAGCAAAGTAAAATGTCAAAACACATCCTGGTGTAGGTGTAGGTGAAGGTGGTAACAACCAATATACCCCCTCCAGGCACCATTTGTGTACCCGTGTGTGCTGTAACGTGCTGGTTCCCACATACATGTGCTGCTGTTCCCCATTGGATGTAGTGTGCCAGCACTGTTTATCTGTCTTCTGTGGTTTCTCTTCCTGTGGTTCTGGATTTGTGCTTATCTCTGCATAGAGGCCAACTTTGGAGTAGAGGGGAGCAGGTGGGAGCAGTGCAATGGCATTTATGGGAAATGAGCTCAAGAGAAGGTCTTGTCTTGTCCCTGAGCAAGACATTCCCACGTGTCAGTGTGTGGTGTGCCAGCGCTGGCAGCTACAGGAACATGAGTGGCTGTTCTGGGTATCTTATCGGCCATTTAGGAGATATATCCAAAGCAAGGAGAATGCATACAAAATTTTCCTGCATCAGAAATGAAGAACTTCATTCTCATGACTGAGTGACAGAATAGGCTTTCTTATCCCTGTTCAGGCACTCAGGGAGATGTGGAGCTGCTTTAAAAGGGTGCCCTGAGACAAGCAAACAGAGATCATGTTGTGGTCTAGAAAGCAATTTAAAAGCTGAAGTGCTCTCCTGAAAGCCAGGCTCTGAAAATAACTGATCTGCATTCTTGCTGAAGGCAGAGATTTTTCAAAAGCTGCCTTGTATGCTGCAGGGAGTAGACTGAGGAGCATAAAATATGCAGTTGGATATTCCTTTACACTGTATGTCTTGTGTGTATTTGATAGTTCGATTATTTTAGTCCTTACAAAGTCCACAGTTCATTACTGGTAATGTGTACAGAAGACTTGGCAAGCATCACAGAATTAATCTGGTCTTATCTGATCCCTGCAGAGTCTTCTCACTTTTTTGGTTTAGTCTTTTTCTTTGCAAAAAGTAATTAGATCGTACATGGGGAGAGCAAGTGAAAACACTGACCTCTCTGACGTGTATGTAGGTGGTAATACCAGACATTACTAAAAACAAAAGGGCATGGTTAGTTGTTGTCACAACTAATTTTTTATTTACTTTTTTTTGCTGTCCATTAGCCTAAATGGTGTTTTTCAAATTGATCAAGTACCGAAGAATCCTTCATACTTTCCAAGCTTTGAATGGCATTAGATGGGTTACGAAGTCCATGGCTTTTGAAGCTGATTGTTTAGATGCAGCTGAGACAAAACTTCAAGTATTTTGATAATCCCTCTTCCCTTTCCCACTTTGTTTTAGGTTAAGCATTTGAATGTATGATTTGATTAAGCAGTTTGATTTTTTTTCCCCCTTGATTGTGTCTAAATTGCACATGGATTCCTTGCACAAATGCAGCTTGACTTCAAAGGAGGCTGTCTTTTCCAGTTATCAGGGAAGTAATTAATAATAATAGGAACAGTACCTCTTTGCTGGCTAGTCATAACTCCATATATTTTTAGAAAATTTTCTGTATTTGAAAGTGGCTCTTTTCTAGAACTGCAAAAGATGTGGCTGTGAATGCAAAGCTGAAAAGAGGACAAAGGGCATCTACTGCTTAATCTGTATTAACTTTAAATGAGGTTTATACAAAATGCCATAAGCTCATGTTAGTTTAGTAGGTACTTCAACATAATATACTCTAATATATACCATAGTAAATCATAGTGTTATTTCAATATAATATAATGTAATGTAATGTAACATAATGTAATACAATACAATAAAATATATCATATACTAGTACTATTGCATGTGCTGGTAAATACATGGATTGATATTTGTTTGACTGTGTTTTTTTTAGTGTAGGCAAAGTAGCATAGACAGAAGTGTGGATTTTCCTCTTTTTCAGTGCAGTTTGCATTGTGCACCATATGTGACAATGTCCATCACCTCTTGGTTCCAGATCCTGTATAAACTCCTAGCTCATGATAGAACTATTCTTTCCTAGGCACTGTGAATCCTACCAGATGTTGTTGTCCCTTTGCACTGAAGATGGCAGCCTGTCAGCTTCTCCTGGAGATAACTACTTTCCTTCGAGAGACCTTTCCCTACATGGCCAGGCCGCGGACCGAGCCTCTCATGGTACGTGGACCATGCACGTTGAAGAGGGCCATGCCCACAGAACTCCCTGGGTTCTGTGGAGAGAAAGGGTGGAGTAAAAACTGCAGTGGATCTCTGCAGGGAGAAAGGAGCTATTGTGTGGTGAACAGAAGATGGGCAGGGCACATCAGATGGTTGATTAAGAAGATAAGGCTGTGAAAGTACAACATGTGCTGGAAGTTCAAGTTTCAAAGTAGAGATGAGGGCAGCAAAGGGATTGAGAAGCTGGGTGTGGGGCACCTGAGATGGACTGCAAGAGGAGACAGCTCACATGCTAAATAGCTGATAAGGAGAGCCAGTTATCAGAGGTATCTGAACAGGGTGGTTGGGAGAAGGGAACAGAATGGTTTACAGAGAATTTGCTGAGGCTTAAATCCTGCAGATTTTTGGTTTGGGTTAGACAACAGACTTGAGAGGACTGGGGGAAGAAAGGAAAGAAATGAAGACAAAGAAGCAAGGAAAGAAATAAACCTTCATGAGACTGAAGCATAATCAAATCCTGGCATAAAGAGTAATGGCTGATTAGGTGACAACTAATGTTGTGAAAAGCAGAACCCATGAAATCTGATTTCCAGTGGTTCATTCTTGTGTGGATTTTCTCACATCAAATACTGTGGTTTAACATTGCCTTTAGCCTGTTGTTTTACAAAATACACAGGCATGCAGTTATCTTTTGACAAATTAAGTTGAAGGTGACCATCAGCTTCAGAGCTGGTAAGCGTAGAATGGGATAAGATTTGAATGGCAGACATGGTTTCATCTTTTAAGACAAATTTCTGTAGAAAATCAGGATAAAAATTGTAAAGAAAGAATGAGAAGTTAAATTTCCAAGTGAATATGAAGGATTTAGCCCTACTATTTTGGTTTTTGTTAATGACAGAACACTTTTTGCTGATGGCAATTGTGCTTGACAGGCTGATTTAGCTGAGCATTATTGTAATTAGGTTCTGAAATTAATTTCAAAGGCTGTGGGTGACCTACAATGAAGTGGCTCAGCCCCCAAGTATGCAAGAAGGGCAGTGTTAAAAAGTAATAAATTCAGCAGAAGTCCTCCTTGAACACTTAGTTGATATTTTTACCACATTATAAATGACTGTATAATACCAGGGTTTAGAAGTCATCTCAGTTAAGTAGTTAGGCTTGGAACTAAGAATATTTTTGATAATGAAGGTCAGTAGAAATTTGTGCTTTTGTGTCAGATAGAAATGCAACTGATTAATAGCTTTTCAGACTTGTATATGGGAGAAAGGGAGGAGAAATTATTCTGTGATGCATAGGTGGAAGAAACCTTAAGGTCACATTATGCAAGAGGCTATTAGAGAAAATGGCCATAGAGTGCTGCTTCTGACTTTGTATGGGGGAAAGAAAGGAGCCAACAACACTCCAGATTAAAATATTGAGTCTCTGTATTTTTGGAGTGATGTTTCCTTTCCAAGAAAATCAAGTACATAATGTTATGGTCCACAAAGCTGAAATTTCAGTGGGGCAAATCTCACTTCCATTGGTGTTTGTAGGTGTACCTGTACCACAGATAGGAGCAGAGCCTTGGCAGCCTTGAAGAACTTCTATAGCAGTATAGCAATATTAAAGCATAGCAATATAGCACTATTAAAGTGTAGCAATATTAAGGCATCTACAGCAATGTCATCTATAGCAATATAGCAATCATTAGAGCATAAAGGTAACACTTAAGGAAATGCATAAGGGAGAGAAAGGGAAAGAAAGGATAAAGGTGGAAAGATATGTATAGTCACCGCCCATGGGATCCAGCGATGAAACTTGGTAGTTGCATCTTCCATGTCTGTTAGTTGAAGTGGTGGTCTTGATCCATTGGGGCGGGGGGAAGCCCCCCCCAAAACTCAAAGAAGTTATGAGTTATTGTACACTTCCAGCTCAGGTGAGAACGCCTTGTACCTCCCCAGGTGGGGAGTTTTACAATGGGCAGTGTCACGGGCCATGCCACAAGCCTCGGACACCTCCAAAGGCAGCTGCAGCCGCCTATTGTACCAGCATCAATCATGGTCCATCATGGTCCAACATTTGAGATGAGTTCATGGAAAGGGAGGACACTGGCATGATAAAAGGGATTTTCCCGCCTTGCAGGACTTGCCTCTTCTTAGCCTCTTCCCTTCCTCAGGCAGACATCTGCATCCAGGATAACTGGACAATGGCACCCACTTATCTGATCCTTTAGCAGTATTGAGGGGGGGAGAAAGGGGTGAGCAGCTGCTGCTTTTCAGTTTGCAAAGGCCTTTTGGTGATCTTAGAATGTGTAAACCATTAACTGTTTCAGTCTCTGACAGTGTGTGATAGAAATAAATTCTCATTTTGAAGCAGTTCTCCTGAAGCTTCTCTAGTTGCAGTGGAAAGCATGGAGGCTCATATTGCTGACACATCTGTGTGGTCTACATTCTGCTACAGGATCTGGAGAGCTGCAGGCTGCGTCTGGACCCTGAGATGGACCGGCATAGGTATGAAAGAAAGATCAGCTTTGCTGGGGTTCTGGATGAAAACGAAGATTCAAAGGATTCCCTGCACAGCAGCAGCCACACCCTCAAATCTGAGGCTGGCTTCGAGGAGAAAAAAGGTTTGTCAGCACAATAAGGCTTCTGTGTTCTCAGGGCTTGTGAAGTGGCGCTTGATTTTATGTTTTCATTTGCATAGACCGTGTTAAAGAGCGGGCAGCCATGGAGTCACGTGGCTTTGAATAATTTCTGAGACGCTTCTGGCCTTCAGGGTCCAATATAACGAATGTGAGAAGCAAAGATGTTAAATTTTATAAAACAGTGCTATGACTGAAACCGATTGAGAGCATTGCAAGATTGCTAAAAAGGAGCATTCCTTGTTTGAAACCATCTCTCATTGGGATGCTGAGACAAGTATCACTATTTGATTCACTTTAAAAATGAAATGTTCTTGTTTGTTTTTTGCTCTGATTACAGTTTTTCATTTTGGGGAAAGCACAGATAGGAGGGAATATCTGTATCTTTCTGTGGAAATCTGTACCAGTTTTGAAGTCATGGCATCTTACAGAATTAGTGGTTGATCACTTGATCTCTTGAATTCTTTGCTACCACATGAAAAATACACACCTGTGTGGCTTTTGATGGCTAGCAGATTGATGTTACCAACATATGTATACTGTACAAGCGAACCTCAAGCTCACTGTGTTTGCTGAGAATAGCAGATCGTTTCCATTTTTGAGCCATCTCATGCAAAACTCACATAATATCTGATGGTACAAGTGTTGCAATACAATATACAGTCATCGTGTGTATTTGCAATTAGAGACTAAACTGCCAGACCTGTAAATGATTCTCCCTCTAACAATTTTTCTAGAACTGTTTACATTCTGTCTCATAATAGCCATTTAAAGGTGCAGATGTTTGAATGATAATTTTGATGATCATTTGAAAAGGATAAACATTTGATGATTGTTTGAAAACAGTGGAGTCTGTGGCTGGTTATCCCCTAGGAACTGTAATGTCTATTAATGATTCAGAGGAGTTTTTATTGACTTCAAGGGGCTTTGGATAAAGTTTGTGCTGTCTTCAGCTGTGACCCTGCCACAATCACTGGAGAAAATAATACAAATGCTTCCAAGGCTTGCACAGTATAAAACTTTCTCCAAGGTTGTGTGTCAGGGGGGACAGTTACTTCTGTGGAGACAGCTAGGTACCCACCTAAGAAAGGTGAGCTGGATAAATTGATGCTCATTTTGTGTATCCTTGGCATATTGGCAGCCCAGAGAAGCACATAGCCTTATGGGGTGTCTGATAGGGTAACATGAGTGGGATAAGATGTCTTTACCTATTTAGATGAGGAAAAGCTTGGGTTTGGGGTTGGGTTTGTTTTGAAAATAGTTTTATGACAATTACTTGAAACCACTTTTAAGCTTTTCAGGGAGCAGTTCCACCCACTGGGATATTACCTGAGTGGGAGAATGCCTTCAAGCATGCAGTCCTGCTGGAAAATGCTGGTGGCCAGTCTCTAACTATCCTATTTTTCTCAGAGACAATGCTGACTTTGCTTTTCCTGCACATGTTACTGTGCTGCAGGCATAATGCAGAATTATTTTTGCAAATATAGTATTAAGTTTCTTTATTCTGGCTTCTGTTAAACTACATTTTCCTGCAATTTTAGTTGGTTTTTTTCCATTTTCCCTTTTCCCTAAGCTGTCATGTAGTTTTCCTTTACTAAAGCTGCCTCTTTACTGCACTGTAGGCATGGGAAAAGTGACTATAGTAGGAAGGCTGAATCCTACTATAGCAAAAATTTAATTCCAATATTTTAGAAGCTAAATAAGTGCAGGATAATGTTATAGTTTAAAATTACAATAATTATGTTCTTTTCTTTGGCCACAGCATATTCTTCTGGGGGTCCACCTGGGCCAAACGCAATAGATGCAGAGGCACCTTTCATAATCTACACTTTCCTAGATAGGAAAATGTTGTTGTGTGAATGTAACTAAACTTTTCTTGCCTGCAGTGACAGGTTTCTTTACCTCAACCTCTTTGATGAGTACTAATCTGTTTCCTTTCATTTTTTTTCCGGAGTGTTAAAAACTTTGCTCTCATTGCTCCCCCCAGGCATGGCTTAGCAGCTATCCAAAAGCTATGAGTTTACTGTGTAGAATCTGCTTCAGGTAGGTTTGAAATACAGATAATACAGCTAGGTAGATAAAGGTTCTCAGAGGATCATATGTACTCTTTGAGTGCCAAAATGGGATTCTGCAGACTTCACAAAATGCAGTTACAAGTTACAAGCTTAAGTGGTTTGGTATTCAGGAGGCTGATCTGAACGTGATTCAAGCAGTAGTGATTGCTAAGGAACTCAGCATGGTCACTTGGAGGGAGATTCTCTGGTCACTCAACAGTGATTTGCCCGCCTGATTCATGAGGACTGAGGAGTAGCTCTTAAAACGTTTCCAGCTGTCTGCGACCAGGACGTTAGCCACTGGTTATGGGGATGGGAATTGGGTTTGGAGGAATTAGGGGCATTCTCGGGAGTAAAAGTGTGTTTGATTTTTCCTGAAGCCAAAATACAATTCTATTTAAATATTTTGCTTACCCATCATATCCAAAAAGCTGTATCTCATTCATTCCTAACCACACACGAAAAGGTAATTGATCACATGTGGCCTTGTCTGATTAGATCTGCAGTAAAATGACTGAGTGTTGCAACATTTGGACTGACATATTGCTATGTACTGCCTTTGAACTAAGAGGAGAATGAAAGTGCAAACGGTTGGTGCTTTGAACATTGAACCATTTCATGTCTGTGCTCATCAAAAATGCAGAGTGTCAATGGATGTTGTTAATGCCTGAAAGCTGCTGATTTGTCTGAAGGAGAGGATCTACGTGCTCCCATTTCCTCTAAAGCATTCTAATGACGAAGAGTAACATGCAGAGACATGGACTTATGCAAATCTTACTTCAAAGAAGTCTTCCATGCTGACCTCATGAAGCACACTACCCTTCTGCAGTCACACATGCTGTATGAATAAATAATTGATCCTACTGCAGAGCTCAGTGACGTTTACAGAACCTAGGCCCATGGTAAAGTAGGTTTGTCCATGGTGCCTTGTTCATGCTTGGGATTCAGCCATCTATCCCTAGCAAGAGGTGATCCTGCACTAATGTGAACCCCAAGGGCTGGCAAAGAAAACTGGAGTTCACATCCACTGGGTAGATCCTGTTTCCTGGCAGGAATTGATTCAGATTTGTGTGAATCGTAGGTTTTCCTTGTCCACATTTTGGGTTTCTGTTAGAGCAGATGACTCTACTTGCTGGTGGTTGAACGAGGGCTAATTCCAAATACAGACAAGGCCGAAGGTGATGTACCAGATGTCCAGGAAATGAGATGTTGAACACATTTCTGTAAAGCATCTTTACTGCCCGATTGACAGAGCTGCATTGGCGGTGGCTTTGGAGGAAGCCTCTGGCTCCACATTCCCTGGTAGAAGAAAAGATGCTGCAATACAGGCTGGCAGCAAAGGGTTGGGAGGGGGGGGAGGGCCAGGATCTCTTTCTTTCTTAAATGGGGAAAAATTAAGGGGAAAAAAGTCCTCTTTTATTCTTTTAATACAGTTCCCAGCAGGAAGATCAGGATAGGAGGCTCCCGCTTGCTCCAGATTAAAGGAACCCGCAGTTTCCGGGTGAAGAAGGGGGGTTCCCTTTCCAGCATTCGCCGGGCCGGCAGCCTAAAGAGCACCAAGTTATCACGGCAGGACTCAGAGTCTGAGAATGAGGAGCTGCAGCTGTCCCACAGCAGGGACACTGTCACTGATATAGGTAACTTAGACGAGTGGGTGGAAAGGGAGGGGACAATAGGCAGGACCTAAACTCTTGATGTGATTGCAGCAGAGCTAGAAATGGCAAGAGACCCCCACCCCAGCAGGCTAGGAAAAATTTAGAGTCCTCTTCAGAGAACTTCCTAGACTAGGGCCTGGGAGGAACATGTCTCAAATCCTGGGTGCAGCATCAGCTCCATGCACAGTTTGTCAATTCAGCGCTCCGTGTTAGAGCATGAACTCTTGGAATGCTGGGGCTTGCCAGCCAAACACTTGCTGTCTTTAGGGAAGCATGTGCCTGTGTATATATGCACAGACACATACTCCTAAATCTTATGATATAATGATTACATGAACAACAGATTGGCTAAATATATATATATATAGGTGTATATATATATATATATGGACATGCACTTCATAATTTATATCAGATGTGATGCCAGAGGCATGTCATATGACATGTAAAATATATCTTCCTATATGTAGAACATAACACCTACATGCTACATGCTATATTTCTACATATTGGCATATATATCTATTTTTACAGTTTACAGCTGCTTTCCTCAGTCTTAAAAAGATAAATATCCATACATGTACCTTATGGAAACCAAATGTGCATCCTGCTGTGAGAAATCTCCATCACAGTTGAACTAAAGGGGCTTCCTCTGCTAGGAGTGTTAACCAAAAACTGTGGATACATTTGGAGCTGAAATAACCTCCCAAACTTAATGGTCATTTTTATGTTACCCAGAAGATGCTTCAGTAGGTGAACATGGCAAGTGAGATTGCCTGTTCTCTAGACTTTGGCAAGTCACAATTCACTTAAAGAGGAGAAAGAAAGGATAAACCAGAATTCATCTCCAGCCAACACTTAACAGCATTAATGTCAGTTTTATAGGAGGTCCATAGGGTATGAAATGGCTAGAGGAAACACAGGGATCAGTGAAGTTCCCAGAGAAATCTCTCTCTTGTCTGAGTTCTTCAGAACTAGTGTGCTATAATCAGGATTTTTTTCCCCTTTCATCCCCATGACATTAGCAGTTCCCATGGGCAATTAGCAGGGACTTTGCCCACTGGCATTTCCAGTTGGATGCCACTTCTGGTTGGATTTTTGTTGGCATTTTTAACCACAGAGCCCAGTCAATGCAGATCACTAAACCAACCATTCGCAGCATCTGAATGGTGCAAAGAATTTGTTTCTGATGGTTTTTTATTATCCTTTCTCCTTCAATTAAAAAAAAAAGTGGGGAGGGAGCAATGTTTGCTGACAGGATGGCCTGTGAGCCAAGTCCAAATGGTTCTTGTAAGTGTCAAGCCAGCATGATACAAGGATTGGTCTGTTCCCTCAAGGCTGGCCTGGCTTACAAGTGCTGCCGCTACTCTTAAAGCACATGGGGAACACTAAAAACAACCACCTTTTGGGTATTTTTCTTTTGAAGAAGGGAGCCCTTGGAGCGCAAGCGAGCCCAGCATTGAACCCGAGGTGCTGAGCAACACAGGCATGGAGGAGAACTATCATCGGAATATGTCGTGGCTGCATGTAAGTACAAGTCACTGGTGGTGTTCTCAAGGATGGCATTTTCAGTAGGAAAACCTTTGTGCTGGCTGGCAGTAACCAGATCACAGTCTGTGCTTTCTCCATACAGCATCAAGGATCTAAAGTGTAAGTAAGGTGCGACTTTTGGAAATCATCTGTTTGCCATTTCTAAAATGGACTAAACCCAGAAAGTTTTTATCTTGCTCCCTCTGTCTATTTCATATATTTAATTTTTAAGGGGAAATGGACTTTCTCTCTAGGTGTCCAGGGACAGCCATGCTCCCTCAGCTGAAAAATCCGTTAGCCCAGTATCTTATCTTCAGCATGGCTAGTAGTGGGTAGTTCAGGGAGAGCAGCAGAATGGACTACAGTGTGAGCTGGGCTCCTGGTTTCTGAGAAGTGGCATTTTAGAGGCTACTTGACTAACCCAGTAGGGCCTTGTGTAGTTCCAGCTCTATCCAACAGACAGGGAATACAACAGTGCAATTGTGGTTTGGTCATGCAGGGTCTAAGACATCCGTTTTGGCAATCTCTGTATCCACAATTTAGACTTGCCAAAAGTCAGCTGTGCAAGTCTACACCGTTCAATCTGCTTGTATCCAAGGACTGCACACATCTACCTCTGTTGCCTCATGACACACTGTCATGGAGTAGTACAGTCAGTGTGTCCTTGTGCACATGCTTTTGATTGACTCACTGTGCACAGATTAATTGTCTTTGGATTGACTAGCTGTGCACAGACTGACTGTGTCCTGCACAGATGTGTGACTTCCGAGTTGCCTTTGGGAAAGACAGCTGCCGATACTGAGCTGATATCCCACTCTTTCTCTCAAGTATTTCATACAGTCTGCTCTCAGCTGCCCCATTCCTATGGGGTGTGGGCAAGAACAGGCTTTGATGTCAGAAGCCGTTCTTGACAGTTGTCTTTTTTTGGAAGATGGTGACTGGGCAGGAAACCTGAATGCCTGGAGCGTGGTGTCCTCACTCTGTGTCAGCCACTCAGGCTGGCTAGAGGCTATGCAGTGCTGATTAGACTTACACTATATGCACATTGATACAAATGTTGAGTTATTCCTGACTGACGCCAAAATAACATGAGGCCAGAACAGGCAAGCAAACACAAGAATCCAACATACGTAGCACAGATTTGTTTTAAATTTAGCTCCTAACTTTTTAGAAACTTAAATATTTTAAGGTTGAGAATGATGTGGCAGCCTTACTTGAGAGAGCCAGCAGACTACAGCTGCACAGACCGTAAGTGGATGGAAAAGGTGGGATAGATTCTTTGTGGCAGTTCTGGGTATTTCTGAACAAGGCTGTGGGATCCATAAAGGCCAGTTAAGACCTACAGTGTGAATGGCTTGGGGATGCCTGTGTGTTTTCCTCAGAGTGCTGCTAAGAGGCTGGGTTTGTGTGTAACATGAAGAGCAGTGTACAGAGAGCTGCTGTTTCCTCTGTGACAATTAACTAGTTGACAGTTTCCAATCCAAGCTCTCATCTCAGAGTGGTGATACAACAGCTTTTCTGCAAACTGAGAGAGTACTATTTTCCTCAGCATTTATCTTGCCCCCAAACATACACATCTGCAGCCGCTCTGTTAACTTTGTTAACACTAATGTTTCTTTAGCCTTGCCTAGCTAGTTTGCCAACCCCATGTAAGCATGGAGCTCTGCATAGACACACATAACTTTTTAAACAACTGTGTTGAGCTTCGTGCTTCCCCAGCTAGGCCGTGGAAAAGTTAGCTTGACTATCCCCATGCCTGCCTGTGTAACTCTGTTTTCTGTAGATAATCATGCTCTTTTAATTTCCAGGTTATGATCCTTTTATGCAACCAGCAAAGCTTCATATGTACCCACATTGACTACTGTCACCCACACTGCTACCTCCATCACAGCCGCTCCTGTGCTCGCCTCGTCCGGGCCATCAAACTCCTCTATGGAGACACAGTGGACTCTCTGCGAGAAAACACCACGCTGAACAATGTGGCAAGAGGCAAAAAACAAAAGGAAGTGAGTAAATGGGAAAGGCAGAATGTTTTGGGGTTTGTCTGGGCAGGTCGTAATTACCTTCAAAGGCTGCCTAATGTATTCATACAGTTCTTTCATGAAAGCATTAACACAGCCCTTCCTAAACATGGCTTTGCTGTAAAAAAAACCCCCAGCTATTAAGTCATTTAACATTATGGAAGGAATGTAATCTGTATTGATTGGAGAGAATCTTAGTTGTTGATGAGGTAGTTTAAAAGCTTTAAAACCTGACTTTAATTTTAATGGTCTTTTATGACCTCTACTTATCACCCTGTGGAGTCCAATCTCCTTTTTTTTTCATGCTTTTTGTCATCTGTTAGTAAGAATCACTCTTGAAATTCCTGTTAACATCTCGTGTAATCTTTTTCTTTTAGATCTGAGCTCCCAGGGCTGTTCCAAGAATTGTATACATTGGTCTTTAATGTTACAGTCTCTTTAGTGACGGGCGTTTAATGACCAGTTCAGCAGGAACCATTATGCCTTTTTAGTCATATAAATGGCACCTCTAACTGCAGGGGAAATACATTTCTGCTTTCAGGAAAGTGCCCACCCAAGCACCAACTTAATCATATGAACAGCTGGACCACAGTAGGCAAACTACAGTCATTCTGAATACTTGCAATGGCAGAGTCATTAGACTACTTTGCAGTAACACTGAAAACAAAAAAGTTCATGAAACTCTCATGAAGGTTTCAGTTGGGTGAGGAGGCTATCATCCCTGGAAGCAACAAATGATGGAGGAGGAGACAAATTCATAATGTTTTCTCATCACCCAGCAGATTGTTTATTTCCTGTCAAAGTAGAAAATTGAAGGGTGTTTGTATGGAAGAAAGCACAGGGCAGGTGAAACAGCAGCTAATGTTTCTGCTTTCCTGAAAACTGAAACCCTCATATATTTCCTCTGGCGTAGAAAAGTAGCATATCACTTAGTTATTTAAAAAGAGAGGCAGCCATTTCCTCTACAGAAGGCAGGCTGGGGATAAGCAGCTGGCAGTGTTCATGAAAGATAGCAGAAGAACACTGCATGCTGTTTCATCTCCCACTTTGAATTGCAAGATAGTGATACACATTTCACCATCCATCAAATCATCAAAGCCTTGAAGCAAGGAAAAAAAGAGTTTGGGAGACAGTAAGGTTTCCTACCGGCACAGGCACTGTTTGTACAGACCTCACTGCAGGAGAGCAATTCATAATTTTTAATTTTTTTATAATCCTCCCTGCAAGGAAGACATGGAGGTGATGGAGCATGTCCAGAGAAGGGCAATGGAGCTGGAGAAGGCTTGGGAGCACAAGTCTGATGAGGAGAGGCTGAGGGAGCTGGGGGGCTCAACCTGGAGAAGAGGAGGCTCAGGGGAGACCTCATCACTCCCTACAACTCCCTGAAAGGAGGTTGTAGTGAGGTGGAGGTCAGCCTCTTCTCCCAGGTGACAAGTGACAGGATGAGAAGAAATGGCCTCAAGTTGCACCAGGGGATGTTTATGTTGGATATTAAAAACATTTGTTCTCCAAAAGGGTTGTCGAGCAGTGGAATAGGCTGCCCAGTGAAGTAGTGAAGTAGCCACTCCTGAAAGTATTTAACAGACATGTAGATGTGGCACTGAGGGACATGGTTTAGTGGGGGATTGGCAGTTCTGAGTTAACAGTTGGACTCGATGATTTAGAGGTCTTTTCCAGCCTCAGTGATTCTATGAGAGGAATCATTGTTGTGCTCACTAAACACTTTCATTGGTAATTTCTTGCAGGGGAAGTTTAGACTTTTTGCCTCTAACCTGCTTAACTAAAATACTTGTGTGTCCTGCCTGTGAAGATTACACAGACGACATTCACATCCTTCGTTTGACTTACTGGCTTCTGCCTTAACATTTTATTGGGAAAACATTGTTAAAAAGAGAAGAAATTTGGACATGTCATCTCACTGATACTAGGTCTGTTGCCAGCAAAGAAGAGGGCTTGTGCTACAGCTCTGGCACCAGATGGCTTTTTGTGTACGGAAATTCCTCTTGTACCTGATCTCCTTTTCCACATTTTGGGAAATCTAAATGTGAGCTCAGTTTTCTTTTTGTTTCCTTCCAGTGCTCAGACAAGTCGTGCTTGAGAACTCCTTCTCTAAAAAAGAGGGTAATTGATATCAACTTGGAAGGGAAGAAGGACTCTGGAATGCTAAAATACATCAGGCAGCAGGTACTGACTAGGCCATATGATAGTTATGTAAGGTGATACTTAGGTGTCAGGTTAGACTGCAACAATAGGGAAAATATATATGGATCTCCAAGCCCATGAGAAGACCTGTTCCTGAATACCAGTCAGTTCAGCCCTACATATTTTCCCCATCTGAGAAATGCTAAATTTAAACCTCTTAAGGTAACACGGTCAAAGAATCCTTTAAACATTTAGCTACGTTCAATCACAGTCTGCATCTCTGTTTTTCCATAGGGACACATGCATCAAAGCATAAAGGAGGAAATATTTTTAAAAATGTAGAAAATCCGCAGTTGTGTTTAAATACAACCTGTCCATTTACAGCAATAGTTTCCTTTGGTCTTACTTGTTCGATGTCCCTGAAGAAGCAAGAGGTTTTTCATGGATCTATATCACTGTTTGTACACTACCTTGGGAAAGTTTGGCTTTCCTTTTCTTCTCTTTGAGTTTTGGTGATGTGAGGGACAAACAAAAGGCTCTAGGAACTGGGTTGCAAACACTGCTCTTTCAATGTAGCCAGAAGCAATGTTCTTTTCTGGAGCATTATCTGAAATGGCTGAACCTAGAGGTAATTGGTGGGTAATCTGCAGAGCAAAACTGGGTAAAATTGCTGCACGTGTTGTTACCTGTGGATAGTTTGCACAGTTCAGCCCTAAGGCTTGGCTGGGTTTGTTGCAGGTAATGAGCCTCTCCCCTGCACCTTTGTCACTGCTAATCAAGGCAGCTCCTATCCTCACAGAAGAGATGTATGGGGACATTCAGCCAGCAGCATGGGAGCTCCTGCTCAGTGTGGATGAGCACATGGCTGGAGCAGCAGGTAAGAGAACAAAACCATTTAGGATGGTTGCCCTGGCTGCACAGCTTGCAGCAGATCACAAGACCTTGCAAGGCAGCTTTGCAGTGGAGGAATCTGAATGCCACCAGGGTTTCTTGAGGACTGTTTGGTTTTCATAGGCCTTCATGTGGTTTTGTGCTCTGGACAAAAGAGGTGGCCAGAAGGACCAGGAGGGCAATCTCTCTCAGCACCTGGTTGTGGTGGATCTTTGGAAAGCATCAAAATCAGCATCTATGTTCAGCTGGGTTTCTAGGCAGAGGAAACACAGTGATTCAGTCTGTCCAGAGTTTACTAAAGTATTCTGTATGTTGCCTGATGGAAATTATTAGTAGAGACAGGTAACTTGGGTCACTTGGGCCCAGATGGGCTGGATTTTGCTAAGTTCTATGTGATAGCATGTGCTAAGTCAATGCTTAGTGGAATGCTTTATTTTGGTTGAATGTTACCCTTTAAACTTTTGTCAAGTACTCTTATTTCCTAAAGTTTACCACCAGAAGAACCCTCTGAGAAGATGTGTGCAGCTTTTCTCCTATGTGCTCTCTCTTAAGGTGTTAAAAGAACTGAGGGCTCATCTAAAAAAATCGGCAGGCGAATTTTTGGAGCCTTGTATATTTTTAAAGTAAAACTCCTTTGGTGAGCTCATAGCTCTAGACTTGGGGTCTTGCACCAGGGATGAAATTTATGACTATAAAGTGTAAGATTATGTTGTTGCAAAGTAGTAATGAGAATTTTTCTCTCGTGAGCTTGGATCTTCTCCCGTGGAAATGAACTAGTTTCAGAGTATATCCCCTTGGCCAGAAGATAACTGACCTAACGATCAGCTGTGGAACAATAAACACAGTCAGATTGTGTCAGAAGAGGTATTTCATTAGAGATTCAAAGTATTAACGCTGTTGTAAAGCAAAATGTACAGTTACCTAGAACACAGCACTTCCATGCATAATTCTAGTCACTGAAGAAAGACATTTACATGGGGCAGATGCAATGAAAGGCTGCTAGGACAGAAGGAGGAATGAAGAATCTGTATGGTGAGGATACTTATTTAATTGATACTGTTTCTCTCCATAACTACAGCAGACCAGACAGGGAGAAAGAAGTATTTAAGCCATGGTAGCATAAAGATGAGAATTAACTTTTTATGACCTCTTTCACCTTGAAAACAGAAGATTTCTCACCACCAGAAAGAGAGCAAATGCCCTTCGGTTTAGAAGTTTGTGAAGGGGATGAGATGATGTGATTCAGGAGGTCTTTTCTAGTCTTATTGTCCTGTCCAAACACTCATAATCAGTGTATGCTAATGGCAGATGTTCAGAAATAATGAGTTGCAGTCTTAGAAACTGTGAACATCCCTCACACACAATAGACAGTTTACTTAAAGCATAAATTAAAGTAATCGAATTTCTTTGTATGCTGATTTCCCACAACTTTCAAATTCTGCCTTTCTCCTCCCCCAGCATGCAAGGAAATGGCTTAAAGATTGCCTCCTTCCACAGATTTGTGCACCTAAGGGGACCATCCCAAGTGTTCTTACACTGAAGATTAAATTACAGGGTTTCTCTTGGTGGGGGTTTGCAGAGCTGCGATTTCTCCTTGCCAAATAAACATGTTATTAAGATAACCAGATGATCAGATATTCTGTCCCTGCAGCTGCCATGTTCCTGCTGTGTGCTGTGAAAGTGCCAGAGGCAGTTTCTGACATGCTGATGTCCGAATTTCATCACCCAGAAACAGTGCAAAGACTGAATGCCATTCTCAAATTTCACACACTCTGGAGGTTTAGATATCAAGTGTGGCCAAGGATGGAAGAGGGAGCACAGCAGATCTTTAAGGTAGATAAGACACATGAAGCACAATGGTGACATTTACAGCTTGCCTTGTGGGATAGATATGTAATGACAAACTGCTATGAAATTGCCTGAAACTGTTTAGAGAAAAAAAATGTTAGTCACACTAGTGGGGGAGGTGATGTGTAGAACTCCTGTATAAAATGAGAAAAGTATAATGTGGACTCAAGTGAGGAGAAATGTCAGAGGAAGAAATGTATGTCATATGTGGTGTTATAGTCCAGTGAGATATGGAGGTGAGAAAAATTTGTCGAGTTAATTAATGTCTTGGGTACTTGTGCTCATGTTTAATTAACAGTACTGACAGTAATAGTCTGCTTTAACAAAATGTCTTTCTTGTTTTTATTTAGATCCCTCCTCCAAGTATAAACTTCACTTTGCCTTCTCCTGTGCTGGGTATGCCATCTGTGCCAATGTTTGATCCTCCCTGGGTCCCTCAGTGCAGTGGGAGTGTGCAAGATCCCATAAATGAAGATCAGTCAGTAAGTAGACATCATGAAAGTAAGCACTGTTTTTTCTCTGTAGCAATATTGGGGAAGTGAAGCCAAAAGATGTGGACTAAACTCTGAGAATGTCTTTCCCATATGGAAAAAAAATCTTGTATAGTCTGTGTAGGATACACAGAATTTTCTCTGTGGTCATAAGTCTTTTCTGTTTGTTCACTGAGGTACTGTACTGTACCTCTTATCCCTGTGAGAGACAGTAACTCATATCTTAGGAGCACACAGCTGTTCTTTCTCCAAGAGAAGGTTGGTTCAACAGAACTCTCTGACAGACCATTGTAGACATATCTTCAAGAAGAGTCTCCTGCTGAATCTGCTCAGCTGGCACTGGTCAGATTTGTATTTAGAAACTGAATTGCTAAACGTTAGAGGTCTCTGTCAGAAAATCAGGGTGTGTGCATCTTAACTAACAGCTTCAGGCTGTGTTTCTTCTCTTTCCTTCCCAACAGAAGTCATTTTCAGCCCGAGCTGTGTCGCGTTCCCATCAGCGAGCGGAGCATATCCTGAAGAACCTGCAGCAGGAGGAAGAGAAGAAACGCCTGGGCCGGGAAGCCAGTCTCATCACTGCCATCCCCATCACTCAGGAGGCCTGCTACGAGCCGTCCTGCACACCCAGCTCGGAGCAGGAAGAAGAAGGTGTGCTCTGGGGCCAGGAACTGGCTTCCAGGAACCTGAGAGCACTTCTCACCAACACAGCACTGCTTAAGGGGTGGTGTCCAGAAACATTGATCGTTAATATTGGAAAGATCACAACTGCATCCACATGTTGGAAGAGTCCAAATCATTGAGAAAAAGTGTATTTAAAAATCAGTGCAAGAAAAACAGAGAACCTCGGACATATTGAGTGCTCACTGTGTGATGAAGCCACTTACCCCATCTCCCCTCGCCTTTGGTGGAACTTGCCACAGTTTAGCATCTCAAAGCTCCCAGTATCTTGTGGGATTTAACAGAATGAGAATATGCAACACTAGAAATGAAATATGTCCTTCCTAACTTTAACTCTTAAATAATTAAAGGATGAGAGGAATTGCCCTTTGGCAGTACCTTAGGATATGCTGAATTGCCCCTGGAGTTTTCTGTCTTTATGGTGACTAGCGGGGAAGCCCAGGGGACAGGAGCAGCATCAGTACCAAACTTTCAGATAGCCAAAGTTACATGGCATGAGTCATGAAAAGCTTAGTCTTTGGGTGAGAATTTTCACTGGCCCAGTCTAACAGAGCACACAGACTTCATTAAAGGCATTCCAACGTATGTGCCATTAGGTGAGTTCAGGGATGTTCAGATCTAAGCATACATAAGAAATCTGTAAGTAGAAATCCCTGTTCTTAGAAAAAATGAGCAATTATGATGGTTAACAGGGAGTGGATGAAAAGAAGTATAAAGCTGATTCAGTTACAGTGTGATGCACCAAAACACTGAACACTCTTACAGAACAATGTTCTGCTGGTTTCCAAAGCATGAACAAATTATCTGACTGATCTTTATAGATTTTAAGTTGTGCCTCTTGAGTGTTACCTGACTTGAATTCTCAATGATATGATTTGGTTGTAAGTGCTGTTCTTCAGAAAGTTTCCTAAAGTCTGTCCGTTGGATCTGGATTGACGTTTCCTATTCTCTTTGTCAGTAGAAGAAGTTGCCAACCTGGCCTCCCGCCGTCTTTCTGTGAGTCCTTCCTGCACCTCCAGTACATCCCATAGGAACTATTCCTTCCGCCGGGGCTCTGTCTGGTCAGTGCGGTCTGCAGTCAGTGCAGAAGGTGGGTTGACTTCACTTTGGAGTATTCTCTTCTAGGATTTCATTTCACTGGAAGCCTTTCCTGTTGACCCGTAAAGCTGTGGCATTTGCTGTTGCCAAATTTATTCCCAAGCTTGAGCCACTTTATAATAAATTACTGCCCTGCATTACTTTATTCACCCCTGCTGTCACAATGTCTTCCCTTGCCTCTCATGTTCCATTTGGAGAGTAGTGCAACAGAGAACCCTTTAGCTGAAGAATGGTAATGAAAAGAGATTTCATTAGAACTGGTTGCCTACAAAAAAAAAAGAACTGTAAATTGAAAAATTGTATATTTACAATGAAAATTCTTGGTCAAGAAGTGGGCTGGAGGTTCAGTTTCTTCTTGGAGATAGCAGTGAACCTGTTGTGCTTGCACAGTGATCAGACAGCCTATAATTTTGAACTGTTTGTACAGCCCCTAACATAAATGCTTATATAACCTGCCTGGAATATACCACTAACTCCCCTTCTACTCTTCTTACTGCTGCAGATGAAGAACACACTACTGAACACACTCCAAACCATCATGTGCCCCAACCACCTCAGGCTGTGTTTCCAGCATGCATCTGTGCAGCAGTGCTCCCCATTGTCCACTTGATGGAAGATGGAGAAGTCCGGGAGGATGGAGTAGCTGGTACTGACCTAGATTAACCTTCAAGGGATTCTTGCTCAAGTGTGGCAGAACTCCTTTCAAAACTCTTTGAAAATAGATTTCCAATAGAAGTGTGATTTTGTAAGGTTTTTCCTTTTTTTCCTCCATAATTTGCATTTGGCCTTGAGGGTTTTTTGCTCTTTTGGGGCCCCCAGTTCAAGAAAAATACTGAGAAGCTGAAAATGGTTTAGTGAGGGGGATACCAGGATGGTAAGAGGTCTAATATAGGTGTTCTGTGAGGAGTGATTGTAGAAGCTGGGCTTGTTTGGTGTGATGCAAAGGAAACAAAAAGAGGAATACTAACTTAGAGGTTACAACTTGGGAAGTTGAGGTAAGAAATTGGGAAGGAACTCCATAACCAGGAGCACAGTACAGCTTCTGTTGATTCTCCATACTGAGGGGTTATCGAGCCTGGCTAGTCAAAGCCATGATGACAGTCCTACTCCAAGCAGGGCTTGGACTACAGACCTCAAGAGGTCTATTTCCACCAGCCTTTCTTTGTTCTATGACAGATGGAAAGCCACCTGTACACAGCTTGAATATATTGGTTATGATCTGTGATGTATTTGTAAATTAATAGTGCATTTTTCTGTATTTGTTTCTCTCAAATGTTTACAGATGGACTGTTGCCCTTCCTTCCTTTCTCATCACTCATCATGTCAGCTAATTGTGCATTTAACTTTCTGTTAAATTTTCTATTCAGTTTTGGGTGGATGTAGTCAGCCACCTAAATAATGTATGTGCCATTTTGTGATTGGGAACCACATACTGAAAAAAAAATAACAAATAATCCTCTGTTGTTGTTAAGCTTCGCAGGATTGCCATTAATTGCACTTCTGGGAATTGATCATCAACACAATTCCCTGATAACTATCTAATACTGCTCACCAGTGCCAGATAAAATCACTTAATAAATCACCATGAAAGTTAAGTTATATGCATGAACAAAAGAGTACATGAATTTGTCTTTCAATTGCTGTATTTTGTCCACCTGGAGTTATGAAACCAAATAGTTATTTCTTTATTATTCCTTGACTACAGGGGTGAAGTGCGTCCTGTCCTATCTGTAGTTAGGGAAGGTTCAAATATTAGACCTGATTTTAGACCTGATTAAGTTATTATTATTGAGATGACTGCTCTGGTGACCAGAAATCCTTGTGCATCAAAGAGGCTCCTGTGTGTTTCAGTACAAAACAAGGCAACTGTGGTAGAAGATTAGGAACATTTGCATCTCAGTGTTCCAGTTCAAGGTTTTTCCAAGGGAGATGGTTCTGACCTTGTTTCCTTTCTCTCTCACAGTAAGTGCTGTTGCTCAGCAGGTCCTGTGGAACTGCTTAATTGAAGACCCCTCAACAGTTCTGCGCCATTTCCTTGAGAAGCTCACCATCAGCAATCGACAGGTATGTTCTTCCTCTCCCCAGGGGTGCATGAATTGCTTAGAGCAGGGGAGCACAGCTGCAAGCAGAATCAATCTGTTGGCATCACTAAAGGAAGAACATTTGCTGTTATAAAGTAGCATGTCATCATTTGGCCTCATTCATTGTCCACTGATGTAAATGGGACACAGCTGATTTATCACCACTAAGAATCTGACTTGCTTTAAGCCAAGCTCTGAACAGCTGCTTAGTGAAGCACAACCCTTTCGTCTAACTAGATATTGATTCCACCCACACCACTCTTTTCAGCTTTCCCTAAAAGATGGGGGTGGCCTTGTCTCTCCCTGGCTTATTAGACCACTTCCCAGTGTATGGCTAAGCTCTATGAATAAAAGGCATACTGGTTCTGACTGGATGGAAGGCAGCAAGGCTCTCCATACCACCTTCTCAACTGCACACTTGGTGTATGATGTCAGTAATATCACTGCCCTCATCTTCAAGCCACCAGCTAAGAACTGACTACAGAATGAATATTAAACCTGAGAAAGGTCAGGCCCTTTGGTTCTTTGAGCAAGCAGTGGCCTCACCATTCCTGAGAGTTCTCAGCCATAGTCCACAAACCTTTTATTCAAGTTCAGAGGGTCACTTTTGTTTCATAGAATGGTTTGGGTTGGAAGGGACCTTAAAGATCAACTTGTTCCAAGCCCCCTGCCACGGGCAGGGACGCCTACTACACCAGGTTGCTGCAAGCCCCATCGAACCTGGCTTTACACACTTCCAGGGATTGGGTATCTCTGGGCAGAGAGGTTGGTTGTTAAGTACCTTTGAGAAGAAAGCTGTGCACTGTTTAGCCTCAGAGGCCTCTGAGTTATCACAGTCTGCTGTTTTGCTATCTCTTTAAAGGCCTGCCACAACCACCAGTACAGAACACAGAGAACAGGTGTATTTCCTTGGAAGCTGTCACCAGATGTGTCATTGGCATGGGTCTTCCTGTGCATATCTGTGCCCATAGCTCAAATCTGCTGTGGATGAGGACAAGGGCCATAGAAGATATTTATGATACCATCTACCTGTCCCTAGCTGACAATGAGATTCTGTGCCCTCCACAACCCCTCACCACCATAGGAAATGGATTAGTCTACATTTAAGACTGGCAGCCTCTAAAAGAAGGGCAGTTTGATTCTGCCCACACCTCCTACCCAGCAGTCACAGCTATTGAGCTGAACTGGATTCCACAGATCATCATCAGAGGGATTATCACAGGGAGAGGAGTACAGAATCAGGATGCTACAGTCAATACAAATTGCAGGAGGTACTGGCTTCTCTGAGATAAAAACATAAAGACACTGGCCTAGGTACTGTGCCCTGGGCCTTATTTTGCAATATGTGGGAGCAGTCACAAGCATATAATTCTAATTCATGCCCTGAGAGACAGAGCTGAACAAGGGAGTATGGAAAAATGGGAAGAAACAAACCCGGAAAGGACAAAAGGGAGAAATCTACTCTCCTTTTTTTTTGATGAAAATTAAAAAAAAAATGCTTTTTTTCCAGGATGAGCTGATGTATATGCTAAGGAAGCTTTTGTTGAACATTGGAGACTTTCCTGCCCAGACATCTCATATCCTCTTTAACTACTTGGTGAGTAGCTTGTGGGTCCCCTGTGCAGCCCAGAATCTCTCCTCTGCCTGCATGTGTGCTAAAAAGTTAATGTCGCAATCTGCAAGGAAATAAATGCACTTAAGTTTTCCTCTATAGCTCATATCTGCTTCTGGCTGTGGGTGCAAGTCACCAGGCTTACACCAGCCTTTCAGTCCTTATGGGGAGAGGAAAAAGAATCTGTAATGTGTGATTAAACCCCTAATGTGTGATTAAACCTCTAAGCAATTTGTCCTGGATTTTTATGAACAACAGACAATGAGTTGTAGACCAATAGAAGGATCCCAAAAAGCTTCAGTTATTTTACTTAATTTTCATTCAGAAAGTGTTTTGCTCTTAGAGAGTACTGTTGAGCAAACCTAGCAGCTTCTTTCAAGACTGGGGTCAATGCATTTGCTGCAGTTAAGAGATGAAGCAGACAAGATGTATGCTACTCCAGGGAGTGTTCTGTTGTTTCTGAGGTATCTACATGGCAGCACACCAGAGCAGAAGGCATAGGAGGTCTCTTACTGCAGGGGTTCTCCCTTTTCTTCATCTACAATGTCTTTTAAGGCTGTGCTGCAAGAGTACTTTTTGCCCCCAGTCCACACCCTCCCTAGAAAAAGGAAGAACAGTACAGGCAGATTGTTCTTTAGCACAGACTTTCAGGATATGTTCAATAAGTTTAACCCTCTGAGTGAAGAAAGGCAGAACAATATTCTTATTCTGTGTTTATGCAATGCTCTGCACAGTTAAAAGAGCATGTACAACCTGTTATTCCTCTTACTTACTGCATGCAGGTAGGACTGATCATGTATTTTGTACGGACTCCGTGTGAGTGGGGCATGGATGCCATTTCTGCCACACTTACCTTCCTTTGGGAAGTGGTGGGTTATGTTGAAGGACTCTTCTTCAAGGACCTCAAACAGACTATGAAGAAGGAACAATGTGAAGTGAAGCTGCTAGTGACTGCCTCAATGCCAGGTATAGGAAATGAGTCTTTGAATCTCCTTCACTTCCAAGTTCATGACCCACTCTACCAAAAAGGAGATCCATCAGAGCTGGATCAGTAAAAGGCCCGTTACAAATGGCTGCATATTAGAAGTCATTTTCCTTGAGTTGAGTGTTCAGTCAGTAAATTCTACTGCTAATTCCTAGTGATTCAGAAAGCCACTTTAAAAGCTCTAAAAGAAGCAAACAGAAAGTGAATTAGAACAGTCTTTTCCACCCAGAGCTTCTTGCCAGTTGGGCTGTGAAAGGCTGTCAGGACGATCACTGTAAGACTGTAGCATTCAGACTCTGGCCATCACAAGTCAGGCAAGAGATACCTTGCTGAAAAACAGATTTGACCTTTTAGGTTTGTTCCTCCCTCAGAGTGACAGTGGCTGCTAAAGCCATCTCATCCTTTAAGAACAGATCAATTCCTCATTAACTGTGGAAATGTGAAACTATGCTAACACTGCCTAGTAGATTCCAGACAGGACTGGCATGGGCTGCCTGCCTGCCCAGGAATGAATTTTACCTATCACTTTTTCTCCGTGGGCAGTCTCCTGAAATTGAGTTAATTAAAGAGGCCAGGGAAGACTCAACTCCTTTTCTTCCTTTAGGCACAAAAACCCTTGTTGTGCACGGACAGAATGAGTGTGACATTCCAACGCAGTTACCAGTCCACGAGGACACACAGTTTGAGGCTCTTCTGAAGGTAGGAGTGAGTTTTTGAACTGGACAAGCTGCTTAGTAGTACATTTACCTGCCATACCTGTATGCCAGCAATCCATTTTGTCTGATTGTCCTGTTCCAGTGTTGGGGAGGGAAGTTCTGCTCACAGGCATTTCTGTCTGCCTGTAGGGGAGCTTGGTTGTGAGAAAAAGGATCCCATATGAAGGGATAATAGAAATGCTCTGAGCTCACAGCCAAAACCCCATAAATACAACTACATTTGAAGATACTGCAGCTTGTTGGGTATTTGCAGTATACTTTCAATAAATACATAAATTATTTAAATGTTTGGTTTTATCAACACTAAAGACAACAGGATGATGAAGATCAGAGCGGATATGATGGTTCAGTAGCCACGTTGATATCCTGGGATCCAGGAAATGTGAGGTCACTTTCCCTTTCTACCAAAAACTTCCTGGATGGCCTTAACTGAGCCACATCAGAAATAGATTTGTAAAAGCCTTCAGTTTGTTCCACTGTATTAAATTTTAATGGGAATCACATCTCAGTGATTTGAAGGATCAGAACTTCAGTGTCCTTGCATATCACCTATGACTAAAGCTTGATAAATACACATAGGGAAATGGAAGCTGCAATACCCATCTGGCTCATAGAATCTTCATATGGGTGATATAAAGACATTAAAATAATAAACATCAGTTTTCAGGACTGTGATACCAGCATGCCTTGATTATCACAAACATATTTGGGTACTTTATGATTAAAAACCAGAAATTAAAGACCAGAACAGTGTACGAGCCTGACTGAGGCATGCAGGTTTGTGCCTTTATATGTTATTATATTAGATGGATATTCTTCTTTTGGATGTTGTGGTCTTTGTACAAGACAACTAAAAAGTAACAGGATGTTTTGATTTCTTCTTTTTTCAGGAGTGCTTGGAGTTTTTTAACATACCTGAAACTCAGTCTTCTCATTATTTTTTAATGGATAAGCGTTGGAATCTCATTCATTACAACAAGGTAAGGCAAAGATCAGGTTCAGGCGACTGTTCTTTCCATCTTGTCCCTTTTTCAACATCAGGGTTATCTAAAAGAAAACAAGCAGCCCATAAATAGACAGAGTTCTGTCCTGTGAGCACCACATCTTGAGTGTTTAGTTGTGTGTGAGGTGAAAAATTGGAATTTGACAGAAGAGGGAAGAGGCAGAGGAGGAGTCCCTTGCTCTTAAGTCATTAATGTCTAGTTTTCATAGAAAAGAGCAAATTTCTCTTCTGTTTATGCTCTTTCATGATGCCTGACACTGTCTGAAAGCCCCTACCCTTGAGAAAGGGCTAAAGGCTTTTTATTCTGTTCTGTTCTGTTGATTGATGCTGTTATGACTACATTTGTTTAAAATACACTTTTTTCCTTTCCTGGCAGACCTACGTCCGTGACATTTATCCTTTCCGTAGGTCCGTTTCTCCCCAGCTCAACCTGGTGCAGATGCATCCAGAAAAGGGTCAAGAGCTCATTCAGAAGCAGGTATCTTACTGTACCATCAAACACCTTTGCCCAGAAACAAACCTCTGGTTCTCCTGCCTGGGGTACCATTTCTGGTTTCATTTCCATCTGAGGGGCCATTTCCGACGGTTGAGGGTGGACAGGGAGGGGGAAACTCCAGCACCAGGGGTTTCTTCAGGTCCTGAGCCTGGAGGGGAGAGGTGCTCCCCTCTCTCTCCCACCAGGCAGTCCCATGGCAGCCACAGAGACAGCACACAGGACGTGGAGAGGAGGCAAGAGCGAGTTTATTGTTGGGTTGGTTACATATATAGGTTTAGGAGGATTCACAGAGTAACCAATTACAAGTCTCAAGGGGCTTACAGGAACACCAGTCGCAGGAAGGGGTTGACAACCAATAGGAAGGGGTTAAAAAAGGCCAATGAGAACACCTTAGGACATCTTCCCAGGACACTCCTGCATGGGAGGTAAGAGTCCTTCACAGAGGGTGTCGGGAAGAAGGAGCAGTGACTTTGCAGAAATACAAAAAACCATTTTGAAACATGTTTAAACCGCAGTTTCTCATATAATGCAGATTTACTGCCACACAAACCCTATAAATAAATCTTTCTTTTCCCTTTTAAGGCCTTCACTCGTGCTGCATGTAGATCAAGAACTTTGTTCTAGCTGTATCTGCAGAGGATGGTAATAAGCAGGAAATAAAAAAGGGGATGGGCGAATATGGTTATACAGTATGCATTTGGGTTTAACAGTTGTATTATTCTAGTGAAAAAACAGTTACTGTAGTTATGTCCCTAGCAATGTGAGCGTAGGAAAATATCATCAGGAGTGGTTATAAAAAGCAGCTATAAAGCTGCTTAAGAGCTACTACCAGCTAAAATAATGGAAAACATAGTTAATGCTGTCTCATATGTGTATGGCACGGAATAGGGAAATATTTCATGTGCTGCATCTGCCAGTAGAAAGTCTATAAAAATCTGAAATTACTGGGGATCATTTTGATTGCATCTCTAACAGAAATTACTCTTACTCTGGCTCTAGGAGATGTGTCCCAGAAATGAGTAAGTTTGAGACATCCTACATGATCCAAAAAGATTTAAATGGCCTGTCCAGTTTTGTCAGGGTATTATTTTGCTTTCCACATTTTTCTATTTAGAGTACTTAGAGGTCAAAATATTTGTAAGGTAAAACTTACATCAGCCATCTACCAGCCTCTCTGTAACCATGCGAGATGTTGCTGGAAAACATCCAGCTTTAGCAAAGAAAGCAGCTCTGTAGGCACTGCCCACAGAGCAGCAATCCATGGAAAAGTACTTTATTGTTGATTGATTGAGCACCCAATTCTGAGCTGAGTGCACTTCAGAGCAAGGTCACAGCAAGGTAGGATATGTGAAGCTGGGCTTTGTCACATGTTAAGCCACATGCTTCCATGTTTTAGCTTCTTCCCAGTAGCTAAGAGCTGCCTCAAAACTGCTTCCAAAGACAGTTGCTTCTAGTATGAAGCATCACGCTGCCTCATGGTTACTTTTGGTATCAAAATAGGTTGGTCCTACCAGTCACAAGTTCAAAGGAGGCTGGTAGAATGGAACTCAGTTTCCCAGCTGGTTAAACCAGAAGTGATTGTCTCAAATCAAGGAGGACTTTGCTCCTTTGCAGTAACAGATTCTGGTCTGCTTTGTTTTATTGACTGCTTTGCTTTTGCAACTATACATACACTTTCTACAGTCAGATGTGAGCCATCCTCATCCCAGAAGACAGATAACAATTCCTACTTCATGTTGACTATAGTTTAAGACCTTGCAGAAAGCAACTGCCAACCATATGATTTTCAGTTTGGAGTTGGTTTTCCTCTGGCCACATTGGGACTCACACTGGCAAAGCTTACATTAATCTACAGAACGTCACATGGCACAATGGCAAAGTGTTTGACAGCCACTTAGGGTCCTCCAGAAGGCTGAGATAGAAAATGTTGTTAGAAACTTTCTTACAAACACGATCCATCTTTGCAGAGCTGGGCTGGAGAACAGCGGTCACGTAAATTCTATCCCAAGGGTGCAGCACTAGCCCTGTGAATTTCAGCAGGATCCTCTGGGCCACGAGTGCAGCGTCCCTCCCATAAGAGGAAGCAAACCTAGGGTACATATACATTGTAAAGAGCTTTTTGGTCAGACTGATTCGGATCCTTGTCTCTTCTTCTCTGTCAGGTGTTCACCCGCAAGCTGGAAGAGGTGGGGCGAGTCTTGTTCCTGATATCCCTGACGCAGAAAATACCTACTGCCCACAAGCAGTCCCACGTGTCCATGCTCCAGGAGGACCTCCTCCGCCTGCCTTCATTTCCCCGAAGTGCCATTGATGCCGAGTTCTCTCTGTTCAGTGATCCCCAAGGTATGGCCTTGGGGAGCTTTCTCCGGGGCTGTACAAGGCCGAGAAGGTTCCGGTGAGGTACTTCATTTGCCCACAGGCTTTGCAGCATTGCAGAAGAACTGAAAGCTGATAAATCTCTTCCTAGGGATGATGATACAGAGCTGTTGGTTTGTAAGACACTGTTAAAGGTCTCCAGACAAAGCTACTTTCTTTAGAGACAAATGAGAATAATTTAATTAAGTGTTAAAATTATGCATGATGCTACAGCTGCACTACTATGTCCAGTATCATAACTGCTCCTAAAAAGGATTTCTTGGAACCCTTTACCATCTACTTTGAGGAAACAATGGGCTTCCAATGAAGACTGGACAAATTCTGCAGCAGGGATGTAGAAACTGCTCACTTTTTAGGAACTTTACTCTTAAGGACTTCAGGATTAAACAGGCCTCTGTTGCAGGATGTTAAGCATTGGCAAGTTCTGTAACAGGCCCTAAAGGCACTTGATTTCAGAAGCATTATTGTAACTCTGCATAGATGTCCTGTCATGTGTGGGACACCTAGAGGATAAAAATTGAGCATAAATCCACGCAGCTGTTCAGATTGTGTGAGGCAGATGATGCACGTGCAAGCTCACATCTTCCACTTTTTAAGAGGAGAATTTCCAACCAGCAGGGAGCAGATTTAACAGTGTGAGATTCATTATTCTCTGTCTTCATGTTGGTGCTTTCAGTCAAGGTTTGTTCAAGCCCTGTGGGCACTTAAAAGGGTACAGGATGGGTGAGATCATTTTAAAAAGGCAGAAGAATGGTCAGTGTTGTGGGATGGTTCTTTGCAGAGGCCTTTGGCCTCTGGGAATGTGGCAAGGCTGGCTGTGGTGGACAGAGTTGACTGCTGTTGCCTCTTTTCCCCTGCAGCTGGGAAAGAGCTCTTTGGTCTGGACACTCTTCAGAAAAGCTTGTGGATTAAGCTGCTGGAGGAGATGTTCCTTGGCATGCCCAGTGAGTTCCCCTGGGGGGATGAGATCATGCTGTTCCTGAACGTCTTCAATGGTGCCCTGATCCTGCACCCCGAGGACAGTGCCTTGCTGAGGCAGTACGCGGCCACCGTCATCAACACAGCCGTGCACTTCAACCACCTCTTCTCCCTCAGCGGGTACCAGTGGGTGCTGCCCAGCATGCTGCAGGTGAGCCACTCCCAGGAATGCTGCTGGCCAAGCCCTGTGTTACACTGACAGAGAGTAGGGTTAGGCTTGAAATTAGGAAGCTTCCCTGCGAGGGTGGTGAGGCACTGGAACAGGTGGCCCAGGGAAGCTGTGGATGACCCATCCCTGGAAGAACTCAAGGCCAGGTTGGACAGGACTTGGAACAACCTGGGCTAGTGAAGGGTGTCCCTGCCCATGGCAGTGGGGTGGAACTATGTGATCTTTAAGGTCACTTCCAACCCAAACCATCCTGTGATTCTACGATGGAACTGACACTTAACAGGGGAAATTTTAATCTGCTGAGTCCTGGTGAGAGCACAAATTTTGCAGGCCTCGGGAAGGCAGCAAATCAGGGTGGGATGGCCCAAATTAGCTTTCCCTTTTCTTCTTGAGTAAATGACTACATTTTATTTACTTGTTTGTGTTAAGTAAATGAATGTCCATTTCCCTTACTCTGTACTGCCACACAGAAATGTGAAATTTCTGGACAATTTTTGGGCCTTGGGTCTCCCTCGGTGGTTTCTCCTCCAGGGATGGCTGAAACTTGGGAATCATTGAAATATCTGAGTTTGCTGCTTGCTGATTGAAACAAAATTATAATCACTTTTTAATTATGAAAAACTGTGTGTTGTCTTTTCCTGTGAGTGATGACAAGTACTGGAAGTGTTAGAGGTGGAGCTTCTCTTTGCTTTGAGGTGTACGAGTAGACCTTTTTTCCTGTTTACTTTTCAGAAAAATTAGCTACTGAAAATGAAATTTAAAAAAGTGGTTCTTTTACAGAAAGAAAGGATTATTTCTGTAGGGCTCAAAGACAGTATCTAGAGATTAAGTATTATAATGCAAATACAGAAAAAACTAGCAGAAAAAAAGAAGCATCCCTGTATGTATTCATTTTAACATAGTTAATGGAACACAGTAATTAGGACCAGTGATTACTTTAGCTACCTAAACAAACTCTTTAGTAACTGGAAACTGTAATATCGTGCCTTACATGGTTAGATAAGTATAAATTGGATCCAAGTTGGCAGTGCATGGGTTTATTCATTAGAAACAAGACATTTTGAAATAAAATAGCTTAATGACATAATTTGAAGTACTTGGCAGTCATCATTCAGTCCTATGAAGGAGTCTCACTTCATTTTCACTTCATATGCAGAGAAATTAGCTTGTAATTCTTTTCTACCCTCCCTCTCCCAAATTATTGTCAACTACTGAATTAATAAAATACCCCTCTTGAGATGTAACAAAGCAATTCCAAAAGAAAACCCAATTGTTGCTGAGCTTGTTTGGTTTTGCAGTTCTTCACTTCTCTGCTTCAGGCACTCAAGATTAGGTGGTTTGTGGTCAGTTCTTCTACCACTTCTGGGTTTGATCCAGTCTTTAATTGAACCAACCATTAACAGCTTAGCTCTTGGTGCATACATACATAGACCCCCCACAGGGCTCTTTTTGTTGCAGGTTTTTCCACCTTCTTTAGTAAAATGTATATACAGATAATTATTTCCCTTTTCTAAGATAAATGAGATATTTTTGGTGTCCTCATAACCATTCTAGAGGCTTCTGGTTGTATTAAAGCCACGTTAAACTCAGCCTACCAGGTTACTGAGGAGTGAATACATCTCTGCAGAGGTCTCACACTAATAATTTTTTAGAAATCTTCAAGAGCCCTGGGCTGTAATGTGAATTTTGCACTACCAAAAAATCTTAGTATTTCTTGTTGTCAGCAAATACCAAGAAAATCCTTCCTACCCACACCCCAAACAAGACTTGTACCAGCAGAGCAGTGCAGACAGGTGATTGGAATGGACAGAAAAAGGAAGCACAGAGAAGTTGTTCCTAGCAATTTATATTGTTTACATAATAGAGAAACAAATCCCACATCTTTGATAACATATTGGTTTCATAGTTCAGTGGCCAGCCCTGAAGGAAATGCCACTCTAAAAACCTTAAAAGATCTTAATAGTGGGTGGCACTGTCAGTGTGTTGGAGGACAGGCTAGGAGTCCAAATTATCATGAGAAACTGGAGATGCAATTGGAAAAAAAGGAAAAGAAAACAGATCATGTTGGTCAGCTTACACCTTACTTTCAAATCATCAGCCACATAAATGTGGAAGGGAAAGTAGCTGATTCAGTAGCACCTCTGCAGGACAGTGTGTTGGAGTTTTTATAGATCTGAAGCTAAACATGAACCAACAGTATCCTTCTACTGAAGGATAAAAGAGAAAAATACCTCAAATGCCATTCTGAGGTGCCTACACAGATTTGTATCTTGTGAAAGGAAAAATTCTGCTGCTCCAATCAGCAGCACTCCTGACTGGAAGTATTGTCTCTGTCCAGTGGGCACTGCATGAAAAACATCAGTTAACTGAAGAGACTGCAGAAGAACAGCGATGTTCATCTAGAAAACATGTGTTGTCAGGAAGGACTGGAAGATCTGATTAACTAAAAAATATGAAGATTGAGGAAGAAAGCACTAACTGGCTTCTGAGAAGTAAAGTGCTTCTAGGAAAGAGAGGGAAGGAATCTACCTGTGATACATAGGACAAAAAATAATGGACTAAAGGTGTGGCAAAGAAGGTTCAAGTGTGAAAAGCAAACCTTTTTTCTAAGGGTAGTTTGTCCCTGAAATGCATTGCCAGGGAGGGTGGCCCAACCTCCCTCTGTAAAAGCCTGTTAGGCAAACATGTCAGGAATGACCAGGCTGTAGTTGGTTCAGTCTGGGCTCAGGAGATGAAGAGTTCTTCCCCTGCAGTAGTGCCTCCATGTCCTCCTCCATCTACTCAGGTGTACTCTGACTATGAAAGCAACCCCCAGCTGCGCCAAGCGATCGAGTTCGCGTGTCGCCAGTTCTACGTCCTGCACCGCAAGCCCTTTATCCTGCAGCTGTTTGCCAGCGTGGCCCCTCTCCTGGAGTTCCCTGTGAGTAAGAGTGATTCTCTAGTCTCAGAGTGGGGAAGCCTGTGCATGCAGCCAGCCCCTGTCAGAGGTCACAAACGGAAAACACCGAGTGCTGAACAGAACTGGTTCTTAAGCTGATTTCTGCACACTTCTGTGCAGCAGCTGATGGAGCAGGGTGCTGAGATAATGGGCCACTGATATCCAGGCTAGTAAATGCGGTCTCATTTCAAATTTCTGTGTATAAATACATTATAAAAGGACAATAATGATTTGTAGCTCTTCAAATGCAAATCCATTCCTAGCATCCAGCAACAGGAATTAAAAGCTTAATGCCAAGTTTTAGTACATGTGAACTCGAAGACTGGACCAGCCCTGTGTTGAAATATTCCCTTATTACTTTTTAACATTTTAGTGAGTTAAGGCAAGGTAATGGCATCTTAATTTGAAGTGGGGCTGCCAAATCTATCTGTACATACACAGCAAGCACACATATCTGTCCTTCACAGGGCAGCAAGGATCTGTGTGCAGTTTTCAGATCATGCTCCCACTGTAGCATCAGTCTGTTGAGTCAGGCAAGCCTTATTTTTTGGCAGTAGTGAGCTCTTGAACTCCATGTGGGCCCTTTGTCAAAAACAAAGGTTGCCCACACCTCCAGATGAAGATTCCTGGGATGCACACAGGCCCTCAGAAAACCAGCCATGAATGTTTGTTGTTGGAACAGGATGCCACAAACAACGGAACCAGCAAAGGAGTGTCAGCTCAGTGCCTGTTTGACCTTCTGCAGTCCTTGGAGGGAGATACTCCTGATATTTTGGACATCTTAGAGCTGGTGAAAGCAGAAAAGCCTCTCAAGTCATTAGGTAACAGCAGAGCACCCTTTCTTCAATTCTGGTTTGTTGTTTATTGATTCAGTATATATTTGATGCAGTCTGATTTATTCAGGGCCCTTCTCTTCTCCCAGAATGCTGTCATATTTGTTTCTTATGCCTCATGAGGCTTTTAAGGTTGGCTTTATCACCACCATCCTTTTGATATTTTCTGCAGGAGGAGAATTATTAACTTACTTCCTTCCAAAGCTACTTTTTCTGCATTAAGCCTGCTGGTCTTAGACTAGCCCCTGGCATTTTGAATTTTATCATGTGTGGGTGAAAAATAAAGCTGCCTAATAAACTGTATCATGCTGACAAGATCATCCTCTGCTCTGCTCCATGGGGACAGGAAACAAAAGCATCCTCTCCCATGGGCAGACTATGACTAGGAGATGATGATGGATGTCATTAGATATCCAGCAGTGCTGAGCTCCTGGGGGGATGTTATCACAAAGCAGAATATGTATGGCTGTATGATGTATCCAGGACAAGTTATCCATGCACAGTATTTAATAATTTGGCTACTTTGTGATTTGCAGAGAAGTAATTTTTGTTGATTTTTATTAGGATCTTCAGCTTACTTTCCACATTTGCACTTCCCTTAAGTAATATTTATCTTGTTGCACTGTGAAGCCTGACTAGCTTTAGAGTTAAAGCTTTGTTACATACTGGGATTTTATCACAAGTTATAATATAAAATAGAACAGAAACAGGAGATACTTCTTCCTCTTTGTTGAATGTAGCAAACGTTTATATAAAATCTTTGGGGTTTCTGTGGAGGGCTATTCAAAGACATCTCTGAAAATTCTCAAGTGTGTGTGTTGATGATGAGGCTGTAGATGAGTATGTTGTGTATCTGGTATCTTCCATATGAAGATCAGAATTTTCTAAAATATCTGACATCCAAATTCCGTTGTTCAAAGTGGTTTGTTTGCATGTTTTGGGACCTTAACTTTTACTTGGGCTCCTGCATACCAAAGTCACTTCTGAAAATGGGACTATAGTTGTATTACAGATATTAATCTTTGGATACTTTAGTATCTTGGTGCCTGGAACTAATTATCCCCAAAGTTATATTTGTAGTATGGGACTTAAATGCTTTTGAAGACTTTCTGTGAAATCACTAGCACAACAAACTCACTTTTGTGCTGGCACCCATGTGGCTAACAGTATAGAAGGTGTTTGATTTTTGGGAAGTAAAACTATCTTCTGCCATCAGTGGTGTATCACCATCATTTTTTGTCTGGTGAAAACATGTAAGAAAAAGCAGGAGGAGCATAAAAATTATCATTAATTTGACATGTGCCTTTGTCATGTATGAGCTTAAGACTTTGCTCGTGATGGATGGTGTTTTTGAAACAGGACTCCAGCAGCTGTAGACCTTGTGTTCAGCCATGAGTGACCTACTGAGAGCTGTTTCTCACCTACAGAGTCCTTGGACAGCAGGGTGCAAGTGGGAGTGCAGCATATGTTTCCTTTATATAGACAGATTTTTATCAAAAGCCAGTGCCTGTTGGGCAGTTTTAACATAAGAAGGAAGCAAGTGGAGAGAAGAAAAAGGAAAGAGCGTGCTAGCTCCTTTCATATTCAGTATGATTGTGTGATAGTGTTCTCATATTGCTTTACTCCCTCAGACTTCTGCTATGGAAGTGAAGACCTGACCTTTTCCATCAGCGAAGCCATCAAGCTGTGTGTGACAGTGGTGGCCTATGCTCCTGAGTCATTCAGAAGGTGCTAATCTGTTATACTGGTTTGTGCAGACTCAGAAAAGGCATAAAAGCTGCACAGGGTATGTGAAAGCAAGGCTGGAAAATGGAGGCAGAGGGTACAGAAATGCATTCCAAACACGGGGCTTCCCTGTGAGGCCAAGCCCTGGCTAGAACACCAGCTCCAAATCCTGCCAGCCGCCGGCTGCAGCGCTAGGCAGGATGGCAGCTGGAGCAGCAACACATAAACTGTATTTCCCAGGGGAGACACACCATTTCCTGCAGGTTTCTGTCATCAGAGAAGCTGAGGGGGAACTGGAGGGGGAGAAGCAGGCAGCTGGAAAGAACGGAAAGATAAGAGAGTGGGGAGGTAAACTTGCTAAAGTACAAAGATTAGTGTGCAAGAGGGAAACGAGAATAAAAGGGTCTGAGAAAGGGAAGGTGGTTGTTAGCAAATGGATGACATATCTGGAAGATACCCCAGAAGTTCAGGCTGTTTCCATTACTATTATTGTTTCTTGCATCAGCTAATTTACCCCCTGAAATCCCTCATCCAATAGTTTCTTTGGCTCTGGGCTTCTAGTGAGAAGCAATGAAATCACAAGCCCAGTGAGAGATCCAGGGGTCTTCAGATAGGAAGTTAAGCCTCTACCTAAAGTGAGTTTCAGGACTGACAAAGTAAAACAGATGGTTATTTTTCCAGCCTCCAGATGCTGATGGTCTTGGAAGCGCTTGTTCCCTGTTACCTACAGAAACTGAAGCGACAAACCTCTGAAGTGGAGACTGGGACAGCAGCTCGTGAGGAGATTGCTTCTATGGGTGCCCTTGCCACCTCTTTGCAGGCCCTCCTGTACAGTGTAGAAGTTCTCACCAGGTAACCCACGTGGGTCAAAAGTCTGAGCTGCATTTGGGTTTCCGTGTGGGAGAGGGAATGCACAGGAGGCCACAATGTGCATCTCAGCTTGAATAACGGTTGAGTTTGAGACATGGTAAAGTTAGTGCCAGATTTCACCAGACCACAAGGAGGATTTCATTGTGCTTGTTAGATTTAGTGTGTATTGTGCTGTTCACCTCTTTGCTAGGCCTATGACAGCTCCACAGATGAGTCGATGTGACCAGGGCCATAAAGGGACCACAACAGCAAACCACACCATGACAGCAGGTGTGAACACCAGGTAAGTCAGGGACCTTTTCTTTCATTTTTCTTAACAGGTTTTTAATTTTTTTTGAGTAAGGCAGCATTGCTTAGAGTGCTTGGCCTCAGAGAGCTGAGGAAGTGCTCTACATATTGTGAGAGAACAGTCACATAAAAAGAGCACATAGCCCAAGACTGCATTTCTGATGGCAACCAAAATACTCAAAACTAGAATTTCTGTTTAAAAATCACGTATCTAAGTAGAAGACCAGGATATCAAAATGGATAACATCTATCTTAAATTACTTCCTATTTGTTTCTCTTCTTGTATTCTAGAAGTATACTGCCAAAGCAACTATGTCCCTCTTCCCTGTGCTTTGCTTCCTGCTGAGTCCACTGTCAAAGTGACCACTGGGCAGAGCACACTTGGACAGCAGAAGGGTCAGATCCTTCTGGCCCTGTTTTGAAGGATTGAACAGCAGTACAAGCATAAACTGCATGTCAGTTGATACTCGCAGACTGGCGCCTCCTCTAGGTTTCTTTTCTTCCCTTTTCCATTTCCTTTTACATTTCCTATGCTCTCCTTGTATGGACTTTACCTCCACACTGGTCTATGGTTTTTTTGCAGTTGCAGATAGCAAAGGAGGAGGTGATGGAGAATTTGAGAGAAGTGGAAGAATGACTGGGAATATTTTTGTCCTTCTTAAAAAAAACCAACAAAACACTAAAGAACCTTCACATGGAAGAAGGACATGGCACCAGCAAACTATAATAGTGCTCCTTGGCCATAGTGGCCATTCCAGTTAGGCTGCTGCAAATCAGACAAGGCTTCTGACAATTTAGTCATAGAGAAAGGACTTAAGGAATTTTGTTATAAAATCCACCCACAAGCATTTGGGATTATGAAGGTTTTTTGTTGCAGTACTGATTACTTTTCTAGGCAGCTCTGCCTTCTCCTGGCCAGACTGTGCCTTACTGTTGTCCCCTAGAGCTTTCCAAGTTATTACCTGTCTTTTTTTTTTTTTTGGTATTCAAGGGAGATAGTGTACACATCTTGGTTCATAACTCCTGGAATCAGCCTATTACTCTTTAAGATCAATTCAGGCATGGATGAAACACAGCTTTGACTTTCAACCCCTGATCTGAGAAGCAGATAAACTCCTCCATGCTCGAGTCTGAAGTGGATATATGCCATTTACTTCCATTGCAAGATTGCCCAGTCTAAGGAAGAGAAGGTGTAATGGAAAGTACTGCTTTATTATCTGTCTGCTCATTTTGGAGAGCAGTTAATATGTATCTGCTGACAGGCAGTGCAGAGATTCCCAATGCTCTGTGACTCAGGCATCTTGATTTACATTTCCAGATCTTTCTGATTATCAAATGTTCAATCTCTGATCCAAAATATTTTTGCACTGCTCCAGATTTCCTGCCCATATTTCTTCTACTGTATTATCATTGCAACAGACATCTGCTGGCAACAGCAGGAGTCTCATGCATGATCACTGTTACAGCCTTGGACATGTTAGCCAAATGGTGCAAGGTTTATTAATGCTTTCTCAACAAGAAGCGTCAAGAGAAAATGACAATAAAAAAACACACTGAGGTGTTTTTTCCACTTGGTGAGCTCTGGATTCGTGGAACAGACTGAGCACTGGAGGGAAAATCAGTAAGAGAAATTGAAAGAGGGCTATGGTTTGTAAGCTTAAATTTGTCCTTTCATAACAAGGTGGATAACTGTAGGAATATGTTGTTTGCAGCCAGTTGGGAGGTAAAGGCTGTTCAATGTGGTAATTACGTGTAGCCATGGTTCCAGTGACACAAGATACCATCCTGCCCTGGTGAGTAAACCTCTGGGCTACAACAGTATCACTTTCTTTCAGAAAGGCACAGTTTAGACATTACTAAGGTGCTGTTTAAAACCTCCCTGTTTCTGTTTTCCCAGGTACCCTGAACAAGGAACCAAACTACACTTTATCAGGTATAGTAAAATCTTTGCCCAGTCTTCCATGACATATGATGAACTGTTTATATGCACTGCTGCTGTGGCAGGCAGCCTTTTTTCAGGGGAGGGTAGCAAAGGATAGTTCATACAGAAAAATATTTACATTTTTAGCATGACTTTGCATATTATAATTTTCCTTTTTTGTTTTTTTAATTGCAGGTGCAACTGCTTTTCAATTGCAGCAGAAAGCACCTGTTGCAAAAACACGATGGAGACACTGTTATAATCTATCCCTGCTGATCCACTGCATATAACACTTCCTACTTTGTCTCATTTAATATTCTCCAGGGAGAACCTTCACATATTGGAGGAGGGCCAGGGTCTTCCCCGAGAGGAGCTGGATGAACGAATTGCCAGAGAGGAGTTCAGGAGACCACGGGAGTCATTGCTGAATATCTGCACAGAGTTTTACAAGCACTGTGGTCCAAGGCTGAAGATTTTGCAGAATCTGGCTGGTGAGCCCCGCGTGACTTCTCTGGAGCTGCTGGATGTGAAGTCCCACATGAGGTATTCCACTGGCATGCTGCTTTTCTTGCTTGTTTCAGGGAGATTCCCTTCTTTTAGCTCTTAAGTTTTCATAATAGCAGATGGAATCACTTTTTGGTAGCGTAGTTGCATTTTGCTCTCTGAAACACGCAGAGGTTGTTTTGGATGTTCCTCAGATTGTACCTGATGCTGCCTGTGTATAAGGAAGGTTTCTTAAGCTCTCCTCTGGTCTCATTCAGACCCCCATCTGAAATAGCTCCATGGAAGCCTATCTGATATATGAGAATCAGTGGCAGTGAAGATCAGGGCAGATAAGCCTGTATCGACAGGGGGCAGGAGTTGGGAGAGACTGCCTAACTGGCTGAATAAAAGCTGTATCCTTTCCTGTGGCTCAGTGCATCAGAACCAGCAATTAACAAGCAAGAAAGGCAGAGCAACCACTCCATAAGTGCCTGAAATAGGGAGGAGGATGGGGCAGAAGGCATTTACAGGATAAAGAGGTGCACAAGTCTTTTATTAAGGTGCAGCACTGAGCCCAGCTTGCTGGCTGGACGCTCACTGCAAAGTTTCACGTGGTGTTGACCTAGAAGAAGTTGGGAGTAGAGCCTCCTAAGCACTTTGGTCCTGATTCTCTGAGTTTGCCGTTCATGGTAAACACAAAATAACATAAGTTGCTGCTGAGAAGTTTGTCCAACAACTGGGACCCAATTCTTTTGTCAGTTTTTCATACTTTTTACACTTGCAACTGGCAAATACTGCATTCTTTTCAAGAAAGGTCTTTCACGGTCAAAGGTTACAGCAGTAAAACCAAGGGGCTGATTTGCAGCAGATAATGAGCTGTGCTCTGATTCTCTTAAATGTCCTGGAGGTGCTAGAAATATCTGTTTGTTGGGGTTGGAACCTGAAGTGCTTAATCACAGACGGTCTTAAATAAAAGCAAACTTCATCATGGTTCTTACATAAATTTGTAAGTATCATTGAAATGACTGACCACATTTAACCACTGGAGGAAAAAACTGAGTTCTACCTAGAGAGCAGACTTACCAGAACGTGATGTGACAGCCATGGTCCTGGGAGGCTGACAGGTGCCATTTCAGAGGCTTCAGAAAGTAAGATAATATGCTAGTCACTTCATACAGGCTGAATCTCACCCAATTTTAGCCATTTAGAAGTTAAATGTTTAGTCTGCAAAAGTCATAAAGATCTATGTGGACCCAATGAAAAAGGGAGATGCATATCCAGTGAGCTGTTTATGCCAGTATTTTGGGAAGATAAGAATTTCCCAGGTTGCTTCTTTCTGCATGAACAGAACTAGAAGATTAATTGAGACTGACCTCTCAAATTGGATGAAATGGATCTCACACTTTATAACACATAAGGAAGTTTTCATATACCATTATGTATCACTGATTGCCACATGTTAAGTTGCCAGCAAGAAGCTTAATTATATGATAATTTAAATTTCACAGTGTTTAAGAAAACAGACCTACTCCATAGTAGGACAAAGTAGTTGTAAAAAGGAATAATAAAGAAAAAGTGGATAAAGAAAAACTTTTATAGGACTTTTGGTTAATCTGAAGAATTTGTTGCCCTTGATATTGCTAGGCAGTTTATAAAGAGAATAGAGATATGTTCCATTAGTTGAAGGCATTTCAGAAAACTCCCCCACAATATGGATAAGGCTGTATTGTAATCATACACTACAAAGTCCGTTTCAGGGAGTATACAGATTTCTATCCCTTTTATTAGTAGATGCAGCTTTATTTATAGTCTTTGTTTGCCACAAACGTTCATTTCAGAAGATCTTTGTCAAACTGCAAGTGTGAGTTAAATGCTGCCACGATATTTCGTAGTCAACACAGAAAATGCCATCGGCAAGGCCATCTGGGAGGGTTAGAAGAAGCAACAGCAACACAATCTGTAGAGGCATCAGGAGAAACAAATCAAAGCTGCAGGGAGTAATCCTACAAAGGACGTGTTGTGTAAACCCACGGACACATTATTTTTAAAATTTTAACACCTGAAAATTGTACAGTGAGACTTTTTACAGTAGTAACACTGAAAAACAAGCACAAAACCAAACCAAATCCGTTTTAATAATATTGATATTAATGAATATTGACAAATAGGTTTTATCGGGTCTGTATTTCACAGACATTTGCAATGTTGTAGTCTGATTGACAGCTCAAATACTTTGTTTTTAGCTACACAAATCTGTGATTCCTCATGTCCCTTCGGCGCATTTAATGTCAATGTAAAAGTAATTTTTAGACCGCTCGTGTTCTTAAACAGTGATTCCAGCAAGACAATCTTAACAGATTGTTTAGAGACCATGTCTAAGAGTTTAAATAGCAGCACATTTTTACTAGGCTGCCAAAGATTGACCATTTAGTTCGTTTGCACGCGTGGAGAAACGCAAGTTGTGTTTGACTTCCCTCTTCGCGATCCCCGGTTGCAGGCTGGCGGAAATCGCACACTCCCTGCTGAAACTGGCACCTTACGACACGCAGACCATGGAGAGCCGCGGGCTCCGGCGCTACATCATGGAGATGCTGCCCATCACCGACTGGACGGCCGAGGCGGTGAGACCTGCCCTTATCCTCATCTTAAAGAGATTGGATCGTATGTTCAATAAAATTCACAAGATGCCTACTCTGAGGTGAGCTGGTACGCTGGAAACCCACGGGGGTCCGTTTCTGATGTTGCGAGCCTTGAAGTGTGGATGTGTCATCCTGGCTAAAGCTGTCGCGTTGCAGCGAATCTTTACAACGTGTCAGAAAATTAACAGGTGTTTTTATCTCTGTTATGTGTTTATGTGGACACTTTTGTTGTGTCTTCTGGTAACAAAAGAAACACACGGTTACTGAGAACTACAGAGAGAACTTCCAGAAATGTAATTTTTCTTTCCCCGAAATAAGTCTTCAGATTTTTACCATCTCACTGCCCTCTTTATTTACCTTAGCTGTGAGTTGAGGAGATTAATTTTATTTTGTACTGGAAAGTTAAACTGTAGCAAGAGTATTTGTAGCATGGCTGTACTGTTACGTTCACTGTAAAGATGAAAATAGTCTGGAGCTATGCGATAGCTTCTGGATGCTCCCGAGTAAAGGGCACAGATCTGCATCAAGTCAGGGGCTAGTGGAAGCCTGGTGCATCACGCAGTGGCATTATGGCACAGGCTTTGGCCATTTCAAGAAGTACTGACTATGGAGTGTTCCTACCTTGGAGGCAGTGGTACAAATCCAGCCTGTGTAGTATAAAATCTCTCAGCCCTGTAAATTTTGCAGTGATCTGAGTAAAAAGAGTCATTGGTCTTAGTGACCCCCATCGGCATATGTCCTAAACTGCTTGAATCAGTCCCTTTGCTGTCAGTCTCAGCTGAGAAGCCAAATCATGTCAGAGAACATCAGAATTAGGTCCCAGTGTAAATTATCTGTACCCAGCAAAGATGGAGCAAATAAAAGGGAGGTGATCTCTTCTTTCTGGCATCACTATCTATCGCTTTCCTTTGGCTAACAACCTGCTTCAAGAAATTCCTGCCCTTGTAGGGAACTCAGAGGCAGAAATTTTGATACTTGTCCTTCCTGGTGGTTTGATTCTTTGTCATGTCTTGTCTGCTTCTCGCTCATTCTTTCTTTTCTCGCTCATACTTTCTTCTCCCTGAAAGGCAGATAAAGGGTATTCTGTTCCTGAAGATCTTTCCTCTTTATGTAAACTGAATGGATGTTCATACATTCAAATTCCCTTCATATTCTCTCTGTCTGTGCCTGTACCTATGCTTGGCTGAAATTGCTCTTCTGTACACAAAGGGACTCAAAGCCACTGGATCAAATACAGCATCTACATTTAAGCATCACTGGGCCATCATTGGGTCTCTTAGGGATGGGCCTGGGTGCCAGAGCCCAAGAGCCATCCATTGGGGTACTTACATCACAGTCTTATATGCTGCCTCCTGTGGGCACCCCGCTCCAAACCCAGTGGAAGCAGTGCGTGTGTAAGAAGAATGCAAGAACAAACTACTATTCTGGAGATCTAAGAACTGTGGATGCTCAAAGATGAACATATGTTGGTCTGTATAAGAACACACGTAGTGAACACTTCGTCCCCCACGTCTCTGGGCAGTCTGGGGAGCTCGACTAGGATACTGTTTAGGATTGAGCTGACAGGCTATGCCAGCCTTATCTTTCTGTCCCAAAAAGTGCTTAGTCAGATGCTGGCTTCTGAACTGCACTGACTCCAAAGAGTCAGGCCCTGAGATGAAGGGTATGAACCACTTTGATGTTACCTATGTTGTGCCTGCTTACGACTAGGAAGGCGAATCTTTTCAGCAGCTGGCACAAGCCCTAAATGTTGTTTTGGTGAAAAAAGCAAAGTGTCAGCGAAGAAAGGATCCTGGAATGAAGGACTGCTGCTGATAGAAAATGAATCATCCCTCCTGCACAGGATGAGGGAGATAAAGATTGTACTACTGGGTCAGTTTACATTTGAGGCAGTCTGTGTTTATGAGTCGCTCTGGCAGAGCAGACCAAGCTGCACAGTAGCTTACAGAGGACACTAAGATGATGGGCTTCCAGTGAGAACATCCATAAGCTACATGGAGGACTCACTCTCAGCTGGTAGCATGGCACAGTAGATCTTTTCCCCACATAGGGACACCTGAGACCACTGTCTGGGGCTCCCTTTCATTTTTCATCTTTTCCGAGGGAATCGTCAGGGAGCGAAATGCAGCTTCACCACTGCTGCTGTGAGCAGCAAAGACCCTCTGCTGTGTTTCTTGTCTCCCAAATGCCCGATGTGGTCTGTGGCTCTGTGCTTTCCTGAGCTGCGGGGGTAAAACCCTCCGTCTGTCACGCACTCTGTGCTCCCTGGGACGTCACTGCTGTCTGAAGCGTTTCCTCCGTGGGTGTCACTGTGTGTCGGTCGCGGGCGTCTGGTGGGGGGCAGGAGCCCGTGGCTAACAGAACCTACTGTTGTATTGCAGGCGCCAGGTTGAGTGGGAGCCTGCCAGCAGTTTGATTGAAGGGGTTTGTTTGACACTTCAGAGGCAGCCTATCATATCCTTCCTGCCTCACCTTAGGTCTCTGATCAATGTCTGTGTCAATCTGGTGAGTAGCCAAGTGGCAACCCCATGAACCTTTACTAAACCTCCCCCTGCTGTTGACTTCTCTGGACTGAAGATGATAGTTCATTCCCACTCCTGTCATTTTACCTGTCCCCCTTACCCCTGGCAGGGGGACTTCGCAAGTGACACTAGAGATAGCAAGGTTCATTTTTGAAGTGGTGCATGGGGAGATACAGTGACCGGTAGCAGCGGTCAAGCGATTTATTTCCGTTGCTTCCCACACACCACTTTGAAGATCCACCTTTGCCAGACTGAGCTGAGAGTTGAGGGCTGCAAGTTGGAGAGTGGGGTGGTGGAGACTGCACACACCTGGTAGAGACAGGGAGAAGGTGGCACTGGGGGTACCTACCATCCCCGGTGGGGGAAGGGCCCTGGTGGCTCTGTCAGAGGCCATCGGGGGTTGGCTAGTTAGAAGGGTTTACAAGGTGGATTGACTCCACTGTTTGCAATGTCCCTGGCTTGATCTAGTACAGGTTTGCACTGTACAATGTTCAGATCCCACTCCTAGTAGAGTTTATGCTCCTAGGTGTGTTACAACAGAGACATGCTTGGTCATTCAGAGATAGACTCTAGTGTTTGTGCAGCTGTTACACTGAGGACAAGCCCCCACTTTGATAGCAATGTAACTCCAGCCATTTGGGCAAACATTCGTGCTTTCATTCCATGTGGAAAAAAATACAAATAAAGGGGGAAAGGCTGCACTAGCATTTTTATTGTTATTGGGTTTTATAACATTTTCTCCTTAGAACAAAAATGTTGTAACTACTTCTAGCAGCAACAGAAAAACTTTTCAGGGTTTACCAGTGCTCTGAGGGGCTTTGAAAACAATGATCACCAGCTAAAATGCAATATCAGGTTTTGCCAGGTTCCTGTCCTTCAAGTCCATTCAGTACTCATTGCTGCAAGGGCAGGGAAGCTTCAACCTGTCAGTATATAAGACTTCTTCCCTGTTCATGCAGAGGTTCAAGCTGCCTGGAGCTAAGCCAGCTCTGGGCACTCAGACTACTTAGAGTTGCTCCATGCAGAGGCTGCTACACAGCTCAAACACAAATTTGGAATGGACTTCCACTTTGGCAAGCAGGCATGGCAGGGTGAATCACAGCAGCAGGCTCTCCAAGAGGCATTAAGAATTAGCCAGTGCCCTACAAACAGAAAGCTCTGCAGTGCTAAAGTGCAGTTGTCATGCTTACATTCAGCTGACTGGGAACATCAGGGAGAGCTACCAGGCAAAGATGTACTCCAGCTGTCAGAGCTGTGTGCACTGTGAGAGCACCCTGATTACATGCTGTATCATGTGTAGACCAGCTGCATCAAGAAGCCCAAAAGAGATCATCCAGGAAGGCTGATCTCAATGGTAATCCATAGTGATGCAAAGAAAGGGCTCTGACTTTTTCCCTTCTAAATTGTCTTTTGGTTTTATGATACAAAACTGGTTATTAGCTTTTTGCCCAGGCTAAATTTGGGAAAGAAGCGTGTATTCATCTCCCGTAAGCTTAGTCATCTGCCAGGTAACTTCTCCCTGTTCCCATCATCTACATGTGTCTAGTCATGGAGAGAAACAGGCATATGCAGGCCTGTGATTTAATTCCTCCGGAGGGACACATCCCAAAACAGTATAAATAGAGTTATTTATACTCTAGAAATGCTGTTTTCTAGTGCTGATATTTCAGGTAGTTCTAGACGAGGTCGCATGCAGGCAACTCTGCTTCAGACATCTGGGGTCAGTCAGGTGAGAGAAATCATGCTTACAGCTCCTGAGAAGAGACTGTGTTTGAGAGGAATCTGAACATTGTGCAAAACCCGGCTTGGGTCAGACTTAGGACATTATTTTTCAAGTAGAACAGCAAGGGAAGGGAAAAGATGTCCAGTTTCAATGCAGACTTTTTGCTTTGATGATATATTTTTATTTGTTACAGTTGTCACATGACATATCCTCCAACTCTAGCTGTTCCACCGGTCCAGTGCTGGTCATTCAAGGCTGGTACTGGGTGCATTTATAAATGTACCAGGTTCCCTTTGCATTCCTCCCATCCTTGCTGGTTCCCTCTTCTCCTCTTCCTTTCCCTGCTAGTACTCCTTCCCCTCACTGGCCCCAGCTCCTGCAAGGACCACTGAGGGGGCTGGTTCTCCTAGATCCACCCCAACTCAGTGCTCAATGAAAGGCACCTCCATTTCACTGATGTTGGAGGATATGGCATGGGTGAAACTGTAAGCAGCCAGTTGTGGTGATGTGCTCTGTTTGTATTGCAGGTGATGGGAGTAGTAGGACCCTCCAGTGTGGCTGACGGATTACCCCTTCTTCATCTCAGCCCTTATCTCTCACCACCTCTTCCCTTCAGCACAGCTGTTGTCCGGCTTGTAGCATTGCAGATACAGGTGTGTCTGCCCTGGCCTGTGGCCAGGCCTGTTAGAGCCTCGGGTTGAGACACCAACTCATCGGTGCTCTGTTTTCTTTCTGCGAAAGCTGGGCAAAAACTGTGGAATATACACCAAAAATTAAAGAGAAGCAACATGTAAATTCTCCCTCCTTTTTGAAGGCTTGAGCTGAGCTCAGAATTCCTCTGTTGGGGCCAAGTCCAGAGCAAGCATCCATCAGCTTAACACTGCCATTGAAGTCCAAGGGAGTTTGGCTGATGGATGCTGTTTAAGGCTCTGATAAGCAGGTTAGGATTCTCTGCAGGATCTAAGGAGTTAGGATAAGCCTCCTACCCCAGGGAGATGGGCCCTGGCTTGGGCCATGTCCATGCAACCCTTCCTGTCTTCCTGTGGGACCACGTGTGCAACTGAGAGTGGAGTTTGTGCGCTTCTGCTCTTACCTGAACCGATCACACAGTGTGCCAGCACAAAAAGCAGGGCAACTTGGCTTTTCAGCTGCTGACGCAATGGCATCCTTTTTATCCAGAATAAAAAAGAAAGCATTCTGGACTTTTTGGATCATTTCATCACTGTTCCTTTCTCATAACAGTGCCATAACTATTGCAGAGTCTTTCTGCCTCTGTATCCTTTTCTCCCCCCATTAACTTGAGGTTAGTCAGAGTGGTGTTCGAAGAAGGAACAGATTTCCTAATCTAGCTCCAACTTGCATACTTAAGTATGCATTGGCACATCCAGTTGAATACTTAGGGAGGTATTTCTGAGCATTAGGGCAGCTTGGGAAGGGACTAAAACACAGTGCCAGCTCAGAGCATGAGGCACAAAACCACTTTTTGGTACAAACTGACACAGGTTTCTTCCAACTCTGAGGCAATGGTTCTTTAATCAAAAACAAAAAAAGGGCCCCCTTCACCTTCTCTGAAATATTATTGATTTATTTTTTAAACCAGATACCAAATTAATAGTGTTTTTTAAAGTATTGGGAGCTTTTACTTTTTTTACCCTCTTCTCCCTGTTCACTCATTCGTGAGCTTTAAATGTAATGAAAACCAAACATGTCAAGAAAAACACATGAGTAGTCATAATTCCTGATACTTCCAGCAGGACAGGAAACAGAAGTACTTCACACTCCATCAGAAAACTTCTTCTCCTGGAATTTCTCAGCCCAGGTCTGCAAGCTTGAGGAATTGTATTTCACAGCTAAGTCTGTAGGAACTGGGATGCTGTAAATGAGCAGAAGTGCTGTCACTAGACAGTCATTTGTATTACCTCCTCTAAAGAAGGTGAAAGACCATTCAATTCAGGCTTGACTGTGTGTCAAGAAGTAAATGTGCATTTTGTTTATTTTTCAGGAGTTCATTCTTTGTGTTAGGGAGGATGATGGGGCAGAACAAAGTGAGGCAGAACAAAAAATGTGTTTGGGAATAGCCTCCATGTTCGGATAGCAGGATATTTACCTTATGTCATTTGTGCAGTTTCCTCTGTTCCTTTTTTTATTCCTCATAGTCTGGGTCAGGTCCTGATGCCACTCACAGAAGTGCAGAACTTAGGACTAACACTCAGCTGACTCCTCTGGGATACATCTGATTTTATTAATGATATGTAAGAGTTAGGAATCTGGGCTTCTTACATCTTGCCTGCCACAAGAGCAGGTGACCCCTGTGTTACTCTGTGAGTTCCTTTTACTCCTGACTAAGTAGTCTGAGGGCTTGTTATTCAATCAGGTCATCAATGCTGGTGTTACACTGTGTAAACAGGGTGCCTGGGGATCATCATTCCCTGCAGTGACTTGTGTGCGTGATCTGCTGATGAAATCTTTTAATCCTTTCTTGTTATTACTGCACAGGCTTTGAAAGAAGATTTCCCCCTAAGCCATGTCGTCTCCCCATTCACCAATCAGGAAAGAAGGGAAGGAATGCTTTTAAACCTACTGATTCCATTTGTGCTCACAGTAGGATCTGGAAGCAAAGGTCTGACTAATTTAACAAAAGGAATTTTTCTCCCCCTTTTCTGACAACTGATGTTTGCACTTTCCCTGCCCTCTGTATTTTATTTTTGTTTTTTAATTTGATTTTCTGTCACTGGCAGTGTGTCAGCTAAGTGCCCTTTGGGTCTGAGACTGAAAAAAGCCCCACTGGGAGAAGCTGTTGTTGTTGTTTCTTTCCTTTGTTTCAGCTGTGCCGTGGTTCTTGAGTCAGGTCTTACACAGATATGCTCCTGCTTTTGAAACTGGAGTGCAGGGTGAGATAAATCTGTCGTAGCAGAACCCACAGAGGGGAGCAGAGGTCACAGAAATTGTGTGCCCCTGTGGATCACAGTCTGTCCAATCCATGCCACTTGTCTGGCACAAGTCCTGGTCCTTGTTTTCTGCTATAAAGGGTCTTCACTGGTAAATCTGTAAATGAAAGCAAAGAGTAAAGGGAGAGGGGAATGCCAAAAGGAAATGAGACCACTGAATGGGATATTTCTTTGTGCTGCATAGCTCTGTGTTTGTGTGTGTTCATGTTGGTGCTAAAATAAACTTTGCCTTTGCTTGCAGGAGGAGAAGCAGCATAACAAGGTGTGGGGGACGGAGTTTTGGCATAGGGAACATTTGAGATACACCCTGTTTTGCAACTGAAAAGGGTCAGGATCTTTTGGGTGTCTTTGGTGGGATGTAGCCTGATCTTTCTCTCTCTTTCCCCTCCCAATGCATCTCAGACAGCCCCTGGCTGGAGCAGCCTGAGGTCCTGCTGCTGCTCCAGACTGTTATCAATATCCTCCTGCCACCTCGAATCATCAGCACTTCCAGAAGCAAGAATTTTATGCTGGAGAGCTCCCCTGCCCACTGCTCCACTCCAGGGGATGCAGGGAAGGACCTGCGACGGGAAGGGCTCGCAGAGTCCACCAGCCAGGCTGCCTACCTGGGTGAGTGATGGCTTCTGCTGACCTCTGAGAAGAGACAGAGGTAAAGTGGAGTGCTCAAGATTGTAGAGAGCACCAAAGAAAACCATCTCAGGCAGGAGGTAATTGAACTCTTTAGAACTGCTTTAAGACTTGTCCTGAGCAAGGGACCAGGCCAGAGCATGAAGTCAAGAGCATCTCTGGAACATACTGGAAGGTGAGCAGTGTCAGCACTGCACCTGGAGGAGAGCAGCACAGGTAGAAGTCACTCAGTTTTCATACTGCCAGAGCACAGCAGTGAAGCCACAGAAGGCGAGTCTGACTGCCTGTCAGCCCCTACAGTCACAGCCTCACTGGCCCTTGGCTAGCTAGGGGTAAAGGTGATATCTGAGGAATGGGGTAGCACTGATGAAACACTGGTAGTTCACCACTGGTTTAGACCCCTGCCCCAACAAACTGGGACACAGATGTATGATGGCTGAGAAGGCTTGGCTGTCCTATGAAGAAAGATGGACTAGTCAACCTTCCCCCAACCCCCAAGCCTCCCTGTTTGTTCCAGACCAGTGGAGCATGGAGAGGGAGAGATTTCTTGTCTCTCCTGTGAGCCAAGTGTTGGTCACTCCCCACTTCAGTGAAGAGCATTGTTTTGAAACTCATCGCTGTTCGTCCCCATTTGTTGTACTGTACTCCTGTGAACTACAGCCCTTGGCTTACTGGACCATATTTGTATTTAGCTTACAGTGTGGCCATGACTCTGGTAGCTGCACTGCCGGAAAGGTTCTTTTCATTAATCTATAAATCACCTGCTCACAAGGCGACTCCTTGTGTGGATATGCTCGATAAAGATTTTTGCGGTCTTCTGATCAGCCAGGACTGTATTCCCACCCTGAGCTGCTTTCAAAATATCTGAATTTTGGGAAGACAAGAGAACTCTGCAGGGAGGGAAAGGGGGAGATAGAGCAAGAAGATACAGAGGAACTTAGGTATGAAGTAGGAAAATTTCTCTGGAAATGGAACTCCCAGTCCTGATCCTAAGGCCTTTATTACAAGAAGGGTGGTCGCCTCTTCCTTGCCATGTTTGGAGACTGATAGAAAGGACAGTTGTGACTCCAAGGTGTGTGGGAGTGCATGTGCACGTGCATGCAAGCATGCCTGTGTAGGTTTGTGCCCACCATGGCCCCCCTCATTGCTTCCCCAGTGCTTGTGAGGGACACTGGTAACATCTCTGACTGCCCTTTGCTGGTGTGTGTTCCCCTGTAGCCCTGAAGGTGATCCTTGTTTGCTTTGAACGCCAGCTGGACAGCCAGTGGTACTGGCTGAGCCTGCAAGTCAAAGAGATGGCCCTGCGGAAGGTGGGAGGGCTGGCCCTGTGGGATTTCCTCGACTTTATCGTACGAACACGGATCCCTATCTTTGTGCTCCTTCGGCCCTTCATCCAGTGCAAGGTAACAGTTGCTTTGGCTGCTGACAGATCATGCCTTGAAGGCAAGATATCCCTTATTCCCCAGCTGAGAACAGAGGAACAGCACTCCTGGCAGAACTCTATGTAGGGAATTACCTTTCAGAAGTTAGTAGGCCTGAGAACCCTTTGAAACTAAATCACAGGGCTTTTCCCTAGCCAGCACTAAAGAGTATGCCAGTCATCCAGGATCTCTGATCCATGGAGTACAGCTAGTCTTAGCTCCTCTGGATGGAAAGTAGTATAGGCTGGACCAAGAGTGTTTGCCTGTGCACTTAATTTTAGAACAAAGGCACTCAAAGCACTTCAAGGTAGTGTGGATGTGCTGAGCCTGGGAGGGTGTTGGCAGAAATCTTCCAGAAATCTCTCTTCTGCATAGAGCCAGGCAATACAGCCAACAGCCAGGAAGGACCTGGGTGAAGGTTCTGACAGGACTTTTGTGGATGGACAGACAGCTGCTAGGCTGAGGCAACTGGGGCTCAAGTTAATCACGGTTCTTCCCCGCTTATCAAGTAGACCAGCACATGGTACTCCAACTTATTTAGCCTACCTTGTCTCTTGGACAGAATAAATCATTGTGGAGGAGGGACCTGTCTCATGTCCAAGGGTAGAGCTTAGCATTAGGAAGCCCTCATCCCCATATACCCTGTGCCAGTGAGGTTTTAATGTTAAAACCTCAAACCCATATACCCTGTGCCAGTGAGGTTTTAATGTTAAAACCTCAAACCCATATACCCTGTACCAGTGAGGTCTTAATATCTGTTCAGTCAAATATAAGGTTGCCCCCAAAAGACAGATGGAAACCTCATAGCTGGAGTCAAAAACCTCCTGCCTATAAAGAGGATGGTCTGCTGGCTGCAGGCTGAAGCTGGTCTGGAGACTAGCCCCGGTTCCCTGGGCACCATTTCCTGGCCATGCTAACACGTCCCAATTTTGCAGCTGCTGGCCCAGCCGGCTGAGAACCACGAGGAGCTGACGGCCCGACAGCACATTTCCGACCAGCTGGAGAAACGGTTCATCCCGCGCCCGCTCTGCAAGAGCTCCCTCATCGCCGAGTTCAACAATGAGCTGAAGATCCTGAAGGAGGCCGTGCACAGTGGGTCGGGTAAGGAGGGCAGGGAGAGCTCGGGGCCATCAGCCCAGTCTGGCCAGCTGCTCGCCCCTACTTGTGAGGCAGACCTGTCCACTGCCTAGGAGGGGCATGGGGCAATCCACATACCTCCCGGATAGCCCGCCCCTGGAGCCTGTGCCCTGCCCAGCCTTGCCACTGGACAACCAACAGAAGTCCAGGTTAATTGTGAAATGCACCCATTTTTCCACTAAGTCTGAGTCCTATTCCCCAGCAGCCAGCTCTCACTGTCTGGGGAGTGCCTTGTGCAGCCCCAAACCCAGTGCAGGCTCTGTAGAGCCAAACCTACTTGTGTGGAAATATCTGGCAGGAGCAGATCTACCTCTTACTTTCTCCCCTTGGTTTCTCTATTGTGAGGTCCAGATCAGCATCCCCGAGCTTATGGTGCGCTGAATTCTCTCCTGCATGAGGGCACACTTTTCTCCCTTGACAGTCACTCCTGTTGCCACGAGATGGCAGCTGCTGCTTGCACACTGTAAGGGGATGATGTGTTCTGTTCTTAGGAAAACAAATTCAAAAGGAAATGCTTCAGCCTTTTTTCCTTGGCAGTAATTTGTCTTGTTCCTAAATGTTGAAGCTGATCTGGAAAATACAACAGTAAGGTTGCAAAAACTGCACTGCATAAGAAAACCAGAGATTTTGGAGAGGTGAGGTGAGCCAGGGCAGCTGTGGGTTTTTTATCACCTCTGCCACGCGTTCATTTGGGCAGAATGAGGTGCTCAGCGTGTCAAGAATGCCTGGTTGGTTGTTGATTTCCAGTGCCATCACTGACTTGGGTTTGGTTTCCCTCCTCTTGGCACAGCTTACCAAGGGAAGACATCCGTCAGCACTGTGGGCACCTCCACCTCCGCGTACCGCCTGAGCCTGGCCACCATGTCCCGCTCCAACACCGGCACCGGCACGGTCTGGGAGCAGGACAGCGAGCCTTCCCAGCAGGCCTCGCAGGACACGCTGAGCCGCACCGATGAGGAGGATGAAGAAAGTACGTGGCTGCTGATTCAAGCTAATCCCCAAGCAGTGAAGGTGTTTTCTCGATGTCCCAGAGATCAGCTGGGAGGGGAAAACAGTTGCCCCTGTACTGGTGTGAACACAAGGCCCACAGGAGCACGAGGCTGAGAAATTGGTGGGATTGCTACACCATTTGTGGTGTTAGAACTTGGGTTGTGCATATCTCCTCATTGCCTCCTGAGCTGTGGCAAGGAAAAGGGAAAGGCACAGGCAAATTTTTAGTGTCTGAGATCAGGGCTGACATGCAATCCTCACAGTGCTGACAAGGCATTTGACAACCAGTCCTCTCTTTGACCTTCCTCACAACAGTGGGAAGGGGCTGTGGTTCTGTGGTTAGGATCCCATTCCTGCAGGATCTTAGTACTTCCTGCTCATCACTTCTGTCCAGGTGCTCTGACATGAAATATGTTGTCCTTGTGCTGCATGGGATCCAGCTGTGGCTCTCCACAGGGTGGACTGTCTGTTCTTGTGTCAATTAACAAAGAGGAAGTTAAGCCTTAAACCTACTGACAACAAAAGCTTGATCTCCCTTTTTGGCAGCTGGCAGGTTCTGAGGTTGCCAGGCTTTCTGGTGCCAGTTTAGAAGGAATGGGATAGTGAATCTTCTGGGGACTTATTTGCAATGATCGAAATATTGGTTTGTTGTTCCATCTGAGTTTCATGTTTTTCTTGGAATTTTGCCTTCTCTCTGCTTCTGAGCTGTCTTTCACTGAAAGCCAGGGTAGGAAACTCTGCTCATATGGCATCAGGCTTGGGCTTCCCCCTGCTTTTGCAGGGATACTGGCTTCTGGTGCTGCAATGGCTGGTTGTCTAATGCCTGAAACTTAATTGCTTCACTTCTGTATTTGAGGACTGCTAACCCCCAAAGACATCGAACAAAAGGAGTGGAAATGGGGGGCTCAAAAGAAAGGCCTGTGCAGTTACAGCAGAATTGCCTTTTGAGAAAGAGCAGTTAACCTGAAAGTTTCCAGGCTCAGCCCAACTTTATTTTAGCTGGGTTCATTTCTAAACATTGTACAATACACCCACAACTGTGCTGCTCCTACATTGCTCAGATATTTACTCACTGTGGCAAACACTAGTTCCAGCCATGTATTAATTCTGAGCCACCGTGAGGAATGGTAAGTGCTATCTTCCTATCTCACTGAGTCATTATTGCCTCAGCCCTGCCTTGGCTTAATGCTGCCATAAAATATTTCAGTACATCAGAATTGGCAAAGGTCAAAAAGAAAAGAGAAAATGACAACACAAAACCTCCTCTTTGTTTTATTTATTTATAGTTAAAAGCTGTTATGGTAAAAACCACGACAGAGTAATTTCTTTCCAGGTACTTTATACAATTTGAAACAGGGCTGAAAATTTTAAGCAGTCCTGACCACTGTCCAACTCTGCATAATTCAGTTGAAGTATGATGTTTTTGAGTCAATTTATCCAATTTTTTGGTGACACTTTAAGATGCATGTCCCAAAGTGTGTTAAAGATGTGAGTGCTGCACTTTGCTGTCATGTATTTTCTTTTTTGTAACAGTGCTTTGCTATGTCACAGCAGCAGTTTATTTCACACCAGCAAAACGCCTCGTTACAACTTTTATGCCAGAAATACTGTATATTAACAAGGAATTTATTAATCACAGGAATTAAGCCCTAGTGGAAGCTGAATTCCCCAAACGCGTTTTCCTGAGAGCCATTTAAGCTGAAAGCCTAGATAAATTCCTGCCCTGCATGTGCCAGGTTCCTCATCCTGCAGGGGTTTATGTGTTTGTCTCTCTTCACTGTAAAATCTAATGGCATATTCCAGTTTGCAGGTTTGGGCTCTGGGTACGTAAATGCTGGGTACCCCCTTGGCATCCTGTTGTCTCTTGAGAACTGAGAAGAGGAAGGTGGGGTTTGGGGTGGTTGTTTCCTCTCCTTTCCTGTTTTTTCCTCTCTTTCCAGATGACTCCCTGAGCATGCCCAGTGTGGTAAGTGAACAAGAAGCATACCTTATGGGTGCCATTGGGAGGAGGCGGTTCTCCAGCCATCTCTCCAGCGTGTCTGCACCTCAGGCTGAGGTGGGCATGTTGCCCAGCCAAAGGTAACAACATGGGCTTTTCACCTTTCCCATTATAGTCATGAGAGCAGAAATGGCTCAGGTACATCAGAGGGATGGGAGAGTGGGATCAGTGCCAGCATAGCAATGCTAAATTTCTTCATCCTGTAGTGTTGGACCGAGGATGCAGGGTGGGAAATAACGATTTTCCAGGATGATCTGTGTCATGTAAGGTCCGTAAGAACAAGCTGTCATCCACAGAAACTTTCCTCTTAAACAGTTTCAGAAACACTCAGCATTATTATTTTCCTCTGCTACTGCTGAATAGGAAAAAGAAAATAGGGTTTTGCGGTTTTGCACTGAACTAGGGAACCATACCCAAACTGTGTAGGGAGTGGGGAAGAATCCTGAGAAGCTGGGAAAGGGGACAGAGGCATCCTGTTTGATTTACTTTGTTTTCTTCCCTGTGATCTTTGTCCTTGTTAGAATAGTAACTGGGCAGAAACTGAATGTCGTATTTAAAGATGGGCTTTAATACTGTTTCAAACCAGAAATATACTTGTTGATACAAATAACTTTGAATGCCTTATTCCTGGTTAACATGGAGTGGTGAGAAAGAGATTGGAATTTGGGAAATGTACAGCTTTAGAAGAAGTAGAGAGAAGTTTTGCATTTAAATGTGATTTTTTTTTTCTAAGTAAGCAATGTTTATTGTTTTATTTGTCTGCAACAAGTTATCCAAGGATATCTGGCAGTGGATAGATTAATTTATTTTATTTCCTTTGAACATTTAAAAAATGTTATTTAAAAAACATATTCTACATTATCTGTTGACCAGCCTTGGAAAATCAAACAACATTGCTCCCTCCCCAGTCTTGCTTGGAATTAAGGATATAACCTTGATACATGAAGGAAAAGTAACAGCTGTGGTACATGCCAGTAGAGATAGGAGAGGTGATTTACAAGAGAGAAGTTGCACAGATTTTATCTGAGAGTTTTCACAAAAGGGCTTACAGGAACTCATTTGACTTTTGAACTCAATTGATTCAGTCCCTTTGTTTCTTGAAAAATTAATATGCAAGGCTGCATTTTCCTCAGTCTTTCACTGCCATCTTCAGTGTATAAACTTCATAAGAGTCACAGCTGATTGATAGCAATCTTTGTTTTGTGCAATCCTAAATCATGGTGATGCTGAGAGAAAAAAGACTTTAATTACCAGAGATCTTTGCTCTCTACTTTTTAAGTAGTTAAGTACTTTTTAAGTCTCCTAGCAGGAGACTTTTCATCTTGGTAGGGAAAGGACCAGCTCAGCAAGTGTAATCAGTCCTCCATGTCGTGCCCTTTTAGTTATGGATGGCCTCTGGGCTTCCAGACTGCCTCACAAATGTAAACTAATTAATGCTAAGTGATATTATTACCACTTTGCTGCTGGTAGCCCAGCAGACTGCTTTCCTCCTTTCATGTTTTTCCTATGGGCTGAGCAGGCTGTTCCTGCCTGATGGCTGCAGTGCAGAAAAGCAGTGAGATGATGTACTTCTTTGCCAGGATCCTCGCCAGGTGTTTGTTTACAGTGTCACTGCACTACAAGACCTTATTTTCCAGATGTTTGTCCTTAGAGTCATACAGAAGGTCTGTAGCTCATGGGAGATAGATTACCCCTCCCTCAAAAAGAAGTGGCTCATGGGGAAGGGAAAAAGCTTTCTATGAAGTTGGAAGTAAATAGAATGGAAATAAATGAAAATGCTGCAGGAAAACAGCTTTGAAAATAGTTCCCTCCCCTTATTTCCTGTGGAAACACATCCTGCTGAACTTCTCAGCTCCCTAAATCTCAGCAGAGATGTGGAAGGCTCCCTGCAGTGTAAACTCCCCCTAAAGACTGCTCCTGTGATCAGATGTTCTTTCAGCTCCTCTGAGTCATAGATATGCTGTTGAGCGTGAGACCAATTAATGTTACCGTCCTTTTTTGCTTTTTTATTCCGTTGATATTTTTTCCCTTGAAAACAGAGACAAGCGCATGCTTTTTTGCATTTTCTTTCCCTAAATTCTTAATCTCCCTGCCCCTCCTGCAGTGAACCTAATGTCCTCGATGACTCCCCGAGCCTGGCCACTGAGGGCAGCCTCTCTAGGTACAGTGTCAACACTACCTGTCTGTCAGTGTGTGTGTTGGGAAACCGGCTGTTTCCAACCTCCTGTCTCTTCCCCTCACCTTTTGTCACTCTCTCCATCTCTGTCTCTTGTGGCTCATCAATATTCAGGCCTGCAAGTCAAAGGTGTAGCAACCCACCTTCAGTTTTCAGCTTTGATTGCCGATAACTTTGAGGAGGCTAAGGGAAAGGGGAAAGAAAAAGCTGTAGTGAGTAAAGCAGCAGGCTGGCCTCGGGGTTTTCCCCTTGTTTAGCAATTGCTTGAAAGGCATGAGAAAGATTATGCATGAGGCATTAGCTGTAGCCTGTTATAAGCATTAGACTGGAGGCTTATATAAAACAGAGACATCTGTTTTTCCATTCATCTCACAATGCTGTCACCACAAAAGACTTAATAACAATATCAAGCCGTGTTCTTTTCCATTCACTAATAAAACTAATATGATAAATCCTGTGGAATATAGTGCTCTGTGGGTGCTTCACAACAATTCTCATTATTTTTACAAAGCATTTCCCATTCTCACATGACACCTTAGAAATCTTGCAGGTGGACACCATTAAGGTATATTTAAAATTGCCTTGTCAGTGCTGGAGTTCTAGTCTAGCTGTTCCCCATTACTCATGGACAGGGGAACACAAAGGGACAGTGTGTCAAATGGGTCAGGAGTGAACTTAGAAGGGAAGGCTGCACCTTTAACAGCCAGCTCAGTCATCTTAATCATCCTTCTTGTCCTGCTGCTGTGCTCCAACTTTCAGCTCCTGAGGCTGGAGACCTGTCATTAGTCCCAAGAGCATCTCTGTTTCCTTCCAGGAGAACACAGCCCCTTCCATTGGCAACACAAGGGGTAACACACGATGTCATTCCTGCACCAGCAGAAGCTCTGGATATGTCAAGATGCATTTGTGTGAATGGTTTGGGTTTGTTAGCTTGGCTTTAGATGATGGTGGTGGCTTTTTGGGGCGGGGACAGGCTGCCGTGTTTGTTCATTCTCCCTGAGTGACAAATGAAGGGGTTATCATCCGTGGTGTCACTGAGCTCATCCCATGGTTCGTGGTGTCCTTTGTGTGCGTGAACCCTGCTTTGGCAGGTCGGTCTCTAATTGGTGCTGCTGCAGGAGTGGTGTTAGGAAAAGACATTAGCTTCTTGGCAGAGGCAGGAATATTGTTACCTGGTTTTGTAATAAAGTAAGATGGACTGCATGTCATTGAACATGTTTGAGGGGGCTAAAGAGAACAGAAATCATTCAGTCAGAGAACTTCCATGTTGTCCCTTCAGCAGAGCCAAAAACTTGCTACAGTTGAGGAGGATGAAGGAGAAGGTCCGTATCTGAGTTAAAGCCATGATGATACCAGGTAACATCAGTGTCGATTTTGAAATGTTTTGATTTTGTTGTCGAGGGGGAATCACTCCTAATTACTGTGGTGAGGTTGAGGAATGTGAGACAACTAAGTCAGATGAGTTTAAACACAATAATTTATTCTGAACCTTGAAATATAATCAGTTGCACAATGGGTTCCTACTCATTCCTGTCACACAAATTTTCTCTAGGGACCAGGGCACTATTCTCCACCCTGCCCTGTGGTACAGAGAGTTCCTAAGGCAAACTGGTTGGCAGATGTACTTGGGAGTCGGTTCTGCTGAGGTTTATTACCCGTTTCAAGGAGCAGGCACTAACGTCTGAAGGAGGGGCATCAGCACTGCAAAGCCTTAGAAGGAATGAAGACAGAAATACTGCAGATGTGTCTGAAAAGGGTAGCTTAGAACTCTGTGAGAAGGAAAAGATGTTTCAACTGCGTCATTAGATGTGCAAATTGGATTCCTTCTCTAAAGGACGGGATTAATAAGGCAGATGTTGTGGGAGCTCATTGTGCTGTGGGAATCATAGGACAGAATTAATTTGGTTTTACATTCAGGAACATTAGTTTTGAATAAAGCAGGCTTGAGGTTTTTTTAATGTAACTTGGATTTCGGCTGGAGCACAACAGTAACTGTTTAGGATCACCTTCTGAATTCAAAGCTGATGTTTAGTCATAACTGACAAAAAGAAATAAATCATATTTACTAGGGACTAGACTGTTATGGAAGGTAGGAGTATTAAATAAGTTAAACAAATAGTGACAAAAACAAAAAAGACTAAAGTCTGTTTCCCTTCGTTCTATAGCAACCATGTAGAAAAGCAGGGAAGACAGGAAGGGGAGAGCACTGAAGTGCTCAGACAGCATGAGGTACAGGGCTGAGGAGCATATGTGTCCAGCATCGTGATCTGTTGTGGTTATAATCTGACAGAAGATGATATTTTCCCAAATCAGAAAGGAAGAAGAAAGAGAAGCCACTCTAGTGGAAATCTGTTGCATAAACATATTTCCCTGTGATGTTTGTCCTTGTGCCTACCTTGGCTTAATGGTGCCTAATAAAAAAAAAAAATCAGAGTGAATCCACATTGCCAGGGCAATCACAGCAGCAGATCTAAGCTAGCTAGGCTGGGATGTGTCTGAGAATACAATATATTTAACACATCCTCTGCTGCCTTTGTCCACTTACCCTCTGTGCTGGTTTAAAAGTTAACCAGCAGGGGAAATTAACTCAACTCAAAAGAGAGATTATAAGTCAGAATAACAATTTAATAAAATAATACAATAAGTACGATTATACAGATAAGCAATTTGGTTTTAACCCACAAAACCCAAATGTATAACCCAGCACCCTGGGGCATGAACAGAGTGGTGTTTCTTGGGCCCCCCCTGAGTCCAAAGTAAAGGGAGAGGGGAAAAAAAACCTGCTGGTGGGAGAGCTGTTGCAGTCTGGTCAAGAGTGGTGATTGCAGTCCAGTTGAGGGTGGTGGTCTCAGTCTGGTTGAGAGCAATGAGCTGCAGTCTTCCTCTGGATCCCACAAGTGGTAAAAAGGTTCCAAAACTCCAAGTTTATATATTCTCCAGTTCAGGCAGGAATGCTCAGTCCTTCCCTCAGAGCGGGGAATTCCATAAAAGGGTATGAGGATGCTCAGTCCTTCCCTCAGAGCGGGGAATTCCATAAAAGGGTATGAGGACAGGAACATCTACAGGCCTCTACTGCTAACAATTTCTGGGAAATGGCATGTAAGGCTATAGAATACACAGTTTTGGGTTACCCCCATACCATGATGAACTGGTCTCAGCTGTCCTAACTAGGACACCCTCTCATTCATATGTCTTGGGACATAAACTGTGTATGTTCCACCATGACGATGTGGCAAGCATGTACATCTTTTTAACAGACATTTAAACTCCTTGCTTCCTTCGTCTCTGTTTTATTTTCTTCTTTCTTATCTTTTTTTTTCTTTTAGCTGCATGGTTTCTTGTCATTCCTGAGCATCACTTCTTATGCTTGCCAACCTGACAAAGTTTGTTTTGGCCCCCACTTGTGACTGCACTGGCTGTCATTCCTTGTAGTCCTGGCAACATGCATCCACAAAGTTGGGTGTGTTAGATCTTTTGCTCACCTGTCTCTGACCTGTATAACGGGAGTAACATTATTGTGCAGATAAACCCCTGACAGAGATACTCAGAGAGTGACAGAGCATCTTTGTGTTGGGCAGAAAAAGGATGTGGCTTGTTATTCCAACTAAATCTGGCTTATGTCCTGCAGAAAAACTATTCTTATCGATCACATTGCCACAGGAGGAAAAACGTACTGTCAGCTGACATGGCATTTGATTCAGTGTTGCTTGTTTGGGTCCTGGGCTGCCAGAAAAACAGAGCATTCCTGGTCAGGTCTGGTAAACAAGGAGAGAAAGCAAAGGAGGGAGGGCAGACTGCACAGAGCCTGCCATACTCATTTTCACAGAAACAAGATCAGTAGTGCTGCTCTTTCATGTGAAAAGAAACCCTCACAAACCCTCAGGATGGGAAAGGTTATAGCTGCAAATTCAGTAACTAATCCAAAATTTGTGATCTTTATGATTCTCTGTATTTCCTTCACCTCTTCAAAATTTGGGGATAGAAGTCAAAAAGGCAGCCATAGCAGGACTGTGCTGTGCACAGGCAGCTCTGTGACACTCAGCTGCTCCCAGGTCCACCCTTTGCCTGCAATAGGTATCTGCAATTTCAGCTCCTAAGATCATCCCAAATTATTCCAATTTGTGTAGTGATTGAGTACTGGAAGGAGACATCCACCAGCTCACTTACTTCACTTATGATATAAGCCAAGCTGAAAATCCCAGACTCCAGCAGGAAGACACAAAGTCCAGACTTTCTTTTGCTCACCTATTGGTTGTTCTCAGTGCACAGTTACTCCATGGGAATAGTTTTTTTCCTCATGTATAGCCTCTGTGCCTTCATGCAGTCCATGTACATCCTTTATCTAATGACTTTTTCAAAGTATTTTCATAACATGTGAACTGAGTTTGTTTTAGCACTGTAAACAGTGTTTTGTACTGAATATAATTGTAGTCTTTCTGCTACAGACATTTATGTCTCCTCACTCACAGAACTGAGTTACCTTTTCTTCATCAGAAATTGTAACAGTATTCTCAAAAGCTAGTCGAAAATAGTAGAAAACTATTTTTTTCAAGACCTTGTCCATCTAATTTCTACTTCATTCACATACTAGAAACCACTCTAAAAACTTCTGAAAATTCAGAGGAATAAGTTCTTATGTAATCCTAGAAAGAGAAGATTAAGCTCCAAGCTGTAATTTCAGGTAGTCTGGATCACAAATCTAAAGACTAATTAAGGTTCAGTCTCTTTGCTTTAATAAGGAGTGATGTGTTGCTTCTGGACTTACCAGTCATATGTGCTGCAGTTACTGTCTGGGTCAAGGACACAGTCCTACCAACAAGGAGGGCTCTGCTTATCCCTAGGTGGGTGTTTGCATAATGCTTAGGATGTTTGGTATGTAAATCAAGTCAATACCCTTTGGAAAAGCTGGGATATATGTTCCAGGGACTGGTGACCTCATCTGACAAGCCATCTGAGGGACAAAAGGACTCAAATACATCTTGTTGTTTCCGGCTCTGAGCTTGAAGAAGCTTTTCTTTTTTGCCCCAAGCCAGTTGCAGCTGTGGTGAGATTGCTGAGGGTATGTCCAGGACTATTACTAGTCAGACAACCAAAAGAGAAACAGCTTCAGGGTCCCAAGATATCTCTGTCCTTGAGGTTTCCCACTGTCTCCCCAGTAGAGCTGGTAGAAACATTTGGATATGGTTTAATGAAAACTCTTGGCCTTAGTTTAAATGATAAGGGAGGAAGGAATAGGATTTCCAGGTTGTGTAACCAGCTTTTGCCCCAAAGCAGAGCAGGAAGCCCTCATGTTCTGTTCCACCAGACCTTCTAAGGACAATCGATAACTTTCGCCAAAGCGATGAATGAGCTGCTGAGGACACAGAGCTCTTTCAGCCTCTCCACAGACATCCCTCGTGTTCTGTCTGTCCCTAGGTTTGTCTTCTTCCTCCACTCCTGTATGGCCAGGCAATAAACCTTCACTCTGTTGGTTGTACTGAGCAATTCCAGGGAGATACAAGGGAAACATCTAGAGAAAAGAATGTTGTTTTCCTTTCGATTAATGCTGGCCAATATCAAACTGGATTGCAGTCCTGAATCCTTGACAGTACGTACCAGATAGAGCTGGAAGTGGCTTAAATAGGACATGTGGCTCAGTGGATTCCAGTCTGGCCTAAGAAAGCAGCTGCCTGAGTTAGAAGAAGTCCATTTTAAATGTTAGTGGCTGTTGTGGCCATATGTCTCTCAGATGCAGTTCATTCAGCTAAAGTGTTTGGTGATTGCTAAATGACCAGTTTTTAACTGTTTGCAGGAATACAGTGCTTTAATAAAGATGAGGGGAGTGTGGTATTTTTATATTAAGTAGATTAAATGGTCAGCTGAATGACAGAATGAGATTGTAGCCAAGTATGTTTTATTGCTAAAGATTCTTCTACTGCAGATTTTTGGATATTTTGTACCAATGTATTTAAAATCAAAAAGCTGTTGTTTTTTATATACATATATATATATATATAATTTTTGTTCACTTGTCTTTTTTGTTTGTTAGCCACAAAAAGACTTAAGGCTGCAAGTGTTGAGTGTGGGGCCTTGTTCACATAACTCATGCATCCATTATGTGAATGGATCCTTTGTCACTTTGTGTTTGTTTTTTGTTTGTTGACTTAAATTGAAATTAAAACCAGATGACAAAATTGTGATGAGGCCATGGAGTCTATTTGGGAGGAAAAAAAAATTAGCTTTTACAACATTGTCCTTGAAAAAAGGAAAAGCAAACAAGAAGACTTTTGAGCTAGGAAGCTGATGTTCTTGCCTTCACTGATGTGGCAAAGGATGCAGAGAAGTGAGTGCTGCTCAATAGGATGCATCAATCAATGACTGAAAACTGAAATCTGCAGTTATTTATATTTGGATGCTACCTGTGCGTGGCCAAGTCCTGAATGCCATGACTCCACCTCCCACCCTTTCCTAAGCCCTGGAAGCCACAACCTAACAGACACGTCCCCCCCATCCTTCAAAGACAGTACTGCTCTTTGAAGTGACTGTGCCATTAGTGGTTGGTCGACCTATTTATTTATTTTAGTCCCAGTTGCCAGGACACTTCCTAGTTATACAGGGTGCTTGTGAGCTTGGCCTAATGCTGTCAACATCTAACAGGGTGGCAAGTGTGCAGAGTGAGCCAGGACAGCAGAACCTTCTTCTGCAGCAGCCCTTGGGGCGGAAGAGAGGCCTGCGGCAGGTGAGAACACAGAAATGCTGTCTCATTTGGGTTGGCTTTTCTTGTCTGTGTCTGTTTGGACACCATTTGTGGATGTGACTGTTTGGACATGTTTTGTGGATGTGACACGCCCCTTCTACCTAATTTGTGTTATACGAGTACAGTCCCTTAAGTCAGCAGGAACTGGAGCACAAGTTCTAGCTGTGACGTTGGACAAATCCTTAAGAGAGGAGGGGTTTAAATTGTTTTAAATTCCTCAATCTTGTCCTCTGCAGCCTTTTTTAAAAATTATTATTATTAAATGATGGTCACACAGCCTGCATTGCATTACTTTCAGTGTTAAAACTGAAAAGGCACAAACCCCAGAGGTTCATATGAAGGAGATGTCTGAGCCACGGAACCCTTAAAACATGTATCTGTTCAAAGTTGAGTGAACGGACATCTAAAGGAACAGATGATGATGATACGTTCTCCTTTCAGAGGAGCAGCTGTGCAGTATGTGAGCATACATCAGCTAACTCTCTCTCCCAACATTTAGCTTCGCCGGCCACTGCTGTCCCGTCAGAAAACTCAGACGGAGCCTCGGAGCCGTCCCGGAGCGCGACTCTCCACCACGCGGCGGAGCATCCAGCCAAAGCCTAAACCCTGCGGTAGGGCAGTGCTGCACTCCCAGAACCAGCACTTCACATGGAAACTAGAAAGTGCTGTGCTGTTGCTTTAACTTGAAGGTTGTTAGTGGCCTATATTAAAGTGAAGTCCTAGCAGTTTTATCCTTTTTCCTAATGAGTAGATTCCTTATCAGAAAATCACCCCCTCAAAACACTTTGATGGTTTCTCCAGTGATTTTCAAGGTGAAAGAGGACATGGACAATGGACATGGACGATTATCTTGTCTCCAAGAGTTGTGGAGAATTTAGGGGGCAGGTATTCTGTCAGGATGCCTTGTCCAAAACCTCTAGATGTGCAAGTTTTGAAGCTGCTTTTGAGAGCAGTAGAAAGAAGGATGTCCCATCATTCACAAGCTTAGATGTTCAGAGCTTTAAGGATTGTACATGGAAATGAATGTAGGACTGTGCCACTCCATGCTGTACATTTCCAGCAGTCAGCACTGCCAAGCAGAGCAGGTGGCTGTATTCTGTACCATCTGAAGTGAGCAGTGAGCTTTGGAGGAAACATCTGGAAGAGCCAAGGTCGCTTGTGAACTTTCTGGGTTTCTAACAGCTCAGCAGGAGTGTTCTGGGGCAACAGCACTGCTGGGGATGTTTGAAACATAAAAGTTAACCCCAAGTAATTAAGAGCAGGAGCAGGGATATCAGGTTTACTGTTAGGTTTTTAGTCTAGCTGTCTTCACCCTGTGCTCTTCTGTTAATGCTGGATATTGGACTTAGTCTGCAGGAATGGGGGTCTATCAGCTACACCTTTTTTCTCAGATTTCCTGCAAAATCTCAGGCAATTCCCCTATATATTTGCATGACAGTTTTCCTTTTTTACTTGAGGGCAGAAATGCTTAACTCACATGGGAATTAAACTCAGTATATTCTTCTGGGATGGCAAGTTTTTATGGGTGGTATTGTCTCACCAAGCCATGGCAAAGACAGGTGTGCTGGCCAGACCTCAGGAGATCCCTGACTCTTTCTGTGTCTGTAGAAAAAGTCCAGGGTAAAAGGCTTTCAGATTAGATATCAATTAGACAGGTTATAAAGATGGAATGAACCGTGAATCCTGTCTTAATTGTAAAAACAACAGGGGTTATCTCTTGTCTTTGCTTGTTGTGTTTTTCTTCCCAAACGTTAACCCTCGATCCTCTGGGCTCTGTTCCCTTCAGCGGAGCAGAAGCGGTCGGTGACGTTCACTGAGGCCCCGCCCGAGGCTCCCCCCGCCTGCCCTGGGGACACTCTGGCTCTGGTGGCCCAGCAGGTGGGCTGTGGCCACAGCAGCCCCCCAGTGACCAGCAAGCAGGAGCCCCTCAGCAAGCCCATGCTCACCTCCTCCCCTGCCATCGTTGTCGCTGATCTCCACAGCCAGGCCACCGGCCAGGTACTGTGACTGAGAGGTTTGTGGTGTGGCTCTGTCCCCCCTGCTCCACCCGGGTCACCTGGTTACAGCCCTGTAATGAAAGCTGGAAGGAGAGGGACAGCAGCAAACTCTCCTGAGTGGCTGTTGGCTGTCCCACCCCCTGCTTCTGAAAGCCATTCCCTTCTAGATCTGTGCAACTATTCCTAATTTGCAGATATATTTCCTACATCTTCCTTTTCCATCACAGGTCCTTCTGGACCTGCTCACCAGTGCAAGCTTTCCTCAACAGGTTTTGCAGGTTATTCCCTGAGAGATGCCTCCTTAAGGAAGGACTCCTTCAAAAGCCTCAGGACTGTTTTAGCAAAAGCATCACATTGCAAAAAGGAATTGCTTGTCTAACATTTTTCTCTGTTGGACACCACTGAGGACAGTGCAGGGACAATTCTAGTCATCCCTTCAACACCCCAGTGACATTGAGATCACTTCTATATGCCCAGATATCTTTTGGGGCTGTGTCCTTCATCATGAACAAAAGAAAGACCTCTATCTTCAGAATCACAGAATGAATCTCAGAAGGGTTTGGATTGGAAGATCATCTCATTCCAGCCCCCTGTGATGGGCAGGGACACCTTCCACTAGACCAAGCTGCCCCAAGCCCCATCAAACCTGGCCCTGAACACTTCCAGGGATGAGGCATCCACAACTTTGGGCAACCTGTGCCAAGGTCTCACCACCCTCACAGGGGAGAATTTTTTTCTAATATCTAATCTAAACCTACTCTCGGTTTGAAGCCATAAGTTAAAACAGATGAAATAAGGAAGTGTTGATGAATGAAATCAGATAACTTTTCTGATAATTTCTGCAAATTTGATTCACCAGAAAAACTATATCATTGTCAGGGGTATAATTTTAATGGGTTTATAATCTGCAAATACCTGACCCTTTATGGTAAAATCTATTTCTGTACGAGAAAATATTTTATAGATGTTCCTTTGCTTTTTTTGCCCCCTCCCTCCCACTTTCTCTCTGCCTGACCACCAGCTCTCCTCAGTTGCAGAGCGAGGCACTCTCTGCTGAGAAGGAGAAGGAAAAAGAGGAGGGCCTGGAGTCCCGGCCAACAGCAGCACAGAGCACCCCACCCACCCAGCTCTCTGACACCGAGGACTATGCTGGCCTCGAGACCACCAGCTTGCTGCAGCACGGGGACACTGTCCTTCACATCAGTGAGGACAACGGGATGGAGAACCCCTTGCTGGCCACTCACTTCAGCTTCACACACGTGGAGCTCGGGGAGACGGACATCGATCTGGATGAATCTCATGTTTAACTCCTGGGGAAGTGCCATAGTGGGAGGAGGAAGAGAAAGTGCACCTTCTCCTTAGAATTCACTGCTGACTAGTAATTAATTAAAACCAAGAGCACTTTATTATCCTTATTATAAGAAAATGGCTATCAGTAGGTTGCTGTAGACTGGCAAGTCTCTGTGAAATCTGTTTCAGTTCAGGGCGAGACCACAAGATAAGAGAATTTGTACTGAATTCTGAGGGTAGGGGTGTGTAGGCAAATGTGGTCCACAGAGCCTTGATCTGGCAGCCGTGTACTGTGAGCAGCAGCCTCGTGGGTAACAGGCTGTTGGACTGCGTGAGACAGAAAAGCCTCTTCTGTGATTGTGCCCAATATTTATTTTTGTAGTGTTTTTGAGAGGGGGGCTATATAGCAGCTGAATCCAAGGCTCTTACACCTTGGTACTGACAGTGAAAACACTGACAGGACCAATCTAAAGCTTGATTTTCACAAGCTTGGGACCATTGTTTCTAACTTGCAGAGCAACCATAAGCACTAGGAAGCAATTAGACTCTTTTTTTTTCTCCTTTCTGTTGGCCCTGCAGGCTTCAGTTCGGCTTACTCTTGTCTGTTAGTTTCGTCCCAGTCTGTAAGATATTGCCTTTGTGCTACAAAAATATTTGCTCTGTAAAACCGAATACAGTACATTCCATAAGCAGGAATGCACGTGCTGTGCACAGATACAGATGGGCAGGGGCTGAGTGATCTGCAGTCCACACTGTCCTGCTTAAATGTACTGAGCAATTCATCTCGACAGCTTAAAAAGAACCCCAAGAAACTGTATGGTCCCAAGCAACTGCTCCACTGATGCTCTTGGATGTACTTAGATAGAAGGATTTTAAGTAAATATTTATATATGGTATTTTCATGTTCCTATATATAAAAATATAAATATAAATATATATATATATACATTGTAAACAAAAGATGGCTATTCCAGGGCAGAAAACTTGATGAAAGAATCTATTTTTGGCATGTTGAGATTGTATTTAAAAAGGCTACATTTTATGTATGTAATGATCATGGATGCAAGTGTTAAATATGTGTATGTAACATTTACAGAAGGGGAAGATCCCAAGGGGGATCAGCTGAAGTCACAGCTGAGTTATGGGCTCTGCTGCAGCATCATGGAATTATACTGAAATGTGAATTTAGCCATTGGCTACTGACAGGCAAAGTGCAAACAGCTGTGAAACAAACCATGCAATCATCAGCAATGCCCAAAGTTACCCTCTGCTTTGGGAATCGTACACTGCCTTTTTCAGTTCACATTAGAAGAACTGGGGTTTATAATTGTGGCATTACTGTGCAGAGGAAAATGTTTTGGATCATCCTGAGAGTATCTCAAACACGCTAATTACCAGTTTGGCTCCTGAAGGCTTGTCATTTGGACACACACGTGATAAAACGGCCTTAGGAGGGAAACGATATCCTGCCAGCCATTTCCAAAGAAAGGACTTGCATCTCTCCTTAACAACTCTGAAGTAGCTGTTAAAACACAGCCACACAAAGAGCTGCCTCGCTGCACTTTACTGTGGCTTTGAACATTAACCACGCACCTGGCAGCAGGTTTCAGCCTGTGGAAGCCGGTGGAGCCTCAGGCTGCACTGCCTGGCATTTGCCAAATGCTCAAATTTGACAGGAGCTGTGCACACCAGTCTGAAGACTGAACTCGCCTGCATTAAACCTCTGAAGAGAGCGAAGGCCATCTTTCTCTGAGGTGCTTAGCATGCTCTGCTGCCACTGCACTGGTGAGAGATGGAGGCTCTCAGCCCTCTTGGGAAAAGCAGGGATGAAAAAGCAACTATTTTTATAGTGCAGCATATATATCCCAATATATATGGGGATATATAATGTACAGGTGGTGCACCAATGCAGCTCCAAAGGGTACCTGGTTTTCTAAGAGAGGTGGTTGGGTGGAGGTTGGCAGTGCCCTGTTGTATGTCCTGAGCAACAAACTGCTTCCTCTGCTGACCAAAACATGCTGTACTGCTTCTTATCTCCTCAGTGCACTGGAGCCAACACCAGGTACCTGTAGGAGACTGCTTTGGATTAGCTCCTAGCTCGGAGGTCACTCCAAGAATTGCTGAACTTCAGAGGATAAATGTTATTATTAACAGTGACGCACAAATGAGGAAAAACACAGCTTCACTTTCAAGTCCCAAGGTAGGCTGGGTCACTGGCAGTCACAGGGAGGAGAGCTTCAAATGTGAGCTGAGACACAACACACAGAGAATTCATGGTGCACTTTATGGCGCGACCTTTCCTGCTGAAAATGAGAAGGAAGGATCTTCATTAATGAAAAGTAGAGGCCTCACCACAGTACTCTATTTTAGAAATGACAAAATTACTGTGATTTGCTTCATTTAATTCAGTGTATGTAATAACTGTTTCAAGTTTCCATTGTCTCTGGTGGATCCACAGTAGTAAGTCATAGCAAGGACTAAAATGCCTATTTTTAATGTCTATCCTGCTAGAAATCAATGCAGCTTATATAAATGACATAATCTGTAATTTAGTTTTATCCAGGTGGCCGGGCAACTGGCTTTGGTTTTGTGGGATGGCTGCTGAGAGATGGCACAGACACGCAGGCCCATTAGCCTGATTTCTCATGTTTTACTGTCATATCGGTTGCCCTTAATGCTGTCCTGATGAGGTGCATACAAAGTACTCTAGCTGGTTTGTGCTTTCCTTCTGTCTCTCTGTACCAGAACTGGTGTATTTCCTCTGTGAAGACAAACGATGCTGCTTTACATAGTGTTAGAGGCCTTAAGCGCATGTCGTGTTCAGCAATGTCCGGCTGTGCCTGTCTTGTCCGTGTGTCGGTCGGTCCCGCTGCCTCAGCATTTTATGCAAACGTTGCCCCGAGGGCTAAATACAAAGGAGTGACGGCAAAGGACAGAGTTCTGTGTTTGAGCCTCTTGCGCAACACGGGCGGTCTCTCTCTCTCTTTCTCTCTGAAAGGCGGTTTTGTTCCAGGATACCGACAGCATTTGTTAAAATTTACCCGTCTGCTCCCGGTGCTGGCGCAGGGGGTGCCCCTGGAAAGGTCTCTGCCCTCCCCTGTTCCAGCGTGGGGCTGGAACTGTCTTTGAGGCTGACGAAATACACTTCCCTGGGAACTGTAAACCACTCAGACCAGGGTTGTTATCATTACTCCCCTCGGTCTGGGCCCGCGGGTCGCGGTCGGGAGGGGCCGAAGCCGCTCGACCGCCCCCTGCGGCGCCATTTGTGTCCCTCAGCGCGGGCGGAGCCGCGGCCCCGAGATGGCGGAGGCGCCGCCCCCCCTGCCCCCGCCCGCCCCCGCCCCCGTCCCGGCAGCAGCCGCGGCCGCAGTGATGGCGTCAGGGTGCAGGATCGGGCCGTCCATCCTCAACGCGACCTGGCGGCGCTGGGCGCCGAGTGCAGCCGCATGCTGGACTGCGGGGCTGACTACCTGCACCTGGATGTAATGGACGGGTAACCGCCGGGGGCGGGCGGGACGGGACGGGGGCGCGGGGGCGGGCCGGTCCGCCCGCCCCACCCGGCCCGCCCGGGGTAACCTGCGGGCGGCCGCGTCTCTCTCTTCGGCCCCAAGACACTTCGTCCCGAACATCACCTTCGGCCACCCTGTCGTGGAGAGCCTGCGCAAGCAGCTGGGCCAGGAGCCCTTCTTCGGTAAGGGCCGGGGGCTGCGGGGCGCTGCCCCTTCGGCAGCGGGACCCGGCCCCAGCTCCCCGCTCGCTCCCCTCTTCCAGACATGCACATGATGGTGGCCAGGCCGGAGCAGTGGGTTAAGCCCATGGCAGTCGCTGGCGCGAACCAGTACACCTTCCATCTAGAAGCGACGGACAATCCCGGGGCGCTGATAAAGGACATTCGAGAGAATGGGATGAAGGTGAGGGGAGCACGGTCTGCGCTCGGCGTAATGAGCAGCCACCTTGCTGGCAGGTTCTCTGGTGACCAGTGAATCTATGTCGGGGGAAGTGTAAGTTGGATATTAGCAAAAGTTTCTTCATCCAGGGGGTGTTTGGGCAGTGGAATAGGCTCTCTGGGGACGTGGTTATGGCCTCAAGTCTGCCAGAGCTCAAGGAGCACTTGGACGATGTTCTCAGGCATATGGTGGGATTGTTGGGGCTGTCCTGTGCAGGGCCAGGATTTGGACTCAGTGATCCTTGTGGGTCCCTTCCAGCTCAGGATATTCTGATTCCATGATTCTATGAAAAACTAACTGTTGCCATTTCAGGTGGTCAGACATTGGCACTTGCAGCCCTAACACTCAGTGCATGAAGTCAGTCTTCAGTCTCAGTGAAGAGAATCGGGAATCTTTACCTAAACCAGCTTGTTCTTCCAGAGCTTAGACAGACACACAGTTACTTTTCTAGGAGTCTGTACTGAGCTCAGGCCAGCCTTGCCATCATCCTAAGGTGCACTTGGATTTTTCTTACCTCCCCACAGGTTGGCTTGGCCATCAAGCCTGGCACTACAGTTGAACACTTGGCACCTTGGGCCAATCAGATAGACATGGCTTTGGTGATGACAGTAGAACCTGGATTTGGAGGGCAAAAATTTATGGAAGACATGATGCCAAAGGTAAACTACGTTTCTCTTTCCTTATTTATTGAGCTAAAAGCTAACTAACAGTATGGAGTGTAGTGGTGAAGTAAATAAACCTTGTCTAGATGTGTAAGAAACTGCATGAGATGGTGGTAGCTCAGTGTGGATCTCAGTGCCCACCTTTTTATGTGGTTCCCCAGGTTCAGTGGCTGAGGACACAGTTCCCCTCCTTGGATATAGAAGTGGATGGAGGAGTAGGGCCTGACACTATCCATAAGTGTGCAGAGGTAAGAGGTCACAGCAGAGTACTGTTCTCAGTCACTATGCTAAGACACTTGATCAGCTCCCAGAAAATGAAGCTTTGGAGGAATTTTGGCTGTTAAAAGTTTTCAGAGGGAACACACTTAGGCACCTAATATAAAAATCTACTTGGGGTCTAATCTTTTGCCTTTTCTTAATAGTGGCTACTGAAGCCTCCCCTAAGCTAGAGAAGTTGTTTGTTTCTTGTGTGTTCAGGTAAATAGGAGCAATGATGGAGAAAGAGGGGGGAAGAGCTGTCTTTTCTAAACCTAATTGGGTGTTGTAGTTGGAGGTATGTCACCTGTGTCCCAGAAGTAGCGCTTGTTTACCACTAGCCCAGAATTCAGTACCTCCTTAAGTGCTTTACAACAGCAAAACTGTAAGCCAGTTCCATTGAATGGGTGTCCCATGTCTTTCAGGCAGGTGCCAATATGATTGTGTCTGGCAGTGCTATTATGAAGAGCGCAGACCCGAGGTCTGTGATCAATCTGCTCAGGAATGTGTGTTCAGAAGCAGCTCAGAAGCGCAGTCTGGATCGATGAGACCTGCCCAAGCTGTGTTCAAGAAGGCTCTGGGCATGCAGGAGAACCCTTGTTTCTCGTGTGCAAGGGAGGGCTGGATGAACACTAATCACAGAAGCTTGTTGATGCTGAACAGAGGAGTCATTCCTTCACTGCGATGAAGCAAGCAGCAGTGGGAAATGTTGTGCCTGTCTTTCAGGGTTGGAAATGCAATGGTTTGAGCCTGTCTCTTGATTCTGTGGATGCTAATTTTATAGCACAAGCTCTAATGCTGACTGGATTGACTTACAGTCAGTTTTTTGCTTGCTAGAAGAGTGTAGCATTGCCACAAGCGATCTGTCTTGTGGAAGACTCTTAATCAAACTGCCTTCTGCTGTGTCTGTATTTTGTCATTTGATCTGTGCATTCCTACAAAACTTTTCCACTACTGCATTAAAACGCCCCTTCCTTGGTGCGTTAAGTCTCCTTTAAGCTGACTGTCACAAATGACTGGGTTTGGAACTAAGTTTGGGGAAAATGCAGTCATAAGAGAGCAAAAAAAAAAATCCCACTGATGCCAGAAATATCCTTGTGCTTTGCCTTTATCGAACAAGTGAGTGCAGCATCTTTACCAGGTCACAAAGTGGGGAATATCTTCTATATCTTCTCATTTAGCTTTCAAATAGCCAGTTAAGACAGCAGTGTCTGAAATTCCAGGAAGCAATGAGTTTCTGTGGAAGAACATTGCTTTAAAACCGTTCAGGTAGTTAAAAACCTTTCTCTTGTCCCACAGCTTCCTTGGTTTATGTGCCTGAGTAAACCATTAAGGTAGTGACCTACAGAACTGATACTGCTGAAGTGATATGTAGGTTGAAATGTCTGGAGATGGCTCCATAAAAAACCTTGTGGAACCACATAGTTCTGTGCCCACTTCACAGACTGGCCTGTCTGGGCACAGGAAAGGAGAGCTGCAACACACCAGAGGAAGACCTGAGCAGGCCATTTTTACATAGACCTGGCTCCCATAGCTCCACTTAGGATTGTTGACTCTTTAATATTTTGTGGTTTTCTGCGTGGTATTTTTCCCTTTAAGTTGTAATTACGGAAGGGTTGCAGTCTGCTCCCCCAGGGGCCCAGGCCAGGAGGCTCCCATTTCCACAGGCCCAAAGTCAGGTGTGTTGTCCTCGTAGCAAAGCTGGGCAGGTGTCACCTGGCAGCTGCTGAGGGCAGTGCTGGAGCTGGTACACCCTTTCTCCTGAGCCCAGAGCCTGCAAGGTGCCCCACAGCAAGGGCCACTGCCCTTCTTGAGGAGTGAGGGCTAGTTCAAACAGTCTGGACAAGTGTCTCAAATGGCTGAACTGCATCTTTTTCCTGTGTGGTTAATTGTGGCTCAGGTGAACAAATGTTGCTTCCTGTTTCCACTTGCAACCCCATTTGGGAACTAGCAGAGTTGTCTGGACGTACTGCACTGAGTGATCTTTCAGAAGAGGCTTGCCAAAAGCAGGCTTGGCTAGGAAAGGCAAGTCCAAGGCCTATTGGGTGTGTAAGAGCAGCTTAGCTGTGCTTCTAGAAAGAACCAGCATTGAGTTTAATGTACGTGCATGGACAAACAGTCACAGCTCTGGTAGGTAAAATGCAGGCTGAGCACCCAGCAGCTACGAAAATGCTAGTTCAGGATGTGGAGTCTGGCTTTTCATGCTGTTGAAAGCAGTAGAACAACAGCTGTACTATCCTGGCTTCCTGCAGTTGAGTGTAAACTGGATTGAAAGCGTAATCAAAGTATTTCTGCTTTTTATCCTAAATAATGTGGGGGGAACACCCAAGTTGTGCTAGTTAATTGATGGTACTAGGTTTTGTGGAACCTTGTGATATGCTTTCACAGGTTGTAGCCATGTCTTTGTCATTGTTTTAAAGCTGGCAGTTTGCACTTGCATTGACTCTCAGGTTAGGAGTCTTGTGGGAGAGACACATTACACATACAGGGTGTAATTACTTAATTGCTTCTGAGTCCCACCCAGATGGGTTTATGCAGCTGGCTCCTGCTGCAGCAGCTTTTACACATCTCAGGTTAAAGCTGTTAGTGACCACATTCATGGAAAAACAATAATGAATGATTCTTGAATGTCCTTTAATTTTTAAATCTGTTTCAAGTTTCTTTCCTCTGTACATTTACAGAAGTAATGTGTTTGGGTCTGTTCAGGCCTGCCCTCCTGTTCTCAGGAAGGCCTGTCACAGCCCCAGGGACTGGAACCGAGTGCCCACATGAAAACCCAGCAAAAGCTGCTTGCATGGTCTCCATGGGGCCAAATAAACCCCAGGCCCATGAGGTTGCAGAGCTGTGTTAAGGGAGAGCACAGCCTGGTGGTATTGAGGCACATGGTCTAGAGCAGTCCAGGGGGGTCTGACAGCACAGGTCTGTCTGTACTGGGAAATAGGATGAAAGCAACTCTGACAGAGCCAAGTCAGGCTGGGCTTGGACACATCCTGCAGAGGGTACACCCACAGCCCTGGGCAAGATAAAACACTGCAGGAGACACACACTGGGCGTAATTTTAATAGGGTCAAGTAGTTTGTATTTGTACTTACATTCCATTAAGGTCCTGGATGCAGAGATGAAGCGTTTAAACCCTCAGAGCAGCAGGGAGCAGAACGTAAGCGGCCTTAATAAAAAATCTCAATGGCACATGGTAAATTAAGCACAGGGGAAATGCCTTTGTGCACCCCCCCTTTCTTGCTTGGGAGGGGCTTCCTGCATTATATTTAAGCTGGTATTTCACAGTCAGCCTCTGTAACACCTTCAGCCACAGCACTGGGAGCAGCACCGACAGCTGTTTTGATAGCTTAACAGCCAAAGACAAACAGGTTGGGTTTTGTTTCTGGTTTTTTTTCTGTTTAAAACTTTGAAAAGGAAAGAAAACAAGAAGGGAGTTCCTACACATTTTGTGGCTTCAAGGATGAGCCTGGCCCTGAGCTCTCAGCCCACTCCCACCACCACCAGGAGCTTCCTCACAACACCAGCATTCAGGTAAAACTCAGCTGTCTGGAGGTAGGAGCCCAGTTCTGCTTGAAAAAGGGCTGCAGGCAATAAACCACTATACCAGTGCTGATTCCAGCTGCATCCAGCATATGGAAAGAAAATGAAGAGGGGCTGGTCCTGGGACCACGCTGAATTAAGAAAGTTTTCTAACCCTGTCCCAGTAGTGAAATGGGGCTACTGAAAAATCAGGTGCTTCCCTGAATTTGCTCCTGGCTGGAGCAGAGACACAGTGGAGACAGAGAGGGCAGGGCATAGGTCTGCTGCAAGGTGGCAGATGAGTAGAGGTGCCGCAGGTGAGGAGCACGGCCTAAGGCTTCCCGAAAAGTATCTCACCTGCCATGTGCACACAGCATTGCCCACCTTCCCCTGCCAGAGGGAGGGACCTCCAGGTGGACAAGTGCTGGGGGAAAGCAAATACAGCCCGTTCCTGGCCACCCTCCCCAATGGCTCTTGCCAGGACATGCACATGCTGCACACCTGATGGCAGAGCCCTGCATGCCACCACCGTGTGGGGCAGGCCCATGCTGGCACTGTGAGCAGGAGGAATGGCTCTGGCACCGTGCTCTAGCTGTGCAGTGCTCAGGCAGCAGCTGCTTTAGCCCTCCCTTGGAATGACCCAGCAGCCACACGATGGTTTGGCAGCCAGGATCTGAACCACCAGCGTAAGGACACTCTACAGGTCCCCAGGCTGACCAAACGGGAATCCAGCTCCTATCCTGTGTGTGTGTGGGGGTGTTACCTCTTTTTTGCCCCCTTTTTAACACCCTTCCCACCCTCCAATCCAGAAAAACACCCTCCTCTCTCTCCTTCCCTTAACGTACTAGATTGCATTTCCATTTCCTGCAGCACCTTCAGGACATGGAGGGCAGCTGGCTGGCTGGTTTACTTGCTGTGTCCCATTTCTTGAAGTGCAGGAACTCTTCCTACTGCCTCAGGGATCAGACAGCACAGGGAGCCCTGACCTTACAACAAAGCTGGGTGAGAGCTGGTTTGATGAATGATAAAGGTATGGAAGGTATCATTCCTAATGAATGGATAAAGGTATGGAAAAGACCTGCAAAGCATCTGAGACACGTACCTTTCAGAAACCTTTTCCCAGCAGCAGATGCTCATGCAGGGCAAGAGAGAGGGCAAAATCCAGCTTAGTACTGAGGTGCTGAGGGGGCTCTTGGCCCCACAGCACCAGCACAGCCTCAGTACCACAGCAAAGCTACAGTGGGTTTGCAAAGCCATCTGTGGGCCAAGCAGGGCTCTGTGCCAAGAGGAAGCACTGCTGCTGCTACTTCACTTCTAAAAAGCCATCAAATTCAGACTATATACAACATATATAGAAATAACTTTTAATTAAAAAACCAACCTTGCATCAAAGATTATTGTATCAGACACTGAGGCAAGATTCAAGTTTAAGACAAACCAGTGTTAAAAAAGTGTTTAAAAAAATAATCAGAATGTGCAATAAACTACAATGTAGCAATAGGTTGTAGCATTGAAACTTTACTGAACTGTTTGCAGACACCCAGTGTATGTATATTTGCTGTCATTTTGACCAAAAAAAAAATGGACACTAAAACTGGGTCATCTGTCCAGTGCCATTCCAGATATTACACGTGGAAGAAAACTGCATAAAAACACAGACTCCTATTAAACTGTCTTCAACTGTCCTACACAGAAAAACATCCTGTTGATGGATTATACCTACATTCAATGTGTAATCTTTGTTAATACCTCTTGGGATTGCAGATACATTCCAAACTATGCTATTTAGATGCAAGTTTAAACAGCTTGCCTTTGTTTCCTCACTGTGAGTGTGCTGGGAAATGAAAAATTTATCCAGAATCACAGTGGAAAGCTTTGGGGCTTTTTTTTTTATTGGTCTTCTAGACATCAATCATCTTTTCCTTTCCAGCTAGTCACCAAATGTTGGCATACTTATGAGACTCTTACAAGGCACTATACAGAAATTGTAACAAGACTTTAAACATATTAAAGCAAAGTATTATGAGCCTCATTAGCTGCTGAAGGACTAAGAAATAAGATGACCCAAACCACAGTATTCCAAGAGCTGCATCACTGATTTGACTCAACACCTTTCCTCCTCTCTCTCCCTCCCCACACGCCCAAAGCAGAGACCCTACTTTCTGGGTAGCAGATACATTGACTATGGAAAAACAGTGAGCTATTTCTACCTTATTGCTTGAGGACATAGATATGAAACATGCCCCATCACTACTCAGAGCTGAGTACAGATTTTAAGCCAGATGCAAGACTTCCACATGACCTGCTTGGAGCTGCTGGTTCTCACCTACCATCACCTTACACGTGCAGTTAGAGAGACAGGTTTTTGCCCCATGGTCATGCCACAGAGGAAAGTAATCTGAGGCTATTGCTTATCCCCTCTATTTTCAAGTAGTTTTTCTGTGTTCAATTTAAGTTGTTGGCTAAGGTAGGCAGCATCTCCTGCTGCACCAGAGTCCACTAGAACCAGAAGTGCATTTGAAAACAAACAAAACAGAAAAGGATGATTATTGACAAATGTGACAATATGACAACAGACAGTGAATGGTGCCAGCAATTTATGTGTGCCCACTCGCGACACTGGGAATATTAGACTTCCAGCTTGAAATAATTACTTTCTCTTGGGGTTCAGGAAGAAGAAAGTGTTGTCTTTGGGATTTATCCTGCCTGTTACAAAGCAAGAAAGAAAATATATTATATGCAGCTAACACAAAGGTTTTGAATTGTGCTGTCATATGCTGTGTGAATGAGAGAGATTTTACCTTACACTTTTCTCCACCTTAATTGGCTTTCTTAATGAACCACATTATTCCCTGTCACCTTTGTTTACTTGTACTGTTGCTTCCCAGGCAAATGTTTTTGCAGTCTTCTGACTCTTGGGTAGATTGTTTTCTTGGTGGATGGCCATTGTCTGGCAAAGCAGTGGGTGTGCCCAGAGCGCAGGGAGAGTTGCTGGGGAAATCTGCACTTGACATTTCAGCCTCATTTGTTACTTGATCTTGGCATAGTAAAGCTTCTACCTCTTCATCTTTTAGTGGAAAAACTCGAAGTTCCCACAGCCCAGACTGAAAGGAAGCAGAAGCGTAGGAGTGAGGATGGAAAAAAAGGGAAAGAGGGTAAAAAGGGATTTTAGTTGAGTCTGAACTGATTAGCTCTGTGCAGAATGATCTGCTATCAAGTTACAAATGAGTGTCTTTCTTTACAATGTTTGCAGGGCTCTTCAGATAAAGAATACAACACTCCTAGGCACCAGCTGGCAATGTAAGCTGGCTACATAAGGGTTTGAACTATTAACAGAGCTACCATTGAATAGGCATAGTACAGGAAGAGGGAAGCTCTTTTCCACAGTGCCAGACCCATCAGGATACCTGACCCTATAACCATCAGGCCTGTCTGGAACCCTCACCAACATCCCTGAAAAAAGATCCAGCCTGAACCCAGTCCTGCCATATTTGCCTTAAAAACATATGCCCTGTGTAATGAGCAATGAAATTATTACCTGTTGACAGATCTTGGGGTTGATTTAAAAAGCACAGCAATCTTGTTCTAAACAGCAGCACTACGTTCAGTGCACGTACACTGGGGTGACAGCCCAAGTTTCTGATCAGTGAGACAGGGGAGTATGTTCAGGTTCTTTGTTTTATGGTAGGGAGAGTCATCACTGACCTGTCCAGACCTGGAAGCTATTGGAAGCACCCACCTTCGCGTCCTGGCCCTCCCTGCAGAGTGGTGCCATCCCTGAACACACAGAGCTGTGGGCTTCCAAAGTCGGGTCGGGAGCAGGGTCAGCAGCACACTGGTCTTGGCTGTGTCGGCCGTCGGCATTTTTGCTGTAAGATCTAGTGCAGGATAAAGAAACGAGTCTTAAGAACTACTCCCTGTCCTCTCACATTGCCAGGAACAGTTCAGGTTTTCTTTTCAAATTGGTCAGTTTCTCCATACATGCTACCTACTGCTTGTTTAAATCAAAAGAGCAGATGAAAACATATGTGGTTCTTGACAACCCTCTTGTCTGGAGCCAAAGTGGGAGCACTGTGTGGAGGAGCTAAGTGGACAAAACAGGGCTGGGACAGGCACACCCTGTCTGCAGACAGCTGGTGGCTGGTCACTCCTGTGCCTTGCTCCACACGCTCACCAGAACTGTGATTTTGGACAAGAGAAGTCAGTGAGCCGTGGGCTCTTTCCACTTGGGAGAACACAGCATCATGTGCCGGAGCCTGCAGTCTCCAAACTGCACCGTCAGCAGTCTGGGCCAATGCAACTTGAGAGGCAGCAGCAGGTCCTTGGGCTCCCCCTTCTCTCCTCTGCTCTGGACTCAACTCCAAAGCAATCAAGAATTAAACAGGATTAAAAATTTTGACCTTGCCTTTAATACAAATTTGTACTAGATATAAAACAGTGGCACGCATCTGAAATGCCAGGTGAAAGCCTGACCTTGCTCACATCAATGAGCAGTTTTACTTCTGAATTCAAGTAGCACTAAGATTTCGCCAAGAAGTTCATAGTTTCAAAATTAAGGTACATACAGAACTTTTTATTTTTCAATATACTTTCTAAAGTTGGGGTCTTTTTATGTTCAAAATTGCTTAAAATAGAATTCCTTAAGATGGTTTAGCTCTACTTTTCTCCTGCATTAAAGAAAGCTATCTTTGCATATTTATTCCTAGTGTCATGGTTCACTTTCATCCAAGAGTAGACACAAGCCTATGACAAAAAGCAGAAAATGTCAGCATTTACAGGATGCTTCAGATTCTGAAGTGATTTATGGGAATCATCTTCCCAGTGCCAAACTGCAGATACAGCTCTATGATATTCACTCCGATATACGCTACTTTTTGAAAGACTTTTAGTGGTTATATTTAATTCTGTTGAGTTCTGCACCAGATGGCAAACCTGAGAGAATGAACCATTCACACAATGACTTTTTAAAGCGTAAGGTCCCTGGCACACTCCAGGACCCCTTCAATAATGTCTGAACGCAGTGGACTTTCATCTGAGTCAGGTGAGTGAAGAAGGGCTCATGTTACTCTTGTGTGGCTGAAGTCCTAATAACTGGGAGTGGCATCAGCTACCAGAGCTCTGTCTTCAGTGAGGGAGTAAGCTATTTGTTCACTAATACCAGGTCACTGACATGCCGAATTTCTTAAAGTATGCATGTCTCAGCACTGCCTTCCCTTTCCAGCCACAAAGCCAAACATACCTGGCACTATCCCTGATGAGTTAATTAACGAAGAGCGCCCTCGTTTTCAAACTTCTCTGTGACAGCATTTGTGACACTGCTGCACCAACAACCCCGACCAGGTTCAATAGGAAGGCTCTTATCAAAGCCAGTACACCTGCCTGCTGTTCCTCCTGGGCCAGCGGCTCTGCTCCCACAGCGACCATCTCGCGCGCTCTCTTTCTTCATACTTGGTGTGACGCAAGGAAAAAGCTTCGTCGGACAGATCTTCTGCCTGTAACAAGACACAGGGAGAGCTGCTGCACTCATCATAAACATCACTAGAAACAAAGCCAGCCAGTATTATATATAATTCTGCAAAGGTCTGTTCACTGAACAAGAGGACACAACACAATGCATGCTTGCAGTATAAAGGCACACCCAAAACCGTGTTCAGCTCACGAGAGCTCTGGTATATGGGATGCTGTCACTTGCACCTTTATTTCTTTATATGTCTGAGGTTAATCTGAATGGATATAGAAATTATACCCCCCCATGGAACTAACACATTTTTCTCTATGGTGAGAGGCAGAAAATTAAGAGGACATGTATTCATTTGCAAATCAAGGCAGTGTTAAAAGCACATAATAAAGACAAGCAAAAATTCCAGGAGTTTCCAGACACTGTTTCAGGAGGAGGCTGGGAGGCAGCAGGATTCGCCAGGTGCTCTTTAAGCACTGAGAAATAGCTCTGAGATCACCAAGGACTTCGAAAACTCCACAGAGAGAAACTCAGCAAACCTGAGGTGCCGCATTCCTGCTACAAAACCAAGCAGAAAATGGCTTCTGCTTTGAAGAGACTATTTCTTAGCCAATGGTTTGCATGACCCCAGTACAGCTTAAACCAGCCCTAACACAAGTACTTTACCTGCTCGTCGTCAAACAAGAGCCAGGTTTTCAGGTAAAATATGCAGTTATTGCACCAGACCTTCACTGCCACCTTTGTTTCTCTGCTGGCAGCACACCAGGAAGTCTGTTCCTTAGCCAGGGCTGGGCGAGGAGCACTTTGCTGCCCTTCTGCCCTTCCCCCTCACTCCCCTGATGGAAAGGCGAGCTCTTGGCTGGACCCCTTCAGCACAACTCACAGTTATTTCAAAGGGCTCCAAACCATTCAAAGTTCAGCTAAAAAGCTGAGGTTGGCAAGAGCATACGAGTGCTGCAGCCATGGATTTTATGTCAGCCACTCCCAACTCAAAAGCAGAGAAATTCTAGGAAAGAACAATTCCTGTCCATGGGAGCTGTGAAGCTGCATAGCCAGATCAGTCCTGGACAAGAATTATACTAATAAGTGGGGGACCATGGAAAATAAACTGATTTTTTTTCTATAAAGGAAAATCCTCAGTGGTCTTATACAAGTAACACTATTTATCTTCTGATTGAGCCTGACAAAACACAGAACTGAATGGCACAGTCCTCACTGCAGTGCCAGGTAGTGCCATAGTGCCACAGGTGACACTGGCAGCTGCAGTGCTCCCCTCTGGACAGCTCTCAGCCCAGAGGTAGTTCACTGCCATTATGGGTACAACAGCAAAGCATTACAATGAATGAAAAGCATCCAAAAGCCTTCAGTGCAACAAGAATCAGCTTCAGGACCTGCTGGTAAAACTGTGGCTGCCCAGCTCCTCCTCAGCACTCAACAGGAAGCTTCAGACAAACAGGCCTGCTTTGTTTGGCCATCTCATGATGCCTTGCTGAAGGCTCCTCATTGCTTTTATTTATTTATGTTAAACACAAACCACATTGTTAGCTGCTGGTTTCCTTTCATGCAAGTCAACTTAGTGGGTTTCCTCCTCTCTCTGGAATTCACCAGCTCTGTCACTTGGATGGCATCAGAACCAGGCTGCATCTCAGTTCACATTTTGTCTTTCCAAGGTCAATGATGTATAGCGTGAAAGTGAGAATTTTATGAACTACAAAAGTGTTACCCCTCAGGGAAAATTAGGGATTTTTCTGTGTGCTCAGATTTCCTTTGAAGTGGAAACAAAAGATAATTTTGAAAGAAAAACTTAAGACTTGGAAAATAATTTTCTTTGCAAATTGCCAAAACTTTTCATCCTGGGAAGAAACTTCATTTTTAACAAGCTTCCTTTCAAAAATCCAAGTCCATGTTCCTTTTTTAAGTGAAGAGTTTTGAAAAATACAGAAATAAGCCTTACTGTTCCTTTCATAGCTAGTGATAGCAGATTAAACTAATTGTTTGTTTAAAAGAGTTCTACATTATTCCATTGAAGACTACATTTTCTTATTTAAAAATTTTTCTTTATTCTATGGATAAAAGTCTCATGACATCAGAGTAAAAGGTCTCTGCTTGGTTCAGTACAGCCTCTGCCCCTCCCCAGTTTTGTAATGCTTTATGTACTTTACCAACTTTAGGTTAATTTAAAGTTGCTGTAACATGAGAAATTTGGGATATTTTTCCCCACTAAGGTTAGTTTGAAAAAGGAAAAAAAGAAGTGCCAGTCCTCAGTGGACGGATCTGGCAGTGATGCTGAGACAAAAGGCAATGGGGAAGGCCTGTTTGTGAGACATGTCTAATGATTTCACTCAAAGAAAAAGACTTAAAGCAAACTATGGTTTGGATCCCCCCATTGCACTACAAGACACTGTGCATTAATGTTGAATAGCAGCAGGAATATTTCTGAAATATTCTGTTCTCAAAACAACAAAAATCTGTTTCACTCTTTGGCTCCACAGGGAACACTGAGTCATAGGCCACGAAAACACTTACGCAAAACTAACTGCACGCAGAATTATTCCAAAGTATTTGTCGTTACTCAAACAACTACAAAATAAACTTGAATGTTACAACTGTGCCTTTCCAGAATTTTAACCTGGATAAGACAAATTCAAACCAAAATAAAACAGGAAGACTCGTGCCACACCCTCCCATGCATTAAAGCAATAACAGACTGCAAATTCACACATGCAAACCAGGAAACTCAAATGCTCTATTTCCAGAAACTTAAGTATTTTTAGAGCAAGTAATAGAGCAGACATAGATAGTATACTGATTAACTTTTGCATTGCCAATTTTATCCTTGTAAGCCTAAATTTCCAGAAACAAAAATGCACCCAAAGAAGGTAAGCTTTTTATACTCAAATAAAGGCTTTTTATACTCAAATATGGTGAATAGGCTTGGTTCCCAGAAAGTGCTCAGTTTCCATCCTTGGGAGTGTGGCTCCTGTGGAAAATGACAAATTTTTTTGTAACTCATGGAAACTGAGTGCAAGTCTGTTGCATGGATAGGGGTTGTTGCACTGAAAGCCTTTAAATAAAAAAGAGAGAGAAGAGAAAAAGGAAGGAAAAAAAAGTTATCCAGTGGCAGAAATCCCTGACTGCTGCTTGACACAAGGACAACTCCAGAAGTTTTCAATTTAGCTATGCAGAAGATAGCCAGAAAAGAATCTATTATATAATGCCACCACAGGCTACTATGCAGTAAAATAAAGAAAAAGAGTATTTTATATAAAAGCAGAGAGTAGATTTTGCCTTCCCTTTTCCTGCATGAATGACCTACTTCAGCACAAGGAGCAGTTTCAAGCATGTCAGGAGCGTGAGTGCAGAAAATGCAAACAGGTAATGGTGCTGTTTCCCTGTGTCTTTTCACAAGCTTACACGGCAACAAATGTAACTCGGCTCAAAGCTAAAGCAAAGGAAGTGGAAGAATTATGATCAATCACCTTTTCTCAGTACTCTGAAAAACATCCAAACCAATTAGCATGATCCCAAAAGAAAGGGGGAAATCGGCCGAACAATATCTGTAGCATTTTTCTCTTGTCCCTTCTAATTCTACCCAGTAGCACAAACAATACAGATACAGTGGGCCACAGCAGGAGGCAAAGCTGCTTTATTGTTAACTCAAGTTATTTCCTGGCCAGAAGATGAATCATACTAGATCAATGAGTCATGTCAAACACAAATGTACTGGGAGGGCTCCTAAATGAGTGATTGGCCCATGAGCTTCAGAGAGACACCCTGAAGTCCCTTCAGCAAAATACACTTAAAGCACAAGACAAGTCATCTCTGTGGGATATGAAATCTAAACAAGGAACCCACTGACTCCTCCAAGCAAGTCCCTGAAAGCCCTGAAGGCAAACTGGTGTTGAAATTCTTCCATCCCTCATTCCACCAGATACCAGAACAAAGAGAGAGTAATGAACAGTAGATGCTCAAGGGACAGTGTGCCCTTGCTGCCTTATTAGTTATTCTCTGAATGGTTTAATTAAATATCCTTGCAGGAGAGTTCTCCTGTGCATGTAACTTGACCTTCTCAGTACAAAGGAAGATCAGGCATGTTTCCTGCTGGCTGAGGAGGTAGCAGCCCAAAAGTCAGTGGGTGGAGGTGACATAAATCTGGCCACCAGATTTCACAAGAATTTCTCAATTGCATTGGAAAAGGTGGGGACAGAGTAAGCTTTTCTCTTCCTTCCAACCAAAGAGCATGCTGCCAATAAGTGCAACTACACCAGGTAAGGAACTGAGGCCATGATGCTCTCCTAGAGGTTCATTTCCATGGAGCAGGAAGCTACAGACCTACCAAAACTGTCATGAAGCTAAATGCCTTTGTGCAGAGTGTATTTTCTACCCCAGTTGTAGAGATTCTCTGAAATAGGAGTTCAAGAACAGATACTGTGGATGAGAGCACAAAGTTCTACAGTTACAGCTGGTGATAGTGGCAGAGACTGGAGGGAGATTAGAGATGTTTAAAGGACAGCAAAACTGGCAGGTTTCTGGAAAAGGAGCTACAAAAAGATTGGAAGGACAAAAAACCAGCCTAGAGACCAGACCTGCTGGTATGTTCACCCTAAGGTTACAAAATGCCTCAAACCCCTGATTAGGGAAGAAAGAGACCCTCAGCTGCCAAGTCCATGGACATTCCCTGAAGAAAAAGCAGATTCTTATGTCTGGAGGAAGCAACAGTACCCCATGATGTGCAAACTTAGCTCAAAAGGCAGGTGGGAACTACTGAAGGTTATGTTGTTCCTGACAAAGCAGAAAAGTTTCCTCCCAACAAAAGGGTTGCAGGAAAACAAATACTGAGAAGAAAATTGAATAAACTTGTTGGACCTATAGGCAGGATGCCTAATTACTATCTGAAGAGCAACATGCCATGGGAACTGGCCACGGAGGGAGAGGATGAGAGAAAAGAACAGCATTATAGCACAGGTAGCCCCGAGGAGACAGACACTGGATGAGCCAGCATGACAGTGCTCAGGAGCAGGGAAGGCAAAGGCTGGACCCAAGGGACCCTTTGGGCCTGCTGACTGTGCAGCAGCAAGGGACAGGCAAATTTTCACAATCTGATACTTAATACTTTATTTCTGAAACTTGAAACTTACCGGGATTTGCATGAAGTCAGTGATTTCACAAAGTATGTACCAATTATCCCAATTATATATTATATCTAGCTTAAATAAAAACTGGTGGTTTAATTAAAATACAGCCTACCTCTTCTTCATCTGTATGTGATTTTTCTAAAGGTTGAAGTTCAACAACTCTCCAGCTAGAAATGAGACAAGGAAAATCAAATTAATTTACCTAAATACTGTTTCATTATTTCAGCAGTAGAGATGACTCTTTTGTTTCTAAAGTATATTGTTAGTTAATCCTTTTTCATCACTGCTTGTGCTTCAGAATTTCCTTCAAATAAAATAATTTCACAAATTTAAGGTGCTGATAAAAAATGCCTGAAATTTAAATTTTCCTTTCACAACTCAGTATCTAACATTTCCTTTTCCCAACACAGTCTTTAAGCTACCCAACAGAGTCTTAATGATATTTTTAGCTTTAAAGGCAATATAAAAGCAATTACATATTAGAGATTTAAAATACAGAACAAGTGCATTTAGCCAATTTCAGGGAATTTGCTAGTAAGCCACTGAATTATAGCATTGGAGATCAATTACCTCATGTTCTTTTTCTGAAACAAACAAACAAAATGTCTCTAGAATGAGGGATTATAGGCTTACACTGTATGGAAAAAAATAAGTTTATTCTACTGTATCAGAATGTCTGAATTTAAAAAATATATGCTAAATCCATTTTGTTTAATTCACTGGAAACAGCAAACTATTTTCTTAGGAACACACAAAAAAGACAGCAACCTCCAAATAACCATTCAGAGTCGGTCAGCTTTATGGCACATTTAAGGCCATGAGTATCACTATAATTCAGATGATATAAACCCACTTCTGTTTTTAGCCAGTCTGTGCATCTGCCACCTCCCTGTGTATATCAGACTATTTTCCATGTGCTATCAGCTGTCCAGTCTTCCCACCACTTCAGCCACACAAACTGAAGTGCACAGATAAAAAAGCCTCAAGCACATGAAGAGACCATCCTTGAATTATAACATTTTCTAACTCCATGCTCCATGTTAATTATATTTTTGTCAAAATTCTCACGTTTGTTTTGCTATCTTTGCAATTAAAGAGGTCGTGAGCAAACCTTGGGGTAAGGATTTCTTTGTACTGTAGTTTCTCCAACTTGGATGGTGCCACCAGCGACATGGGAATAACAATGTTGTCTATGTCATAGGAGCTCTCACTTCTCAACCGCCTCCTGGAGTTATGCTGAATAATACAATCAATACAAGAGGGGATGAGTCAGCTCAAATCACAGGAAGTACACATTAGCTGAGAAACATCAGAACTTCACAAGGAGAAAGTCTGTAACTTCAACACATTTTTTAGCGGCTTAATGACTTGCAACATCTCCCTCCCTTCAATGGAATCTCAATAAATCTTAAAACTGTCTCATTTCTGAGGTTTACTTCTTGCTAGTGTAACTTTTACTGAAATCAACATGAGTTTCTCTTCCTTGATTTCAGGTACAGTTAATTCTGAGTACTTAGGAGAACTGTGAAGTTAATGACACCTTCTTCATGGTGTGCAGTCTACAAAGATGATCTTCTGTCATCTACTAACCTGTAACCCAAGTGGTTCTTCAGTGTGATATAATTAAGAACTCCAAGAGAGAGAGAAAATTTAGTTTTAAATCATGATACATTCCATATTACAAGTTCTCCATTTTTAACTGAGCTTTAATGGAAACAGACTATCCTAAAATGCCCATTTAGGTGTTCTTTGATGATGGTTGGCTCAAGGGAAAAAAAGGAGGAGTATGACTTGTCAAAACTACGTAGGGGACACACATTTAAACTCCACTCTGCATTAAAACATGACAACTTACAGAGCACCAGTATACCACTAAGTTTAGCAAAACCATGGAATTGAAATCTGAATATTATTGTGAAATTCGCCATGAATTCGGATAAAACAGACTGTTTCTGCAGAGATTTCACTGAACCAGAGCTCTGCTGTTCCTCATCAAAGTTATATACCAGAGGCTTTGCCTACAGTTCTGTACAAAGTGTTTTAACTGGTGAAACTGAGAATTAATAAATTTTGTGACTGTATTTGCACCATGAGGCCATTTTATGTAGCTGCACCAAGAAAAAAGGGTCATAAGAGCCCATGTGTAAAACTGGGAACATAAATCACAGTGTATTTAATGAAATTTGGGGAAAAAAAAAGGCACAATGCCAATAAACCAAACTTACACTCCAGTATGATCTGCAGAACTCTTTCACAAGTAAGTATCTGTTTTAGAAACACCACATACTCAATCTGGAATCCATTAGTTGATGGATTTACTGTAAAAATGCTCAGTGCTGTAATTTAACACTAAATTAGCTGTGAAAGGTGTGTGGCTTTGGATTATCAATTTGCACAATTCCCTTTTGAGATTTCAGTTGAGGCAGTGGTGCATTTTTGGTTTACCTGTGAAGAAGAGCTGTGAGTGGGCCGAGACATCGTGCTGACACTGGTCGCAGCAGCAAAACTGCTGTGGGGTTCTGGCTCTCCATGTTGAAAGGAGAACGTCTCAAACCGAGTGTTACTTTCGCCTGTCACAAAAACAGCAATAAAAACATACATACTGGCTGTTGTCCATCAGAGTGCAGAATTTCTCCATACAGTAATTGTAAAGTCATTTCTAGAACCCCACAGTGAACCACTCACAATTTACTGGATACTAAAAAAAGCCATCTAAATAAACACTTGCTGCTTATCCTGTCATTGTTGTTACTACAAAACTCATCCCTCTCCTTCTACAAAGGATTTCTCCTCATGAAACCACCTTCACATGGGCAAATCCTGATTATTTTTTCAGGATCTGCCATACACATACACACAGTAAATGCAATCAGACAGAGGAATGCTTTCCCCTGTTCCCTAGCAGCACTTCCCTATCTGGGGTGCATCTCACCAGTTCTCTGAGCCCTTACTGACAGTTTCTTCCTTAATAAATGATAAAACTGGCAGCAAGGGTAATGAACAAAATTAGCTTAGATTTCCAAACCAATAGTGGTTTCTTTTAGTTGTGATCCACTGCTCCAGACAAACTGTAATTATTGTTTACTCCCATTCAGTCCCACTGTAAGCAGCATTTAGGGGGATTCAGAGTCTAACCACCTGTTCTGCCTTCCTTCTGCCTTAATTTCCATTAAGAAAGGAGAACTCAAATTTAATACCAACTAATAAAAAGAATCAGTGTATTCCAACGTGGAAAAAGAGGTGAGACTGATTCTAAAGACTGTATTTCACAGGCTGGGTCAAGGACATGAACTCTCATCTCCCAGGCAGCTCTGCAACTCCCTGGCACACAGCTTTTATTTTTTGCCTTGTTCATTAGGCTGATCTTCCCCATGGATAATTTCTCCTATACAGAGTCCAAATTAGGAATAAATATGTAGTACTACACCCATAGCACTAATAAGCTACAATTTGTGCTGCTATTCGAGAATACATCACAGAACAGTTTTCTGGCATTGGGAAACTATGATCCTTGTAATAACAGATAGTTTTTTTTGTTCCATTACCTAAAAAAACTAAATGCTATTGGCAGAAGACTAACTGTAACTTCAAAAGGTTTATAGGAAGCAGTCTGCCCTCTTACTAGAGCTCCCAAGTACCTCCAATTGTTGATCTGAGTAACTCTCCTGTAATTTTCTCATGAACTGGGTGGGTTTGGTTTGGGGTTTTGTATTGTGGGTTTGGGTGGGGTTTTTTTAATCATAGATCGTAATTTTTTATTAAATCATCTCTGCAGTAATTCCCATATTTCCACCTCATACTGTAAGACTACATTAGCAGTTTTAGCTGGATATGCATCAGAAGTTTATTTTTTTGCAATGTTAGCTGATCATTTAGACCTTTTAATTCTTTTTAGTTTAATAGTTTCTTCTCTTGCTCAGTGATTTATTGTCTTCAAATGTCTTGTGAGCGAATTTGCCAAAAGTTTTCCAAAAGTCACGTAAATGAATCAGTAACAAGATCTGTTACACTTCACATTCTAACAGCCTAGAGAGGGTAAGATGCCATTTATCCTTCAATGGTACACTGAATTTTTTATCCCTAATTTATCACATTATTCTACAGAACTTTGAGGGCACTTCCTATTAATTTACCAAGTGCTGAAGTAAAGATTCAATGGCTTAAAATATAATGATAACAGGAGTGAAAACAGAATAAGCAGTGGCTAGCCACAAGTCCTCTTAACAGTCTGGAAGGAATCCAGAACCAGAAATGACAGTACACAACAAATGAAACAGTGGACCAAACACGCCAGGAATAGTAAATGTTTTGTTGGGCACATGATTTGACAGACAACTTTGCAATTCAGTCTGTTTCACTGACTACTATAAAAAAACCCCTTTCATATTAAGAATAACCCAGTATTAGAAAAACACAGTTGGACTGCTAAGCAGTTTCCTTTAAGAGTGCTCCAAAAATAAAATACAGAAGCTTGTCCTGTTGTAATATATACTCAAGAAGAAAGAGGATTACTATACTTTAAAATAGCAAATTATTTTCATGGTGTCCCAAGTTTCGTAAGAGTATCCTTTTTGGAGACAAAATTAATTCTCAAAGCCCAGTGATTACAAATGCATTTATACAGTACATATTTTAAAAGAGTTAGTGTCTTCTTGCACTTCTCTTACCTACTGCTGTCTCACTTAGGTGTCTTTTCTTTCTTCCTTCTGACAGCTGATCGGATGTTCTTGACACCAACTGAGATTTGGAAACAGATAAACAGCCACTGTTCCATTGTTTGACAGAAACATGATGCTGATTATAGTCTACAACGAAAAAAGCACATATCAAATCAAAAACTTATTTTCCATTGACGCAATTTACAGGAAATCTCAACTGGTAAACTGTTTATAATGGGAAAAAAAACAACACCAAAACTTATGATAGGAATCCCAATAGTAAACAGCACTTCAGTCAGGCACCTGGCCCAAACTCCCCCACTTGCTATTAGTGCCCTCCTACAGCTCTGGTGGGATCATCTCAGTGCAACAAAGGAGAGCTTGACACTGTGGTCTGGGAAGAGATTCCTCTTCCACCTAAAGCCTTAATCGGTTACCTTCTTTGATAACCTGCTTTGTGCTAAATTTATAAACTGAAGAAATTACTGACAAATGATCAGAAAATGGTCTTGCCAATACTAAAATATGTTGCTTTACATACCACTGTCAGAGGACACTTTAAACTCCCCTCCCAAAGATGAGGTATCAACAGGTTCTCCTTTGATGTCATCCTTCCTTAATAATGTTTCAAAGTATACGTGAAGAGGAATATCTAAAAAATCAAAAATCCAAATGGAAGAGGGTCAGTATTAGAAATATGGCAACCTCTGAGCCAATGTATTATCCATCATCACTAAGGTCTAGGAATTGATTCACCCAACACAGTGCAATATAATCCCTGAGCAGTGCTGAGTGACACACGCTCTGGAAGGTACTGAGTGAGAATAAGCCTGGGCTCTTCCCCTCTTGATGAACTCCTGCACAAGACCCAGCACAGCAGAGAGCACACAGGGTGCTTTTCCTGGAATCTGCAGAGGCTTCAGTTCAGCCTTTTGGGTACAAGTCATTAGTCATTAATGCTTTTGGAAATTGTTACTGCCGGGAGCCTAGAGGTAATTTCAAGGTACATTCCTTCTCTCTCTCCCTGAAAAGGTTACAGCAGGGCAAGGCAATTCATTTCCTGATGGGAGCTCTAACCCAGAATTAGCCTGCAAAACATCTCAAGTGGTAAGGAATTTACCCCCTGTTGTAAGGCAGGAAGGCTTAAGAAAAATAAGTCTCTCTGAAAAGCCTTTCTGGGAAAAAAGAAATTACAAGAACGAAGAGAAATTAAATAGGAAAAAAAAAGTCAGTGTAAGAAGCCAGCTTGACAGCTAGTATATTCAGAATGAGAAGAGGACCAAGGGCAGCATCCAAGGGTGGGCCTTAAATTACTTATATTTACACACAATCTCAGCCTCATGTGCCTTCAAGGTGAGCCAGGACAGAAACTTCCAAAAAATTTTGCTAAAAAGAACAATTTATTTCAATTTGATATGGATCTATCTAGGTATTCTGTCATAACACCTCAAGGATCTTGCCGTGTTTCCTATTCTACTTCCAAGTAAAACATAAAGAAGGTCTTCAAAGGTGTATTAGTCACAAAATTTAAGTAAAGAATTAACCAAAACATTTCTCCTGCTTTGGTTTGGGTTTTTTTTGGTTTGGTCTTTTTTCACCTGAGGAACAACCTGTATGTTTCAGAGATTTTTTATTTTGTGCTCCTCTATCTTAATCAAAAGGGCAGGAGTGCTTGTCTCAGTTTATCCACAGGCTAGGTGCAGAAATACCAGAAGCCCAAACTTCTTAAACACAAACTACAATTCTCCAGTTATCAAGGTGCAAGTTTAAACAGGTGCTTTTGTGTTTAAGGGACACTGCAACTACTGATGTATTTTTGGACAAGATCCTTGGTCATTTGGAAACTGTGAAGGCAAGACTTAGACCTATGGGCAGCTCTGCTTCCAGAAGTGAGTCAGTCCCTCTACCCTATTTGCTAGGTTGTCTGCAAATTATGATTCACCTTTGAAAGCAAAATACAAGAAAAGACAACGTGAGAGAACTACATCTGAATCTCGAATCCCTCTCTGCACACTAAAAAATCAAACTCCCAGAGTTCCAAAACAAAACAAAGGCCAATAATACATCTTTAGCACAAAGAGAAAATTAAAACAAACCCCTTTTCCTTTACTCTGCTGGCGCTTTTGGGTTTTTTTAATATATAAAGATGTGGGCACAGCACAAGCAGTATTTTAAGAGAAGTTATTTCTCTGGAAGGGGATAACCAAGAAAGCTGCAAAGAAAACATGAAACTGAATCAGGCTACAACTTGGAAAATTTCTACCATGCATTTATTCACAGTAATTCTTTCACATGAAAGAAAATGACAAACAGACTAGTGGTCTTTATGAGGAGGCAGAGACAGCAAAGTACACAAAGCACTGAGTAAAGTATGAATCTGGAAACAGGATTTTCTTAAAACAAAAAAAATCACACAAAAACTCAATAGGATGAATCACTTGTGCTGATAGCAGCATTTATTATTCCATTTTGAAGTCCCAACTGCTGTTGGGTTGCACCTGCACTAACTTCACAGCTGAGCCACAGACATCACATGCATTATTGTCCAAAAAGACTAAAGAATCAGATGACAGAAATCATAAACTTTGAAGATCACCAAAAATGCTGATTATCACAAAAACAATTAGAAAACCTAAAAAAAGCTTTTTAAAACTAGTACAAAGGGCCTGAACAGAAAGTTGCTTATGAAAACAACACAACTAAGATATGGTAGTGTGTTGGTAGCAGTACCATCTCTAAAGGACTAACACTGACTCAATTAGACACACCATGACACACCCAAACCCACCTTTTTCCTGGTCAGTCTTTCTAGGTTGTAAGAGCATTGCTGGTATAGGAAACCTAGGTGGTGTGCTTTTCAAAAGTTAGGATGAAGTTCAGATTTGTAGTCTAAACTCACGTATTTTGACAGTGTGAGGTTTTCTATTAAGAAAACTAAGTTCTAAAAATCACTCAAAAGACAAGTTAGTCCTTAACCTCTACAGTTGTCACAAGCACAACCACCCTGTTGTAGTCATGGCATTACTTACCAGAAGGGAATGATAAGACTGGATGGAAGGAAGAGTCCAGCTCTTGCACGTAATCTAGGATTTTAGATTCTGTGCTGTACTCATTGCTGGTCAAAGTGGAGGCCGGCACCACATATGGCAACTGAGTTTTACATGGAAAGGAGGCATCTCTACATGGCAGAGTCTGCAAGAATACATAGAAACAAAGTTTAACTTCTCCTTTACTCATGTACTTCAAATTAGACCAGAAGAGGAAAAAACCCCAACAAACTAACAACTCAGGGAGTGATATCCTTTAACATGTGAATGGCAGAAGTATTCCTACAAACTTCAGACAGTCTAAGTGTGACTTACCTCCACTTATCGTGGACCATGGTGTACAATACAAAGAATACAAAAACCCCCTTCAATTAGGGGCAGGAAACAGCTGTCAAAGCTTTCAGAGAAAACGTAACTGTTTCTAATCCTTATTTTGATCTATCCTATGACAAATCCATACCCTTTAAAATTTAATTCCAGCACAACAGGCAAGATAGAGAGCACAAACAAACCTAACACGAGACTAAATAGAAGGGTCTCCTTTGTTTATCCCGTCACATTTTTACTATCAATATCTCTAGACAGTTCGAGCTCATCCATTTTAATGTAAACAACTATATTTAACATTTTAAGCACACCATGTACTTACACAAAACGAGGGCAAAGTCTTCACCTTGTTACAATTTAAACATCAGGTAAGCAACATAAACAAAAGAAGACACACAGCAATAAATACGGAGAGGGACGCACTGAGGATTGATTAATAGGTAGTAAGGGGAATTACTAGGAAGAGGAGAACTGCAAAGAAAGATTAATTTAGCTGCTTATTTGTGAGGCTTGGTCAAGTATGGAAGGTAAAATGATGGGTGGCACAGAACTGGTAGGTGTGAGATAACAGGACTGAGACAGAAGGTGAAAATGGGCAGGAGTAAGCATCAGAGTGCAGGCCATATACTGAGCTCTGAAAGACAGAAGGAAAGAACTGAATTTGATGCTACAAGAAAGCAGCAAACAGTCAAGTCTGTGCTTCAGCACATGCTACAGAAGTCCTGCAGGGAAATAATACTTCTGATGGTACTTTAAGTCTTATTGGATAGCAGTGGTAGTAATCCCCCAAATACTGACATTTTAAGGGTTTCTATAGGTCTTTGATACTTTGCCAAATGTTGCAGATCCTACAAACAGCAAGGGAGAGAAGTGGGTACTTCAAGGGTCTCAGCCTATCACTGTGCAAATAGTCACACTTATCATCTCCTGGAAAAGAGTTCCAGTGTAAAATACTGTAAGAATGAATACAACATTTTCTTATGACTTTTTATAAAAGGAGATATCTAGCAGCTGCATCAAAGGCAAGAACATCAATGAACATGACTTATATTTTCAGTACTGCTGCTTTCCAAATCCAAGAAATCTCTTCAGCTGCTTTCTCCTGCCTGAAATATTCCAGGCTGTTTTCTAGCAGTGCCACTCATGTGTTAGTGATGCAGTGATTATATTCACCACATAAAATCCCCCTCCTCTTACTGAAATCAGTCCTTCTGTCAGATGGCATCAGTGTTCACAACCCACACTATCTTAGAAAATATTCCACTAAAAAGTTCTCGTTTCCATCTCTTCCCTTCTTCTCAACAACTTCCCTACACTGCTACTGTATCTCAGAAACTATTAAAATCAAGCAAGGATGTTGTAATGCTGTGATGGTGGTGAGGTTCTCGTATTTAACTTTTTCCCCCCCACAAGGGAACATTAACAGACCTAAATCCACTTTGATCTCCATACACAGGTCTATACACAAGTACTTTCAACTTAACTTGGAAAGAATTCTTTTCTAGCCCAGGACTCCTTCAAATCAACGTTGTGTTATTTTGTGTTATTCTCCTGTGACGAACATATGGGACTCTTCATCTGTTAAACTTTAAACATCCATGAAGTGCTAGCAGAACTGGGACCTGTGTTTGGAAACACTAGAGGGATAAATGCTGAAGTGAGTTTAATGTTTCCCATTATACGGACCATTAAACTCAAGCTTAAAGAGCTTTTAAGTAGTTGCTCTACCTCCATGCACTAAGGGCTTGCTTTTCAAAAATGCACAAAAGCATATTTCCTCTTCATATTTGGTTTTTAGAAATGAAGTAGCTTCCTGAAACTCCACTATTTAAGCTGCAACTGCACCACTTCTGCTTGTCCTTTTTTTACAGAAATGAATCCACATTGCAGTAAATAAATCTCTCATTCTTTAAAAAGAAATCCCCGAATACTAATTAGTAAAATTACCTAGAAAATATATAGATAAGACCATCACATTCTGGCATCCAGTTCTATAGTCCTGACTCACTTTTTCTTGCTTTAGTTCACTCTAGCCACAAACACATTTAGATTATAGCTTAAAACTCAGCCTGCTCAAAAACATGGTCAAACAACCTCCACAGTCACAATCTATTTTGAAACTGTATCAAAATCCATCTGCCAATTTTGGTAAATGCAAAATTCTTTTCTTCAACTTACCTGTGGTGGGAATTATAAAACCTCATCCGTGAATTTGTGCATTAGTGCCTCAAATGCTCTGGCATCAATATCTAAGTAATGAAATCTTTCATTAAGCTAGTTTGTAATATAAAGAAAATAAGGACTTCTATAGAAGCAAGAGCAATTTTATTTAAATGTCTGTGAGGCTATTAGAAAAAAAAGCTAAAAAACCTGGTAGTGTCTGTGTTCCTAGCTACCAGATCTAGTTTAAGTTTCTGATGGAGTAGTTTTCCACTGGAAAAAGCTGAATTAGTGATGTTTGTCAGGAATGTCAACTTAATCAACTCTTGAGGAAAAAATTTCAGAAGCCCTTTGCTCTGGAATTAAAGTGTGTCATTCAAAGAAAGTGCTTCAACCTTACTGAAACAAAACTGAAGATCTGTTTATTGGAAAGCTAAACTCTCCCTGCTTCCAATTCCGAGCAGAACACAGTCTACAACCCAGCTGCCTTTACAGCAGTAAATTATCAATTCTTTAACACGACAAAAAAATCCACCCCACCCCAACTGAAAACAAGCCCATAAATATATCCATTCATCAACAGCAATGACAAGGGATTTCAGGAAGACCATGGCACACAGCTTTTACAAGACAGGCCCCTGTAGCAAGCCTGACCACAATGTCAGCTCTTCAGAAAGCAAGATTACTAAACTCTTATCAATTTTCCTGCTGCTCTACTATACCTTGTACATCTCCTGGAGCATTTTTCTTCACTACAGAAATACAAAATCTCATGCTTCCTGAGCTCAAGCAGATATGAATTATAATATTACATTAAATTCATTCTATTAAGGAAAACACATTGTATTTAAGAGGAAATCAGGAGTGTGCAAGCTTTAAATATTCAACTAAAATAGCATTCTGGTTTAAACTTCATAAGGAACAGTGTCAATCAACAGAATCTAATTTTCTAGAATATTATGAATTCTAAACTTGGATTTTTTTCCCTCATAGTGCCATTTTACTGAGTTACAGAAAATACAGTAAGCAAATAATTTTGATATTCAAAACAATTCTCGCACTTCTTTGTGATAAAGTGATGCACTAGGCAAAGCACAACTGGCTCATGCCTCTGTTATAGAAGGGTCAGAAAGCTGAACACTACTGGCCACCCAAACTTCTGCAGAGAAAAAAGTGTGAGTCTATGAAGTGTGCCATAATTGAAAAGAAATATATTTTGTGCTCCCTTACAAAAATTCTGAAGTGAATACTCATTTTCTGGTTTCAGCTACGGATCACTAAAACTCCTACCATTTCTGGAGACATGCCTAAATGTAACAGTACACAGACACAGTTCAATTATGCTACTGTGTATGAATCCAGTAAGTTAATTAAGTTTGCACAAATACACCCTGCTGAATACCTGTCATGTCTGCTCCTGATTATTTTTATTAAGCCCAGAAAGGCAAGGAAAATGCATTTGTTCTACCTACAAACACACCCTCAGAACTTTTCAGCAACATCAAAGAAGAGCTATCCCCCTCAATATCAAAATCTGTTCTTTAAATGGGTAACCAACTAAACTGCAGAGATTTAATTATGGGATTCAAGAGAACCACTGTGTGTATGGGTCATGACTCTTTAAATATCAAACACACCAAGTTTTAATCCTATTACCTCTCTGCTTCAGTGCTTCAGCATCTCCCTTAAAGGCCAGTCCACTGCTCCATTGCCTTTGTCTTCTGCACTCAACAACCTGCTCTGAGCAGAGCTATGACCCTCTGGCAGAGCATAAGAGTTCCATGAAACCTCTTTTAATCACAAGATAAACGTGCAGGACTTCACTGCAGAGTGCTTTGGGGCAACACACAACACATGGGCAGTGAAAGGTTAATCTGAAAGCCTCAAAGACCTTCTCTCTTATCAACATGTAATGGGAGAGAAGGTGGGCAAAGCATCTAAGACATCCTTGCATGGGAAGGTGCACAACAGATGGTGCTGACACATGCACACCGTACAACAGACTCTCCCTTTCAGGTGAAGTTTCTACAGATGTCAGATGGACAGACCTTTCCCGTGCAGGTTAGGTACAGGGAAGCAAGCTGCCTTGAGATGTAAATGAATTCATCTACCTCTGGTCCCTCTGAAGCTGTCAATAAGGATAAAGTGGCAGATCCTACGGCAGAAACCAGTTTTTCCAGGTGGAGAACAGAGACTTCCATAAAACACTAATGACAACTTACTCAGCATCCAGCTTGTCTCAAATTCAGATTTTTGGACAGTGTCCTAAAAGCACTTATAGCTTCTACCATTCTCAGAGACCACCCACCTCTCCTAAATATACATGGAGTTTAGCTTCTTTAATCCTGCTACAAGCCAATGGGAGACTTTCACCTGCTTTGTAGGAAGTGCACGCTGTCCTCTACATCCCGAAACAAAGACCTTTAGTTCAACTAGCAAATCAATTGAAAAAATCAAGGCTAATGCTTAATCTTTGATCAGTTTAACTAAAAGAAGGAAAGACATGTTAATCCATAGGGATATCTTTTCAAAAATGCCACACAGAAATTAAGAGTTGATGTGATCAGTAAAACATTACAGAACTGTCATAATAAGCTAGAGGTGTAGGACTGTGGAAAGCACACAGGTTTTTCATTCTGAAAAAAAAGAATTCACAGACTGACTGGTCTGCCACAAACCTCACAAAGGATGGATCTAGTTCCACTGCCAGTATTACAAAACTAGAGGTGCCCTTCCTGCCCACTACACTAAAGTCTTGTCACACATTCAGAATACCTGAATGCACAGAAGAACTTCTTTTCCCACTCAGGTTTCAGTGACTTTTAACCTATTTTATAGCTTCCAGTGTTAAAGCAGCTTCCACTGTTAAAGTAAGATAAAGGCTCTGCATGCTGGATAGATACAAATTATAATAGTATGTGTGTATATATATACATACACACATACTCTTCCCTAAAAACTGAAAATTAATAATGGGAAAAGACCCATATGTATTTATCAAGTGGCATCTACAGAAAGCCTCATTGGCCCCAAGCATGCACTGGGAATGCTGCTGGACACAAAAATCATAGAACCAACATAAGAATTAGATTAAAATAAGAAACGCATACCCTAGAATTTCAATACTTTTCTCCTGTCTGTTTTGGAGCCTTCTGAAGAAGCAATGACTTTTTTTCTTTCCAAATCACTAAACAAAAGCAGATATTCTTCTGCTCTCACTTAACTCCCATTTGAGACTGTGGAGAAAAAAATGTGGGAATATGCAACTGCAAGAGTTGGCAACATTATATCACCTGTTTTCTTGTGGTATCCAAAACATACGTTTTTGCATCTCAATTCCCAACTTTCAGGGTGCTGGCATCTTTGCAAATTTGAATTCTGTTTTTCTCCATGTGCCTCAGCCCACACAATCAAGTCTTCCTCCAGCAGGTGGAGATACAAATACAATGAGAATTTTCAGATTAAAAAAACCCACTGTGCTCTACAACCCTGCAAAGAAATGGACAGACCCAAAGTTGACAGTATTCAGATCTCATTGCTCTGTTGCCTCTTAAATTCACTTAGAGCTGTATAAGGTTTTCATGGATTTTTTTGTTGTGCATGTGGATTATTCTGGGTGGCTTGTGCACTGACTCACAACTGAGAAATGGCCTAAGCTCTTACCAAGCTATTTAGATAGGGAAGAAAGATAGAAAAACAGATCATCTGTGGTACTTAAGTAAATCTGAATTAGGGGACAAGCAGATTTGGCCCCGAGGGATGTTTCAAGTTCCTGAGGATATCAGATGGTGACAGATAAACCAAACACCCTGCATCCTGTTTTAATTTATTTGCAGTCTATCTTGTCAGTCTGGAAGGTCGTCTAGAGTTTCATAGCATTCTATATTTTCTTTCAGATACCACCCTGTGTAAGCAGAGCAGGTGTAGCCCTCTTCAGAAAAGAAATACAGCTAAGTAGAGGACAATATAGGGCATCTCTCAACAGGCACTAGGAGGCTAATAGGTCACTACATACTCATTGTAAATGTATGTGGCATGGCAGTAGATAAGACAAAAAATGTGGCTGTCTTCCCAGTGACCTTATGAACTGACAGATGGGATAGCAGTTCACAGTTTCATACTCTGCTTTTCCTATCATGGATATTGGGGGGTGAAGGGAGAGAATGAGTTTCTCAAATGAATCTGAAGAGATGTGAGGGACAACACACTGAAAGCCATTCAGATGCACAGAGAGTACAACCAGATATCACAAAAAAACCCCCAGACCCAAGTTCCTCAAAGCTATCCCAACATTTTTTAATCTCCCACACATGGGAAGTCTGCATTTTTGCTGTGATTCTCTGGTCAGAATTCTTTAGTCACTGTCTTTCTCAAATTACTCTGCACAGCAGCACTGCCCCTCAGCACTGCCAGGCGCTGCTTGCTGGTGGTTTTTGAACCAGGCACCATGAAGAAGCTGGAGCTGCAAATTTCAGAAGATTCAGTTTTCTCCTCTGACTTTGGCAATCTGGTCTCTGTTAACTCCACATCTGCTGCAGGGAGGTGGCAGCAAGCCTTCCATAGCTCCAGTTTGCTTTCAGGCCATTGACCTTAAAGAAATGGGGTTGCCTACCAATTGTGGGTTACATAAATATGTAAAACTTGAGGAAATACAGGAGAGGCACTTGCTAGAGATGACACACTAAAGTTATGTTAAAAATCAAACTATTTTCCATGCTGCTAAGAAGTAAATCCTTTTTTCCATGAAAGACCAGAGGAAATTTGCTAGATTACTACTAGGAATATAAATGCATTTTTAGAGAAAACCAGGTATCAATCCCAGAAGCCATTCCCCATTTTACCCTTGGACATCTGCCTAATCCAGCAGCCAGCCTGGGCTGATAGCCAGTGCTCTTCCATTACAGGCTGAGCAATCTCAACAACAGCTAGGAAACCAAGTGTAGCAAGTGCAGGACTAACAAAGTGACAGGCCCTGTTAGCTAAGATTTATTGAATGAAACAATACACTGTTGATGGCTCGTAATTCAGAGCCCCGATACCCATTTAGATTTGATTGTCAGAATGTGCTGGAAACGTCCAGTCTAATTTTATCACTTACTTCCCCAGTGGAATCTCTGATCCTCTGTTTTTAACCAAAACTGTGTAAGAGGCTTTGTTCACTGCTTTACCTTAATTCTGAAAACTTGAAATGAGTTTGGCACTGGCATGAAGACTGAAGCTAACAGTTTGATTGCTGCCACCATGTCTTATTTTCTCTAGGAATTGGAGCACATCTATCTATAGCCTGTGGTGGAGTTCTCCACATTGCCCCCTGGTTAACTTCCCCACGGAAAGGACATCGAAAAGCAGAGTCTAAATACAGGGTTTTGAGCTGAGAGATGCAGTAAGCACAAAGAGCATTCCCTACAGGGGTGTTTTACCACATTGTCTTTGGGACATCTCTGCACTTTTGGTACAGAGACACTGGAGTTGGGTTGGTATATGGTCAGAGATGTCAAGAGCATGGAGCAGACACACAGTTGCTTCCAATATTTGAAGTCTTAAATAGTAACCTGAAAATGCACTGTTTGCTTGCATTCTACAATCAAAGGTAAATTGCAAATACATCTTTTTAATCTATAAGTCAGGGTAAACTACTGAGCATGCAGAGCAGCTCAGCTCTATGGCTTGGTTGGAGGTAAAAATGTAAACTCTGCCTTGAACTCCCAATGCTGGGCTGCAGAAATGAAGTTTCTGATCACAAGGCTCCACTGCTATTCTCTGAGCTGCACTAACACTGGCCCAGTTCTCAAAACGCAGAGACACAGGCAGTGCTTGTAGAAATATGAAATACATGAGCCTGAAAGACACATGCTTCCAGAAAAGCTGATAGTTTAAAACAGTTTAGAAGAACTGATAGTTTAGAAACTGCATCTAGAGTGAAAACTCCTCATGTTTAAGTAGAAGGAAGGGAAAGTCCTGGAGTCTCTGGCTAAGGATCCATCTCCATAGCTGCCAGAAGCACTTGTGGAATTGGAGGCATCACTCAGTCATGAGGCCTCCAATATCTGCAACAGGACACGGATTGGATTGAATGGGAAACAATAAAGTCCAAGTCAGCCACAGACTCCTTGTTTAATACAAGGAAGATGAAAAGCTTAGGTATCTAGGAGGAGGTAGAGCTCTCAACTCTACCCCCAACTCCCCTACCAAAACCTCCAGGGCAGGCTGCCAAGTCATTAAGCCCCACTGCCAGGAAGCTAATAAGAAATCGGACAGTTTTTCAATAAAATATCTTGCTAAAACTAGGACACGTCTGCAGTTTTTGCAGAGAATGCTGAATCAGCACAAAACATCCTTGCAAGGGAAATTTCTCCCTAGACCACTGGCACACTTAGTAAATCCTAGGCAGTTAGTCGAGGAGACATGGAGATATAACACACTTTTAAAAGGCAAAGGAAAACCAAGAAATTAAAACCATTTGGGATTAGTACTGCTCTAAAGAATGAGTTCGTACTGTCTCTGCTCCCAAATTAGAGCGTTGCTTTAAGCACCACAGCTAAACTCATTATGTATTCTTACCAGAAATATGCTATTAATATCAGATGCAAACAGATAGCCTTGTCCTGCACAACAAAGAGTTTGGCTTTCTCCATTTTAAAATATTAATTCCTCTGTAATGCAGAAAATTTTAAGAGTTTTAAAGTATTTTTTTTTTAGTGTGTCATGAAAAAGGCAATATGACTAATCAGAAACAGCAAAAACAGAAACAAGATTAAGATATTGCAATTCAATTTCCTAGAAAATAATGTGCCACCAGCTGTGTAAACTTTCTCGTAGCTAAAACAAATATTCTGAAAACAAGTGGGCAGCTGATTTACACTGTAGCATGTCTCCTCAGCAGTCAGGCCTCCCAGGGAACCTCTCGAGCTGTCTCCTAGACTGTACAAGAGCTTTAAAGATAGCCATACAACAAACTTATTTGATAAACAGAACTCTGAGTGATCTTTAATTTTTACGTTCAACTCGTTAACTCTGAGCTCCTGCTGACACACCCAGTTACTCCTGCCTCACATACTATACGGCCCCTGGACACAAGGAATAACCAGCACAGCATGCACTTATTCTTCTGGCATACCAGACAAGACACATGCAGACTCCAGCAGCTGGACTCTGGTTTTCCCTCCTACAGAGAGAGGCCTACCTGCTGATTCCAGTGACAGGCACTGTGCATTCTGTAGAGTTTCCTCTTCTGGAAACTATGAAGCGGCCTTGTACGGGCAGATGTGCTCACATTAGTTACAGAGACAGATCTTAGTCTTGTCCTGTCTCTTCTTCTTTTCTTGATGTGCTGATGATCAAGCAACCAGCTGCTCGAAGAGGACACCTCTCTGTTGTCTGAAGCTCTGCAATTTCATGATTAATGGGGGGAAGAAATACAAAAAGTTAAATATGTTCCACATGCAGAGGTCAAGACTTCACACACTGATTAGCATTAGCTATCTAATTCTAAGAAATTTTATAAGCACTAAAATGTTTTAGCACAGTGTTTCATGAAACAGTGTATGTGCTTTGTTTGTTGATGAATTCTATGGTCAGGAAAGGAAGTTTATTTTTCTTGTTCACCTTTCTGCTCATGGAAACAAATGTCAAAATGAAGCCCTCAAGCATATAGTGGGGTTTGGTTTTTCCAAATTCAAGAACTCTCTAACACTTTTAACATCTATGAGTCTTAAGTTACAATTAATATTTCCCTTCAAACTGACATTTCACTCAAGACAGGAGACCTAGAGTCCTGCCCTAATACTTTCAAGATTTCTTAGTTTTGGTCAAGAACTGAAACCTAAGCAAAGCTTTACAAACCAGTGACCATTCAGCATAGGGGCTGAAACTCACTGTAAAGCACTTGTATCAAAATTAGGAACTCTACACACTCTGTGTGGAGTCAAAGTCAAGTGCAAAGACGTGGCCAAGAGCAATAGAAAACCTTTCACTGATACGAGGAACAACCTCAGAGCACTCTCACCAATCTACAGCCAGTCTGCTCACCAAAACACATAACTTCCACAAGGCAAGAATTCAAAACACTCCCCCAACTGGGTAGGGGAAGACTGGACTTCCCTGTTATAGGTATTCCTGAATTCATTGTGTTGCTGTAGGAACATCTGCCTGCAAAGTTGAAGGCTTGCTGCAAAAAGCACTCAAGTGTGCATTTATTGTTACAAAACTTAGAAATTTGATAACAACTCTAAACTGCCCAAGCAGTGCAAGTATAAAAGATATTTTGGCCTTGGTTCATGACAGGTCATCTATCTGCACAAATTATTATTTTGTCTTATGACAAGTCACAGTTTTATTAGTAGAACTGTAACACAACAAAACATGAAAAGTAATTAATTACAAGGCCACTTACACATCTTTTTTGACAAGTGGTATTCTTCTAATAGTACATTTTTATTAAACAGAAGGGCTTATTATGATAGTGTGATTAAGCACCATCCCGTGCTGTGCTGGTGAGGCAACAAGGCTTTATGGGCTTGAATTTGAGCTGTCCTTCTGACACATCAGAACAATCTAATAAGCAACACAGACTCATGAAAAAAAATGTGCTAATTAACAGAGGAATGGTACAAAGTATTTAAAGGAACGTATCAGTAAGTGCCAAGAAAAAGAGCAAAATACTGAAGCATGACATTCTTAATGTGAACACTGCATTTTTACAGCTTAAGAAATACAAGGTTTACAGTCCATGCAATGGATTTCTTAAAATACTTTCTCTGAATTATCAAAAACATTTTTTAATTATCCACCTTGTAGTCAGATGGTCCCAAGCCCAACTTCTAGACTTTCACATGAGAGACAACTTGGACAGGTAAATTAGAACAAAAAGCTCCTCAGTCTGGCTCCTCAACTTCTGTGATTCCTGTCTTTTTTCTGGTGGTCTGCCCAAGTCCCTGCAGTCTCTGCCAAGTGCTCTACAAACGCTCCTGTGCCTTCCAGCAATGCACAGCTCCATTTTCAGAGCAGAGATCTCAGCTCCATGGCCTGGAGCTCCAGTAAAGAGCAGTGTGGTTTCCCTGTCACCTGTGTAAACAGGCTTCCCAATCAAGGTTTGAGTTGCCCATTTAGTTTGATCTTAGTTTCGGTGGTTTTCCAAATGTGATTCTACAGTAGAGCACTGCCAACTGAGAAAGTCATGAAATTTCTGGGAACACTCCCTTCAGAGCTCACATGTTGGCCTTTCTGGCTCTTGACCTTAACTCCCAGGTGCACGCCTGCACACAAAGACACCAGACAGGCACTGTTTGCACTGAAGTAATGAACTTTTTCCTTCCTCTCCCCTCATAACAAAGCAGCTATCACTAGCTTAGGAAACTGCTTCTATGAGCATCTACCTTCATGCAATGCATCTGGCTAATCTTGGCACTTAGATTCAATTAAGCAAAGAAAAGCTACATAGAGAAATGAAGGCACTGATGTAATTAAACATTGACCAATGGCAATTCAAGGTTACCCACATTCAGTCAGCCAGGAAATGTACATGCACCTCCACTTCCACTGGGAACAGTCCAAACTCCATGATTACCAACCCCAAAGAACTTCATGCTTAGACCTACTTGAAACATGCACTACTGTGTTTTTCACATCAACAGCCTACAACTAATTTCAAGAATTTACTTCAATAAAAATCACTTTCATCCATTCTTTCCCCCCTCAAAATAAAAAAAAAAAAATCCCCTTTCCATTTGATTTTGATTTCTACTTTCTGAAGTACTGAATACAGTGAGAGTGAGCTCTAAAAAAAGCAAAGGGAGATGCAGCCAAGAATTAAGTTAACTGCAGCTTTTAATTGTCTCCATTGATTGAACATAAAGCTACTACAATAAAATACCTCAAAAAATTTGAAACACACTCAAAACCCCCCCAAGAAGTAGGAGGGAGCAAATTTCCCTGCAAGATTCTCAGATAACCACCCTGTATCACATTTAATTACCATCTTTAATGAACAGTATTTATTTGCAGATTTCTAAACACTTCATAAGCATTGAAAAGTTAAAATTACCCATTTAGCTCATCTAGAAAGCTCTCAAGTCTCTCAGATCCCCTTCCAACAGCTAACTCATCAAATTCCTGTTCAGAGCTACAGCACTGAGAAAATCTTCCAAGTCCTAACATTCTCTGGGCTTTTTATAGGTCATGAGTAGAAAACAACCAACCTTAGAGAGAGTGGTCCATGAGCAAACAACTGTGTTACTTATGAAATGGAAAGAAGACTGATTTTGGACAGTGCCTAATAAATCAGAAGAGAATTGGCTTGAAGTGACATCATTAGAGTCTCTCATCAAGAAGTCAACTTCATACGCTTCTAGAAATATTTTTAAAAGGAACTATTCCTCAGCTGTCTCATGAAAAAGTCACAGATTGAAGACACAGACTAAATTACTCTCTTCTTTCACATACTCATCTCTAATAGGAATTCCTATTTCAGGGCTATTTTTACTTCAGAACTCTGAGGAATCTTTTGATTTTCCTCCACACTATCTGTAAATAACTGATACATCAGGAGCATGGATACTACATGACAGGACCCCTTCATCCTTATATTTAGGGCAGAGTCACAAAATTGCTGTGGAACAGACAGCAGCTAAAGAAGGTGCCCATCCAAGCTGCTCATTATAATCCCTTTGTGGGAGGCTACAGCCTCTGCAGCAAAGCTGCTGACACAAACGGTGTGGCCAGCTCTCCTTGGAGAGAGAGGAATTCCAGGGAATTACATTCTGCTGCACACTCTGCCATAAACACCACAGCTCGAGCTGGGAACAGTTTCTTCACCCACCTGATCTTAATTAAGACCTGTGAATACCAGCAACCCCTCCATCCTCAAAAATCACATTACCAGCATCAGGAAAAATATCCGGCGTACCCAAGTCTTTTGTAAGATAGAACTGTAGTCAATCACCTTAAACCTGTTTTGAGACTAATACTTATTACAGCTTGTACTGTACTTAAAATCTCTGAATAAAGGATGGAATTACTTTGGGTAAAAGATGGACTACTGCTGAGAAACATTCTTCTACAATATTAATTTCAAGCTACAGTCATCCTGGAAGGTATGTCCATTCAGAACAAAAGACCTCAAATGGAAAATAGTATCTCCAGATTCCTGAAAATGCAGGTGGCAAAGACAAATTTGGCCTTTTATTGAAGACCGATGTGCTTAAAATTAATGGCACTTGCCACCCTGGCACTGACCCATGCTGGGACACAGGTGACATTGCTTATGTACTCTCCTAATCTAGTTTGTCACTTTTCCAGAAATAAAGCTGTACTCGCTATGACAGAAGGCTTTAAGTCTCAAACAATCACAAGCAGTGTGTTGCTGTACTCTTTCATTACTTCACAGATATATTCATCTTCCCAGTGGCTGCATACTTTTATGATGTCTCAAAGAACAACACAAAAACCTACTACTTTCAAACTTATAAACAAGACTTGACTTCTCTTGAAGCTTACAGAAAGCAGCTCTCTTTTCCTGATTTAATACTGTAATGATTTTTAGTTCCATCTACATAACTTTACCAAAGGTTATTCTCAAAAAAAAAAGAGAATTACACTGTCACCTACCTGAAGGAGATGCCATTGACCAGCTGTCTGTGCCTGCAGATCTTGGAGGAAAGAGATGAAGAAGCTGGAGACAGATTGAGTGGAGCGATTAGGCTGCTGATGATTTCACTCAGTTGTGCACTCTGGAAAAAAAAATTTAAAAAAAAATGTAGTCAGACTTTTATCCAGACTCAACAGCTCAAAGGTCTTGGGGTTTTGTTGATTTCCTGCACAGGATTCCAGTCACATACATCATGGAATAATCACATTTAGTTTCTTCTTGTGAATAATCAACTGTTGCATGGTTTTTCTTTCACAATTATTATGTTCAACTACACCAGAAAAACCAGGATAACACCAACGTAACCCTGAACAACCTGCCAAAGACATTGTTTATACATTTGAGTAAGTAGCACACAAAACACATTAGCAATCTTACTATTGAAACCAAAGGTTTTTTAAAGGGAAAAAGAAACCAGAACACTGCACAGCTGATGTTACAACAGCTGCAGCCAGAGCTGGTAACTGGCCATTTGACAAGCATTTCACCAGGGGGGAAACAAGGTCAACTGTCTATTCATTGTACATTTTGTTCACTCAAAGTATTTTTCTTCTTAAAAGAATCCTCTTCATTGCTCACTGTACTTTGACAAAGGTGTTTTTACAAAGGGAGTGTAACTACAGAAGGACTACTATAACCACAGATAAAATGAATAAAATATTCTGGTATCCTCAAAAATAGCAACAAGAAGACCCCCAAAAACATCAAGACCCGGACTTTCAGAACTGCCCCAAAACAAATGCAGCCAACTTGTTAAGACTAAGAGCTACTGCTTGCAAAGCAATGAATTGTGGACTGACACCAGATAACATTTCTCAACTATGTTTTTGTTTTAGAAGTCAGACCTTAAAGGCAGACAAAAAACATAGTTTTCTTAGAGGAAACTGTGTTTTGCATACTAAACAGAAATTAAATGTATCTGAAATTGCATACTTCTTTTTTAAAAAAACTTTTACATTACTTTGTAGGATTTTCATTCAGAACTAGGAATGTTTAAAACATGCATTGTTAAAGGTTACCCAGTAAGCTTTCCTCACATTTTCATTTTACATTTACATTTTACATTTCTGCAGAAAGGGGAAGAAAAACTTTTTTTCCATTTTATTACAACTCACATATTTTCTGTTCACGTTCAAATGATGCGATCAGGTGAAAATTTCACATCAGAATAAAATACTCAGGGATGGATATTGAAGCACAGAAACAGCAAGTCAATTACAAAAGGTCTGGACAAAGCAAACGAGATGCCAGTAAAATATTTAGCAGATCGATTTAAAAATCTCAACAAAATTCAATCTGTAAGGAGAAAAGTCTCTATGACATATAAAAGCACAAAAACAATGGCAGACTTCCAAAACACAAGGAAAAACATACATGTTTTTAAAAAACTTGGAAAGCTCTAAAAAGGACTTGAAAACAGTAGTAATAAAAATTTCCAGCCTCAGTCACTTCCATTCTATACGAGGGGTTTTTTTGTTCACAAGTAAAATTATTTTTAACACAGCAATATCTTAACAACAGACTGAAGAATCCTGTGGGAATATCTGTGGATGTATTTCAGCCTACAGCATTGCTGCTCCTAATACTGAACAAGAAACTCAGACCCTCAGATTTAAGGTTGATTTACAGAACTGGTAGTCAAAAAGGAAATCAAACCCCAGAGCCTTCTGTGGTGTAAAGGGAAAAAATCCGATGTGATCTGTGACATCCGTTAAATGAAAAACAGCTTTAATTCCAAGTAATTTTCAGATCATCAAAGTTCTTGGACCAAGTTTGTGGCTACCTGGGGACCAGGAAACACATCACTACGACTTTAATTGTCAAATGCCTTACTGAAAAGTGTGTTTAATTCCCCAAGCAACCACTTAAAAAGGGGCAATTTACCACTTTCTAAAAATGCTCTTTGGTTTACCTTATGCAATTGCTGGCACTGAGCATATAAATTTCCTGTTTCATTGCTTCCCCACTCCTGCCTGTGGTGGATAAGATCTATCAAACAGGGGGAGCATTTTAAAAGCAAGAAAGTATGATTGTCAAATAAGAAAAATTGGCACAGAGATTCACTAGTACCTAAAGTTACTTTTATCCCATTGAAAAAAACACGTGGATGACAAGGATTTTATGTGGAGCAGAAGATCAACATATTGATGCCCCACAGTGGCTTTGTCATGTTTGCTTTACACAGACTGCATACATTCATTCTGAAAACAAATTTCCTGTACCTCCTTCAGCAATGTGATCCTATCATGTTCTTTATGTACTTTCAAGCAAAAGAAAACCCTGCTGGAGTCTACATCATATTCCCTGGAATTAACCTTGGAAGCTTTTAAAAACAACAAAGCAGAACTCCCCTCACAACTACGCCTCTGCTATGCTTGTTAAGTACCTGGAATTCCTCAGCTTGGAACCTGATTCCCATGATGCTTGAGGAGGCAGATCAACAACCACATTCTGCTGGGTTTTTTTTTTATTTCAAGTGCAATGTATCTCCACTGTCAGCTGTGTGAGTATTTCCTGAAACAACCTGTGGCAACTCTACACTGACCCTAACTACAAAGCAGAGGCAGGTTTGTGGATGGCTCTTGGGAGTTGTTATGTGGCCGCTTGAATGGAAACAAAGCGGTGACACAGACACATCAGAAATAAAAGGCTAATTTGTAAATCTGGTGTACAGTGTAGTTATTTAAGCCCTTCGATTAATCAGCACCCCCTCTCAGGACTGCAAAATATCTTCCCTTTTGGAAGTCATCACCATGGAACCTGCCCTGTTTCTGAAGTCAATCATTTGGCTCCACTGCCCGTTCAATTCCGTTTTACTTTACCTGTTTTTCTATGTTTCGTAAGAGCAGAGTGGGACTGCTGGGTGACATTTCAAAGTCATGCTCCGGCAAAGAATCCTGTCTCTCAACGGCAGCTTGCGAATTCCCTGTGGCGTTTAATAAAGCTTCTTGGTCTGTCAATTGTATTTGCTTCTTCAGAATGTCTTTTGGAAATGGGAATTCTTCTAAGATCACCATCCCCTAGACAACAGCAATTGAACACAGTTGGTTGACAACAGATTAACCTTCCTAAATCACTTTTAAGGGGCAGTCAAACCTGGCACGTCCCTCTTAAATCCTCCCAATGACTTTGGAACACTTAAACTAGATTTTAAAAACATTTAACAGCTAAAATATAGAAACAGTAGGCATTTTCCTTAATGAAAAGCTGTATCATTTTTGCTATTCCTTATAGAAGCAATCACTCCAGTGTTATACCACTGTTTAAACATCTGTGCCAAAATTCAAATCAGAAATTCATACTTATTAGAGTATTATATGATCCTTTGCTACTGATTTAAGATAGCTTCTCTGTAAGAAACAACCTCCCTTTGATCTGAAGTTGGTTTTACTCTTCGCAGTCAATAAATTTTGCAGAGGTATTTTAAAGTGCTCTATTTCTCTTATTCCTATCCATGTTCTAAGTAAAACATCAAGGCAGTTATTTTTTATGTAGTGGAGATTATACCATTCAAAACAAAAGCCTTTTACAATTTAATAATTTTCTTTAAGGTGAGATTTTTTAGAGTTTCATAATTAGAGGTAACTATCCTAAACATTCTACCAATCTCATTACTTTTCAAGACCATCTGCACAAATGTGGTATCAGACATGGTGTAACATCTAGAATGCCACCTAACAAAATAAATATAACTTTACTTGGTAAGGAAATAATGGAGATTCAGAGATGGAACTAGGAAAATAACACCCCTATTGAGTTTTCCACATGGCAGAGTAGAAAAATAGAAGTGTCAAGTACAATCCTAGGTAATGTTTCAGTTGGTTTGTTTTAAAAATTTAAAATGTTCGACAACATACAAGCAAAAATTACTTTGTAACAGTCAAACCCAGTCCTCAAATAGTCCCTTAATTTGCCATTATACTGAGTAAATAAATTTATTACTCAGAAAAGGCTATCAAACCTCTCTTTTTCCCAAGAGAAAGAAAGTACTTGCTTTAAAGTACTTCAATATCAAGCAGATATTGAAGGAATGGGACCATTCAATTACATTGCCTCGAATTTGTATTTCTAATAAGAATATTCCACTAAACCCAAGGAACAAGGAAGACTGTCATAATGTAAACAAAAGGAAGCCCTATTATTATTTCTTTAAGCAAGACAGACTTCACCTAAGTCGTGGCTGTGGAAAACTAAGGATCCTGTAGCTCTACTCAGACTTTGACTCCTGCCTCAGCAGCCACTTGCCTTAAAACATGAAAGCAAATCTCAAAGAAACTTCAAAGGGAAGACCAGGAGAAAACATGAAATTGTCCTGTTCTCACCATGTCTCTAACTCATTCCCTTGTTTGAGTTATAAATTCAAAGCCTCAAACAAAGATATTCTCTAAAAACAAACAAAAGTGATTTGAAAACTTGCTTTAACATCCAAAAGGGGCACAGAGATTCTGAATGTCCATCAAATCAATGCCAGATTTTCTACACAGGTGGTTTTCCATTTCCAGCAGATAGACAGAAATCCAGACAGAATTATACTACGGGTAGCGTGTTCAAGGAAATTCAAGCAGACATCTAATTTTTGTTTGCCACAACAGGAGGACAAGGTACCTTAATAGCTTCAGACTCCGTTAGAATTTAGAATCTTTAGGTCTTTTTAGTAAAACAATGATAGGTCATGACCACAGAGAGTCTAGAAAGTCTAAAACCCAAATTCTGAGGTCAGAGGAACAGGAAGACACACATGAAAAGTGGTGAAAAGAGGGACGCACACACACACATGCTTCCACTGGAATTTTATTTTTTGAAGTTGCAGAAACCTGCTTACCAGGCAAGGAAAGAGGAAAGCCAAAAAGGAAGAGGAAAAATGACAGACTGTATGGAAAGGGAGAGATGGAATAGGCACAGAAGAGGAAGAGTAAAGAATTAGAAGACTAATATGGACTATATGGGAATTATAAGTTAAGTGGGTTACAACCAGCAGGCTTTGGCAATGACTGCCCTTCCTCCCAAATGGAACTGTTTTTTTGCAGATATAAGGACTCAAAGATCCAGGGCTGCTACTTCTGTGTGTGTAGAGATGGAGAAAACACAATGTAGTAGGCCAGGAAACAGCCCACAATTTACTCATCTCCCTTCCTATTGCGTTATAGTGTTCCAGGAGTGGCATTTTGCTTGAAATCATTGTTCACTGGCTCTGAATCACATTTTTTTCCACTCAAAACACATGAAAAACACTCTGAAACCATTAAACACAGGGTACAAATTCTAATGATATTCTGTAACTCCTTTGCAGCCACTAAAGGAAAACAAAGAGCTCTTCTATCAGCCCACTTGTCCTTCTCTAGCTGCTGCATTGGTGTATTGTAAACACGTACACGAAAAAGTCCCATCTGAAGAAAATAGGTGCCTTCTTTCATTATGGGACACAATGCCAAACACTGAAAATCACAGCTGGTAAAAGGGGCATGAAGTTTGCAAAAAGGAATGTTCCTAAAAATCTCCACCAGGAGGATGACTAGGCTCCAAGCCAACGTACCACCTAATGTGAAGAAAATGCTTGACTAAAAGAATGTTCTTCCTCTTATTCCTCTGATATTTATTTCTCCATCTCCTGTAGCTCATCAGATCTATGACATCCTAAAGGCTGACAGCTTTTGGGTGTAAGAGTGTGCATGTTTCTGGTATTTAGGGCTACAGTAAAACATGGGCATTCTCACCCTTTACCAAAGTACAAAATCTCCTTTCAGTTCTGTGGGCACACACCGTCCAACAAAGGCTTTCCAATTCTTTGGTAAAGAAAAATCTGACTGGGGAGAAGTTGGATATGAAAAGAAAGGCTTTGAGGGCGAAAGGAGAAGAGGGAATAATTTTTCTTCATGTGTTCAGAGAAAATTGATCTCTGGGGTGATTTACCTCTCCTTTTTAACTCCTTTTCAATCTCATGTGTAGCCCCACCAAGTCTGAAGCATCTTTTGGCTACTCTCAATCTGTGCTTATCTGACCCCAACACAGACCAGACAACCTACATGAGGCTTATCAACGGCGAGTTAAAGCACTCTCTTCTAAAACCCCTCACTATCACATCACCAGAATTATCACAGGTTTGGCTTCTTGTACATGAGAATGACCTGAGGAACCCATTAAATAGATAGCTAGATTACTAATGTTTTAGGAATGTCACTTTCCCACTGTCTAGCCAGTTCGACTTACAAAAACTAGTACATGAGTTACACACATTGGAATTTTAGTAATAATTAATCCTTGACCTGTTCAAAATGCTGTACAAACATTAACTAGCTAATCCTCAGAATAAACATGCACTGCAAGTAACAAAAAACCCACCCTGGAAAGCCCACAACACAAAAATGAATAACCAGCCATCACACCTGAAAACCAAATCTCGCCTCTTCTGCAGGGGGAAAAACTAGTGTGATAAATGAGTACTTTGTGCTGTGCCCCTGAAAGCCACAAGTCACTAACTCTCTTAAACAGGAAGGTACAAGTTCCCAAGTCCCAGTCCCATATGAGTGCCTTTAGGGTACAACACTTTTTAGCTCCTGATGTCTTTCCCATTAACTTTGCATGCAATAGCCTGCACAGACACAAGAAGTCTAGGGCAAAACAAACCACAAGAAGGAACCAAATAAATAAATACTACCAAAAAATGATCAAAAGATGATTTGAAATGCCCATTTATGAGCTTACAGACAATACCTTGGTGGCACGTATCTGCCTGTGAAGGTCAGTTAGTTGTTGGATTTTGTATTCTAGTTCTGAAATCTGGGCTTGAAGCCACGTCCAACGGCTGCCAATTCTAGCTCTGTCTGCAAGCCACTTCCATTCAGAAGTATAGCTGCTGTGAAGACAAAATGCTGGTTAGTCCAAAAATAAAGATAACCACATTTGCACAAGAACATTTTTGACAGCTGCTCTGCCTCATGTTGCAAGCATCTCAGTTGCTTTCAGAAAATATCTGACTATACCCATCCAGTTTCACATCAGCTTATTCCTGTAGCAACAGAACTTGCCCAAACCAGTAGAATTCATGTTCATTGGCTACTCCCAGACTAAGCTAGTTTTCTGCTCAGGATTATAAAACTCAGAGCTGGATAAATTACCAAACTGTATCAGTTAAGGCTGAATACAGATGTGTAAGGAATTCCAGTAATTCCATCAGCAAGAATCCAAACTCTTACACCACACTCCCTCCCACAAGCTTTCACAAACACTATTTGCTAACAACTGGAATCTAATAAAACACCATCTAGCAATGACCAGCTAGATATCAGGTCACTGCCCAAAAAATCCAACTAAGTAGTTTAGATTTCTTTTATTCAAGCTATTTTATAAATACAGCTGTGTCAGTTTAGTATAGTCAGGTCACTATTACTGTTGATTAAAATAGGTGTATTTTGTAACACAAAAAATATGCTTCCTGGTACTTGATATTGTGATTAGTTTAATTTTATTATGCTGAATTCATCACTGGTATCAGCAAACATTACTCAATTTACCTATTAAACAAATGAGTGGTAACACTCAACAAACAATCTTAATATTCAATAAATTTAAGCAAGAGAAAGACAATGCAGTATTCTAGCATACAACTTCCACTACTATCCTACTATTATCTGAGTTTATTAATTTACAGAAAATGACTAGTGTTTTTTTCCCCACTGAAGTTGACAAGTAGCTAAAAGAACTGTACAAACAAAATCAAATTTCTGGGAAATAGGGGCTTTTACTCAAGTTATTGGGAAAACTACTGGATCTAAATCCTGGGTGACACTGTACGTAAGTTCTGCACAGGCAAAATACATGATCTCCTGTCCCCCAGGCAGGGAGGAGCACTGAAGTATCACAAAAGATACCAAAAAAAAAAAAAGCAGATGCCAGTGAATTGGTGCAGGAACATCACAGAAGTGTAATTGTTTCATGCAAAATTTTGTGTCAACTACCTCAACAATGAAAGAAAGATAATACAGCACCCTGGGGAAGATGGTAGACATGTCCTGGCATGAGTAAAGAAATGCCAAATGTGAGAATCCTAATATTTTCAGGGCAAAGACTATAAAACACAATATGACTCAAAATTTCAGAACTTGCAGTCTCCTTAAGCTATCATAAATAGAAAGAATAGACAGTACATCACCTCTAAAATACAAAATATCTTCCTTTTAGATAGGACATTGAAATGTCCTATCTAAATCCAAATTCTATGTGGAAGTAATGTGGACTATCATCAAAAAGTAATTCAAAGAACTCTATTTTCTCCTAGGAAAAAAAAGGCATATGAAGTCATCTTGTGAATATCTATTTTTCTGACAACCCCTTTTTATTTCTCTTTGTTTTCCCATTATTATCAGCAAAAATAGTCCTGGTGACTTATGCTTTCATCAGGTCTTCTGAACAGGAACTTCTCTGGGATTGACAGCTTCTGCATGTATGTGCTCCTGGAATTCATAAAATACACTTTCCAGGGAAAGGGAGGGAATCTGCATTCCTAGTTTTCAATCAAATGTGTTCACACAAGTGTGGTGGTTGGAAAAGCTAGGATTTGTCTTAGGACCCTGGGCTGGCAAAAAGCTAGGTCTAAGAAAGAGCTGCTTAATGAGGCTGTTATAAATCCCTCAGTTAATCATTTTAACAAAAAAAGGTAAAGAGGAATAAAGAGGATAACTGAAAAAAAAACCAACAGGTTGGGTTGAGGTGTTTTTTTCTGCTCCTTTCTCAAAAGGCAAACAAACAAATGAACTATGAAACCCCACAAATCAGGACATTGTAATAAGAAAGCCCAGGAAAAAGGAAATAAAATCACAATGACATTTCCCTCCCAAGCCAGATGAGACAGTCTGGGGAGACAGGTGAGCTACCCTCAAACAAACTGAGGCAGAAAGCAAATGAGGAAAAAAAGAAGAGTGCCCTGTACACAGCTGGGAAACCAGAAGCAGAATGGAAAGGGCCAGAGCTCGTCTTATTTCCCCTACACTGCATGAAATCACCATGGCATAAGGGAATCCAAAAGCAATACCCAACCACAGCTGATAGAACCAGGACAGTTAAATGTTAAGACAAATAAATTATATCCTCTGTATATTACTGTGGTACATATAAAACAATAAACCTCTGCAAAGCTACATCACCAGTTATTTTTCAAAAATGAGTTTGCATTTTTTCTTTAAACACAATATTAAATCTTGAATTAATTGGTTGCATTCACTCTTAAATACCTTACGTACATTTTTGCTTTGTTCTAAAATACAAGTATTTCATAAGGCTTTAAACTGTACTATATAACTAACAGGATTTAATTACACCATGTAACAATGTCCTTAGACCCCACTCTAAGGAAAAGTTTCCACTGAACTAAGCACAAACATTTTAAGCTCAGGCTTGGCCTGAGCAATTTTAGCTTCTCTCTCCTGCCAGCTCAGGCTGCCCCATGGCCATTGCCTGCATGAGGACTTGGGCAGCTCCACGGTGACACGGATTAGAGAGTTGCTCCTCAGTAATTTCAAATTCAGAGGCAGGGAGAAGGGATCAAGTTTAGGTCTAGATCCCTTTCCCAGTTTTAATGCCTTGCAGACAGGATAAGAGGCAAGACCACTGCTGAACTCTGTTCCCATTCCTGTCACTCATATTCGTTTGATCTTGCATTATTTATTTACCATTTTTGCTTCTAAGTCTATTTCTCTACACATTATTTAGTAAAGTTTCCTCAGAGGAAGATAAAATCACTATAAGCTATGCTCACATTCCTGAAGTGAACTGTTTGCATGCAAAGCAGTATGGTCACTTGAGTGACAAATGACAACCTACTATTGTAAATAAAAAAAAAAAATCATTAAAACTCGCCCATAATCTGTTCCTGAGATGCTAGAGAGTAAAGCTCAACATTCACTCAGTAAAGAAAGCTGTTTCAAGGTGGCTCCAGAGAATTCATTAATTCTGAAAATCCAGAGAAGAAAAAAAAAAAACAAACCAAAAAAACAATCACAAAGAGTTACAAAAATAACCAGGCCTGTTACTGAAGGAGGAAGTCCGAGCAGGTGCTGAAGTAGAAGCTCCTGCTCTGGTTCTCTGTTGAGAATGAGAAAAGAATAAAGAAGTTTCTGTCTGTCCCACTTCCTGTGTGCACCTTTTGCAAAGCATCTCTAATTTGTTTCTGCCCTTTCGACTCTAACATCAAACATCATCCACAGGAATTCCAAAGTCATTCTTCTGCTGGCAACTCGATACAAACCCTGTTACACTCACAAAGTTTCTCCTGATCAGTACTGTAGCACAGCGGAATATTAAATCTGCACATAAACTTACTGGTCTTGGAATGACTGAATGTGCAGATGATCTCCTGCATTCATCCAGGACTATTAGAATTGGAAGAGAACAGACAATAAGCCTGAAAACAGTTCATAAATGATGAAGGAGAAACACAGTGGTGTTTAAAATGCAAAAAAACCCAGAGAACCTGGGATTGATAGTAAGTATCCAGCACAGTTGACTCAAATAGGTATGGTGAGCACAGGAAAGAGTACTCTGGAGTGCCCACAGCAAGATTCTCCACAAGTATCTTATATCCTGAAAATTAAAAGGAAACTAAGGCCTTTCAGCCTTGTAACTCCCAGTGTGAACAAGTACCGTGCCCTACCGTGACACACGTCTGCACGGACAATGACAGGATGCTTCCTGCGGAACAGGAAAAGAGCGTGCTTGCAACAGACCCACATCTGAACTCCAAAAACTACGTCTGCCAACCCAAAACATAGTCTCCTTCCAAAAGGTTTCAAAGAACACCAACACTTTCAAGTTACAACATTCTTAAACATGAATAAGCCAGAGACTAAGGCACCTACGTAGTGTGGGTGGGAAAAAAAAGTCTCCAATTCCAAAATTCTGCAATTAAAGTAAGAATGGCAGTTGTTCCTGACAACCCCTCACACTTACATTTCCATTCAGTCTCTTAACAGAGTAAATGCTGCTCTTTCTGCCAGGTGATGTTCCCTTCAGTTAATCCACATTTTTCTGGCATCCAGTTTTCAGATAATTTAGTCCTAAAGTGACCTCTACCATCCCTGCTGGTTCATCTTCTCCTCTCACTGGGAACTCCTGGGCTATCAGAGGCCAACTGCCAATCACACAGCTGTGAAGTATTTGGGAGCAAGAAGCAGCTCATAAACCACAGAAAGACAACCCTCAGGATAAAGAGGAGGGAGTTTTCACTGCTGGGAATCAGTGAAAACAACGGCAGAAGTTTATCATTTTTGTAAAGGATTGATTTCTGGAAACTGAAAAGCAAAAAAAAAAAATCAGAAGTTTCTCCAGTTTTTAAATCCCACCATATGACTCACCATGAAATTCATGAGACTTAAAACACCGGAAAAAATCATACGTCCCCCAATTCTCCTGGGAAGCTCACTCAGTTGTACAAAACCACAAGAGAGTTCATACTGTCCACATGGCACTCTGTCACAAATGCTCCACCACTAGTATGGTGGGGGGCCCTCCAGGACTGGAGCTGAAAGACTGTGAACTTCCTGAGCTACCCCTAAATTTTACACTAGGATTACAGTCAGTTTTCCTGTGAGTACACATGGCAATGCTTAAAAAGCAGCTGGCCTGAATACAACTATTTTCTTGCAAGCCATTAAGGTGAGCAAAGGGCTTCTGATACTTTCTGTCAACATGCCCACGAAATTCAACATGTCCATTTTTCTTCTCTCTACAGACACCGACAGTAAATAAGAGATTACCTATGAAACTAGATGACACAAAATGAAACATCTAAATTAGCTGAATTCACATATGTAGTGCTTGTATTTTAGATAATTTTATCTCTATTTTATTCATGAGATAAAA